CGATTTTCAAAGGATATCTGCCCAATTCTTCATTAACCATAAAATCAGGTGTAGACTTTTTAACCTTAAGCAAAAGTTTGCAGAATTTCATATGTACCCTTTTTAAAACCGAATTATTACCAAAACCCCAGACTTCACTACCATAAATTAAAATAGGTTTAACAATCTTGTCAAATAATTCCATTTGACATTCTGATTCAATAAAAAGCTTGTGCATTTTTTTCTTTTCTAATAACGTATGGGACCAAAACATCGTTCAAGACAGAGGGTTTTAAAACATATGAATATTGTAGGTATTTGTATATAATATTTCGAAATAAATTAAGATATTTATAAAGGGGTTACTGATACAGCCGACAATGTGATATTGATATGGTGTAAATGCTACCAGAGACATATATACACATGACACAAAATCAGTTATTGCACAGCAAGAACACACAAAAAAAAGAAAAGGAACAGATATTCCTTTGACCCTTTCATATCTTATGTATATCTTTAATGGTACTTACATAGATTCCTTATTAATAGATTAATATATAACTATTATGTAACTAAATTTTGCTATCCAGGTACATGTATTAACACTTGTGGTCCTACATCCTGTTAATATTTATATTTTGGCATTGCATAAAGTCATGCTTTTCTCAGAATACTTATGAAGTCTACAATAAATTCGTTGGAGATGTACTGAGAGTGACTGATAATTTAGTCTGGGGAAAGCATGTTCCATCTATCAGTTGAAATTGGGTTTTGAACCAGCTTTCAGTAACTCCAAGCCCTCTAAGATTGGAATTTTGTGTCTGTTTTCATTTTTGGTGGGTTTATTTTTTACTAAGTGGGTCAACATCTTTAATTGTTTTTCCATAGGCAGTAATGGTAACGTGTTTTCCTGTAGCTCAGTCCATATCGTAAACTTGGATATGTATGATAGCTCGTTTCGAAGCTGTGACATTTTCACATATGTGGTTAAATTTTCGTGGTACGAAGTGAGATTACTTTTTCCGTAAATTAGCATACCCCGAACATCCTTTCGTGATGCGGCTCCTCGTGGTAAAAAATCCCTTTTTAACGCAATAAGTTCTTTGAAAATGTAATACTTTGAACACATTTGATAGCTCCATAGTTTTTACACATTTATTCTATGTTCCTCTACTTTCATAATCACCACAAATGGTTAAGCTCAGCCATTTGTAAAAAATAGAAACATGTCCAATATCACTACACAGATATTTTTTGTTTACACACAACTTTTGAGTTCCTCATTTCGAGGCGCATTAGGGATATTGACCCAAGTACTGGTCCGATGAGTTACAAGCCCTTTTCAACTGATTTTTAGTTTGTTCGTATGTTGTGCTGCATGTTTTACCACTGTCTCAGGCTATAGGAGGGTTGAGCACTCTCAAACATTAACTCTCTCCTCTTTCAGCATGTGCCTGTCGCAAGTCAGGAGCCTATTATCCAGTAGTTGTTGTTGGTTGCTTTCTACCATCAGTGTTTTTATTTGTTTATTGTTTTCAGCACTAATCAGGGTGTAAAGTTTTTCCTTTCGAATTATTTCACATTTGACATGCTACAGCCGTTTATAGCTTACAATAGGGATTTGGTTTGGCTCAATTTTCAAGGTCATAAGGTGACCTGTAGTTATTCAAATCCCTATCCTTTGGTTCTAATGGATAGTTGTCTCATCGCAATCTACCTAATCTCCCTATTTTCATATAAATGCATAAGGTAGCAGTCCCCTGGAAGATCACCTAACTCAGACACATTATTCCGACTCTGAGCCAATAGACTTTGCTCTCTTACCTGAACATCCAGCTTATATGACTCTGAGCAGACCAGACTTTGCTCTATTACTTGAACATCCTGCCTAAATGACTCTGAGCCAACTAGGAACCTGTTGTTCAGTGGTTGTTGTTTGTTGGTGTGGTTCATAAGTGTTTCTCGCTTCTCGTTTTTTATATAGATTAGACTGTTGGTTTTCCTGTTTGAATTGTTTTACACTAGTCATTTTGGGGCCCTTTATAGCTTGCTGTTCGGTGTGAGCCAAGGCTCTGTGCTGAAGGATGTACTTTGACCAATAATTGTTAACTTTTTACACATTGTGACTTAGATGGAGTGTTGTCTCATTGGCACTCATACCACATCTTCTTATTTTTATTTGCTCTGTCACTTGATCATCCTGCCTATATGACTCTGAGAAGACCTGACTTGGCTCTATTACTTGAACATGCTGGTTAAATGACTCTGAGCCAACCAGTAGTTAACAGTTTTAAAGGCTTAAGATTTAGCCAGCTATGATTGAACCAAAGTTTTCTGCATGTGAGGTACTTGAGGCAAGCATCTACCACAGATTGATTGATTGATGTTTGCTGAATGTCCAGTGGCAAAAAGTTTAATACTTGACCTCAGAGGTTATTCCTTTACTGTAAAAGTTCAAAACTATCTGTGGTTATTGGCATGAATTGCATGGAACCTGTGAAAAGTGTTTCATTACTTGCAGAAGATCAAAGGTTAAAAGTCAAACATAATCAGTAGTTTTTAAGATTTTTAATAGTTTCAACAAAATGTGTGTCCAAAGAATATTGAAGATGAAGTTTTTCACAAGGTGTAGTTTACTTCTTCCAGTATTAAGTATTTAAGTATTTAATGATTTTTAAATAATTTTAGCATTGGGAATGGCAAAATAATAAGAGTACAGTGTAAAAATATAAGTATATTTATAATGCAAGAATACAGTGAATGCTTATTTCAATCTTTGAAAAAAATTAAGTTTATATAAAAGTTCATCCCTTTTCAAAATATTTTCATTAAATGTGTTTATCAGTTCTTAATATTTGTTCAAATATTTTCATTAGTTATTAATAAATGTATATTCCACTATTATATGTTTGCTTAAAAATATTTTTGCAGCATACAACTGATAATTTTTTAACTTTTTTAATTGGAGACTTTTGCAAAATCAAGAAAATGGAAGCAAGTTCTGAAATTACAAAAATAGGAACTATCTGATTAGTTTACAGACCCTGTGTTCATGCATGTCTTACAATATACTAAAACAAGGTCAGTTTCACGTTCTGTTTTGATAATAAGAATGTCAACCGATGAAATTTCTGCCTCCAAATTTTTGAAAGTGAGCATCATTAAAACAAAACTTAAAAGCTCTTCCTAACAGAAAGGAAACAGAGTGTTTATCAAATCCTTGTTAGCAAATTGTGGACACAGGATCTCTATTTAAATCAGATTGAACATAACACAACAAATATGAACACTTTATCATAGTTTTAATTTTGTATTTAGAGCAATTAAATGAAGATGCATAGATTCAACATAAAAAAAACAAAAGCTGGCATAATAATCTACCTAAATAAAGAATTATTCAATATATCCACAAATTATTTCATGTAAGCAAACAAATTTATACACATATTATATTTATAAATACTCTCAACATCATTACAATTCTAAACAAATAATAACACACCATATAAACTTAAAACAAGTAACAAAATTAAATTTCTCATAAAAATTTTCTTTAACATGTTGGTCAAAATAAACATATAGAATACCCGCATATTATTTATAACTAACTTTTCTCATAAACATGTAAATATAATAATAAATCAATATTAACTACCAGTAATCCTTGATCAAATTTTAAAAATCATTGAAAATGACAATTTTCAATTCTTTAATGATATGATTAGAAATAAACTAACACACAAGTTTTTTAGACCTATTTTTTATATGTTTATCTTCAACATAGTAGCCTTTGGAATTCTTTTAATTGTCGATTTTTTGTTTTCAAAACTGAACATATTTCCAATTTTCATTATTTAACAATTATTAAGTATATAGCCACTAATTTATCCATTTATTATGTCCAAAGAAAGAACACATTTTTTCACATACAAAGTACAAAATACATCTAAAGTTTCATGGAAATATGACATACTTTTTAATAAGGTTTAACATTTACAGAGTCTGAATCCCAACTTGACAAACTTCTTCATTCATTTAGTGAACAAAATAAAACTTATTGATCACTTGAAAAGAAATGTAATACATTTGGTCCGAGATAATTTGTTTTAACATGTTTGATATCATTTTACACATAACAGGGTGAGGGGGTCAAAACAGAAGTATGGTCAAATTTTTTTCAATAGAAATCATTTAAAATCATTCTATTTTCTTAATTCGCCAGTGTAAATTACAACACAAATGCATAGCAAAAACGTTATGTGAAACAACTTTTCAACCTCCACATTGAAACAACAACTACTTGGGAACTCTCCTAGTATTTAAACAATGTAGGAAAAGTCGAGTAGTTTGACATACAAACACAACTGGAATAATTTCAAATGTTTCCACTTTATTACAGAAGACGATTCTCATCTTTAAAAATATCTACATCATCATTAAATCTCCACTGTTTCCAGTGGTATTGTCCATTGCCCTTGTTTAAATGGTGACAACATTTTTTGCATTGTTATTATCCCAAATTCAACAAAAATATCACTAATGACATATTCTTTTTATAGAAATTTTACGACACATCCATGTAAAATAAAATGCCATGGAAACATCAATCATAAACTATTCCAGAAGGCCTTTCAAAACCAGTGTTGTTTGTACATAGTGAGTACTATTCAACACTGATCCAGTAACTACTGTCATTCTTTTCAAATACAGCAGTAATATTTATATGCTTAACACTACCGGTAATAATTGTAATAATTTTAAACTAGTGTAAATAAATAAAAACTCCTTAACTTATATTTACAATAAAAAATATGGATAATTAATATATTAATGAAATTATAATGCAAGATGAATAATGTTGTCTGTGTACTACAGCTCTTCTCCATTTTGAAACATACTCAGTGAATGTGATTGGATGATTTAAAAACATACTTGATATTCAGTGATTGTGATTGGATGTTTCAGAATCTGAAGCATTCTGGGTATTTTTTCAAAAAAACTTAAAAGGTTCTTGTATACAAAAACATTTTGATTGGTTGAAAATACCGTAAACAATGGACTGTCAACTAATGGTGTAAATTTGAATTGAATTTGGTGTAGGAATAAAGAAAAAGCCCATAATCCTTTAAATTCTGAAACTGGAATATTTGCATATGAAAAAGACCTGCTGTGGTGTCAGTTGTGTTTATATAATATTGTAGAAATGAACAGCACAAAGCAAATTCAGGATGTTATGAGTGGTATACATCTACCATGAGTAAGTTAATCCTATACCAAATTTTACCCTGTCTGAAATCACAGTAATTTATCAATCACAACCATTTACAGGCTTTAACTTTAATATGTACCCTAATAATTCTATATTTAACAGATAAACAGACAAATTTTTAAGTTTAAACAAGGAATTGCAATTCCTTGGTTTAAACAATGTCTCACATACAATGTACTAATTTAAACAATGTCTCCCACACAATGTACTAGTTTAAACAATGTCTCAAATACAATGTACTAGTTTAAACAATGTCTCCCACACAATGTATTTAACAATGTCTCACATACAATGTATTTGTTTAAACAATGTCTCACATACAATGTATTAGTTTAAACAAAGTCTCCCACACAATGTAGTTAACAATGTCTCACATACAATGTATTAGTTTAAACATGTCTCCCATACAATATAATAATTTAAACAATGTCTATTTCTCAAAAGAAACTGATCACCCCAATTATCAATCTTTTGTTAATCAGTTTCCTTGTGCTGCAAGTGGTAAATTCTATTCATACTAAAAGAAGCTTTTTAAATTTTTTTTGAATTGTTTTCTAAATTACTCAAGAAACAAGTGACTTCATCCAAGATTCACCTAAGGTTCAACTAAAGCAGTTTTGTTTTCAACAAATATCAGCTTAATAAAAAGCTTGTCTCAATATGAATAGAATTCCCCATCTGTCAGAAAATTGGGTAACACATGAATGCTTCTGATTGTCAGTATAAATGGTATTTTAAAAAAGCAAAGTAAATAAATAATCTTTCTGTCATTTCATAATCACACATATCAAGCATTTTTTGATATTAGAGAAATGAAAAATAAATTAAATGATGTATGAAAATGGCAAATAAATGGCACGTTAAATATCAAATACTATGTATAAAAAATACAAAATACTAATGGTTGGAAAATTAAAAAAAAAGAACCTAATACACAAATAGAAGAAAAACAAAAACTACATATAAAAATGACATAGAATTACTTGTAATCTTTTTAACTTCAAGAGAAGAAAATGATAAATGCATTTAAAAAAAAAAGGATTTCTTCCTTTAATAATAATTTGTTCAATTTACATGTAATCATTGAAATCAGCAGTTATACTCATTTCAAAAGTAAATTTACTCAGTCAGCTTAGATATCTGGATAGAGATTTACTTTAAGAAATGTCAAATAAATTTAAAAAATCAAGCCGTATCAAAAAAAAAATAAATATGGCGGCTTACATGAGAACTTTACTTTTCGAAAGGAATCCAACACATCCACTATAACTTTGCTATCATTAAATGGCACTACCACCTTATAAAGTTAACATTTAGAAACTCAATGTGTGTATCAGTTCAAATTTTCACTGGATTTGAATAAAAACAAAATGCTTTCTACAAGTTACTTTTCTCTATCGAAAAAAACTGAAAGATAACTCTGCTTATCTTTAATACTGGGACTAATCTATCCATCAAAACAATAAGCTTATACATATTACATGTATAACTTAATAAACAGAAATATACTTATCAATTTGAATTTTAGCAGAACTGAAAAACAATGTTGTCTTCTAAATGGACATTTTTCCAGAAGATATCTTCAAAAATATATAGTCAACTTCTACAAATAAGGCCAAATAATATATATTTGTTTCCTGCCTCCTGGCAGAAAATCAGAGAAGGTAAATACAAAAATGTTAAATAATTCTATTTTTCAGAACATTTTGACTACAGGGAAATGTTCTGGATTTCAATGGTACTTAACTTTAAATGTCTTGATCTTATCAATGCTTAATGAAAAATCTCAATAAATGTTAGGGTAGGTCAAGAGGCAGGAAAGACAACTATTTTTTGCTTGCCTAACACAAATATCTCATATCTCTTCCAGTTTGCAGGAGCAATTAGCTAAAAATAAGGCTGAAACCCCCATGTATCCCCAAAAGAGGCTGGATGATATGTCTCACACAAAAGGAATTCTTAAGCTGTGACAGATCAGAAAAAGACACTTCTGGCACATAAATAAAATTAAGCATGATAGCATATAAATATAATGTAAATATCAAATATATAAATATTGTAAAAATATAGCACTAAAAACATTGAATGAAGTTGAACCTGATGAAACACAATGATATACAGCTGCAGCATTCAATTTTAAAGAAAATCTATGAACGCAAGTGCAATGATATCATTGAGTGATTTCTTTTTATCTAACATGTCTAAGGGATGTTTTAAAATTGATCTGGGAGAGGGAAGGGAGGTACTGAAATTAATTCATTGTTGGTGGTTCCATTAACCTAAGAATTTTATAAGAATTATCAGTAAAATGAAAATTTTATATTATGGGGGGATTTGTGCTAAAAAATAGTGTCTCCTATGTGACAGATCTTAAATATTTGTTAAGGAAAGAAAACTGTGAGAAAATGCTAAAATGCTTTAGATCTTTCTGGTTTGTAAACACTGCAAATGCTTTTTAAATTGTTTGAGTAAAAAAAACATGGTGAAATGCTTTTAAAATGTTTAAATTTCAAAAACAGTGGGAACATGATTTCCAACTTAGGGCATGATGAAATCTAAGTAACTTCCAACAGTTTTGAAGGAAAAATGTGGAAAGTTCAGATGATAATTTTAACAATAAATGATAGATGAATAATACTAGCATTCAGGTGTAAAAATTCTGTGCTTTGAACAATTAAATCAGATTATTTTGATAGTCATGATAGTTCAAATGTTAAGTACACAATTATAAAATTAAAATTGGACAACAATTCCTGAAAGACAACAGATACATATATATTTGCATCTTGTATGATTAACAACACTGACATACAACACAGTCAACTGGATTCTGTCATTCCAAATTCTATCAACTATAGGAAAGAAGTAAAATTTGGTTTTGTCCAGTGAAATGGTTAGTTCCAGACTTAAATGTGAAGTGAAATCAGAAGACCTTTAGATTTATATCTGAGCATGTCAAGTGCTACTTGGTCCACGTAACAACAAATAGTAACTAGCAAAAACAATATAAATCTGAGACTTTCAGATTCACTAAAAAACTTATATATAATTTTTACATAGGATAATGCAGCTTACTCTACAAAACTTTCCAAAAAATAAAGATTTTGAAACAAGAACATAATCAAGGTTAAACTTATCCATTATATCAGTTTACACTAACTTCACAGCCGTGGTTCAAAAGACATACTCTTTATGCTAAGCTGTTCCCATTAAAAAACTAAACTAATATTTTGCTAAAGGATTTAACAGAAGCTTAGCCCTGATATTGAGAAGAATATTGTGAAGTGATATACTACATAATATCCAATAACTATGATTCACTCAATCCATACTTATTTTCCATGATACAGACTATAACACATTGTCTAATTGACTATGATCATTTTCCACTCAATCTACACTAATTTTCCATGATTCAGACTTAAACACATTGTCAGATTGACTTTCCACTCAATTCACAATTTCTCGAGATTCTGATTGGTTGACATTGGTGTTGTCTCTATATAGATTCTAGGAACAGTTTTTCACTGTAATTTAAACACTGTTGATATAGAATCTGTCATAAACATGAACTGTGGTTTGTCATGGCAATGCATCTGATAGGCCATTACTGCTGTGTTGTTTACACGTCTTCAAAACAATCACTGCAAAAAAATGAAAAGTATTAATCATTAAATGTAGGAATTATTCAGGATATAGTAAATTTTTTATTCAGTATTTTAAGAATTGTAAAAGTAGCATGTATGAACTATAAATTCACAGGACAAATCATATCTTGTAATGTTAAGGATTTTCTATCAGCAATCAATATTTCATTTAGTTTAAAAACTGCCATTTGACCCAAAAATGTTAATCAGTTAAATTCTCCGGAGTATTACAGACTAAAGAGAAAATAAAAATGTATTAGATGAAATAAACTTAATAGACACAAATTATTTTATCTCTACTAATTCATCTTTAAATCTGTACTATATCACAGATTAGAAACTAAAAATAACATTTGTACAACATCTGACAGGAAATCAAGAAACCAAAATGTTGTTTTCCACATTAAATCAATGCTGGTGCAGTTAGCAGGAATTAAATTAATAAGAGTTGTCTAACTTTGTTTGCAGTTATGATTTACATAAGATGTGCAAGGAACTTCCATTCACATACCAAACAAGATCACATACTGTAAACCCCACTTGATTTTGCAAGGGATTTATTTTCACAATTTTTGCAAGAATAAAAATAACGCGAATATCAATCGTCACAAATATGTAAAACTTGGTCCTTCCCTTATATCAATACATTAAGAAAATTAGAAAATCGTGAAAATAAATCGCTGAAAAAGTCATGACTGATAAGGCTGAATGCAAAAAAAAATATTTATTTACCTGACTTTTTTTTCAAAAAGAAAACCTTAATGTGATATTATCGTAAAATTTATGCAAGAAGTGTATTTCTATTGAAAACAAAACCATTTCTAAATATTCAGTTGCTGTAATTAATCATATTACTTTGACGATCTGAAATACATACCAGTAATAACTCTACATCTTTCTCACTAAAACTTGGTGGAATTGTTCTGGAATATTTCAATGATAGCATATCTCCAACTTCATTGATCACTTCAAGTGCCTGAAACAAGGAAATCACATGCATGCATTATTTTTAATACATTTTTTTCTTCTTCACATTTTCAAGTTGGACAGGAATACTTGGAGTATATGTATACATATTAATTATATTCTGTTTGTGATACATGTATTATACTTTAATTTAACATTTTCAACTGCACCTTTTTTTTTTAAGATATGGTAAAGACCATGTTTTGAATAACCTCCACATATCAATTTGATAAAAACTTCAATAGAAAATGTGCAATGCTATTTAGTAGATGCTGATAATTTTCTGAAAGTTTCATAAAAAATGATTTATGATTAACTGTGGATATAGTACACATGACTTATGACAAAATGATCACCACAAATCTCCATAGTTACGTGAAGGTTAGTGTATGAAAACTTACCTTGTCTAGCATTTCTTTATTATGAGCAGCCGACAGACAAAACCTTGCACGAGATTCTATGATTGGTGTTGCTGGGAAACCTACGACTACAATACCAAGTCCTCTTTTCAAACATTCTCTGCCTAATGCACTGAAATATATAATCAGATTACTATAAAGAAAAACTGTCATACCAAGTCCCCTTTAAAAATTCTCTACTTAACACACTGAAATATATAATCATTTATACAGTACATATACTACAAGTTCTTAATAGTATTAAATTATTGCTGTATATCTATAAATCGTTATAAAGCTGATTTTGAGAATAACAAGCATTCTGTGAGTATTGCATAGCAATACATAGTCCCCTACCGGTTACAAATTCATTGTAATGGAACGAAATTCTAACTTGATCTATAACTTGTCATGGTGTAAACTACATAAAAATATCAAGTCAAAATCTTCAAGCATGATAAAAAAAACTGTTGAAAACTGATTATTTAAGTGAATTTTCTATGTCCAAAGACCATAACTCTGCACAAAATTATCAGACTGGAACAAAATTCCAACTTGATCTGTAACTTGTCATGATAAAACTTTATACTAATTATCAAATCAATATCTTCAAGAGTGACAAACAAACAGGAGTGATTTTTTTTATATTGTGTTCTTAATTCATAGTCTTTCATAAAAAAGTGCATCTCATGAAAATATTGCTGAATGTGTCAACATTACAATAAACCTTGAAATTTTAATTCAGGCTATTATCATCTTTCTTTCATAGAAGGTATAAAACAAGTTTATGTTATTATACAAATGTCTTTTGCTCATTGTTGAAGAATGTATGTTGACCTTTAATTTACATTCTCATACTTTCGTCTTTGGTTGAATGTAATCTCATTACAATTCATACCACATCTTTTTATTTTTATAAAGGAGGATAGAGACATACCTCATTACCATCTCAGCTTATCACAATGCTGAACGGTAATTTTGTTTCGTCCCATAATTCTAATCATTAATGTTATGTCACAGAAATGCACAGACTTCTTGTGTAATTAATACCAGACTTGACTGTATGTAAACTGATAAATAATGTCTGTGTAATACTTACGCTATCTTAGAAGGCATGAATATTAACAATGGAATGACTGGTGAATCTTTGTTTCCGTAGATAATAAAACCCATATCATGTAACCTTCGTCTAAAATATCGGGTATTCCACTTCAGTTGTTGTACTCTTTTTTGACCTAAAATGTAACAACAGCACATTAGCATTCTTTAACATATTTCCAGACATAAATATTTTCAATTATATAGTAAAACTAAAAAAATCTTTTGCATAATAAAAGTCTAAAAAAAAATCAGTTAAATTCCTTTCTTTAATTTCTATTTACATAAAGGTCTCAAAAATATTCAATTCTGACTTCAGAAGTGTTCCTAAAAATAACATTTACTGTAAACAGGGAAATTTTCTCAGCAGTTTTATTTTCGCTATTTTCGCGATAAGAAGAGAAACGTGAAAATAAAACGACAGCGAAAATTTCAAGGGAACTTTATTCATAAGATAATGACCATACATGTACCCATATGATAAGATAGAACCATGTGCAAAACAGTGTAGGCGAGACCATTGATTGGCGCGCTAAAATATCCCATTGACTGGGTCAGATTAGGTGAACGTTCGTCTGTAACGCCCACAACTCACGACGTATTTATTATAAACATTTAAACTGTGGGGTTGCCAAAGGGTTTCAGTATATATACGAACTACAGTGCACAGTATATTATATACATATTTTATTTGCGATCATAAAATGTAAGAAGTCGTCCATTACTATGTAAATTGGGTCGATTAAAAAAAAAGCTGAAAATGTTTCTGTTGCCAAGGGTTTTTCACAAGTATAGTAGTTAGCAGAAAAGTTCACCAAACTATACATTTTACCTATTCAAAAACGTAAATGCAAATTCCACAAGGCTTGATCCAAATAGCCTTTTTATTGTCTAATAACTTGCAAGTACGAAAAAGACAGGACAGAAGTATATTTTGTCTATATGTTTTGTGTACGCACACTTTTTAAAGTTGATCATGCATTCGTTCTAAAATAAAATTTTGACCAGATAAAAGTTAAAAGATGACATAATTGGACATGCAACCGCTTTGACGTCCGAAAAAAAAGATAATAATCAACACATGCATTGTAACTTTTAAAGCCAGTTAAATCCTTTTTTTTTTGTTGAAAGAACGTGCGATGTCATAAAAATTGATTATCAAAACATAACGAAAACACAAGTAAAGAACGTTTACACTGAAATGCAGTCAAGTTTAGCGATTGATAATTCATTGATAACATTCTGGCGTATCACAAACAAACAACTTGTAACGTCTCACTTCATTGGCCGAAAGATTTAAATACAACAACAATTGTTGTGTGCACGTGAATTGACACAGGTGACCGACAATGGAATGTACTACGTTACTACGAACGTAAAAAACAATGATTTTTGGTCGAAATAATTAAATAAGTATTTTGTGAATTTCAAATAGTGGGGTCGAAATATTATACTAATAATTTGTGTTAAGTAATATTCTTTATGCATGCAGCACTTGTACCGCACTATGAAAAATATAAGGATAAAATAAAATACATGTGCCGCTTTTATACGGATGAATGTATGAACCACTTTAATTTCTTTCATATTGACGCTAGGTTATTATCCAGACAATGTCGTAGTTACTTATAATATGGATCTCATACTACTGATCCATTTCAAATTTATGATGGGTTGCACATTCCTCTTTTATTGTTTTCATGCTATAAAACGAAAATAAAGAAGCTAAGCGTTTGTTCTTCAGAAATGACGTGTCATAAACGAGCAAATTGTCCCCGAAAGATCGTACCATGTGTGCACGTGAATGTAGATATTCTATGCAATGTACTATCATGGTCACCACGAAATTCAAATGAATTCAGTGAAGGCATGTTGGTGTAAAAAGGTTTGAAATGTTTCATCGGCGAAGATTTTATTTTTGCATGTGTGGAACTAAAAAATAAATAAATACTTGTGAGAAATGTCGTAGTTTATAAGGAACTATATAAATGTACTGTTTTCGATTTTGATTGGTTGAAAATTTATCCTTTAATTTCATACCGTAAGAATAGAGCTTTGCATAACATTGTTGAACAATCCGCCAAAGTAACGTGTGGCATGCGTGCGTATTAAAATGAAATACAAAATCATACATGTATGATAAACTTATAAACGAAATATTAAGAAATTAAGGATGACTACTGTAAAAGTATGTACAAAAATGGAGTCACCTTTTATCAATACATTTAGTGAATAACCACACTGTTTAAAACTGATTGTTTTCTATGCAACTATTTAAATATTTACAATATATAATTTTCAACCGAGGATAGCAAAACAGTTAATTATAAATTAAGAAAGTATATCGCTGGAGTTTATAAAGTACATTTCCTTCCACTGTGCCATGGTTTGCCATCTCCATTTTTTCTCTAAACAAAGCATGGCTGGTTACATGTTCTGAATTTACTTAGAATTTCGGGATTTTTTTTTTCAAAATCAAGTAAACTAAATCAGAAAAAAAATCACACTATCCTAAAACTTATGAAAGAATATGAATAATGAACATGACAGTTTATAACACAAACCCATTTACTATAAAAATCGAGCAATATCTTTAGTATGTAATTTGGTTATTTTTGTAGTTAAGTACGGTTTCATTTCAAGTACAACGTTAATTCATCAAGTCCATTGAATAAAAGATAAGGCAGGGTGAGCAACTTGACAAAAAAAAAGGCAGGATGACGATTTATGTAAAATATCAGGATAAACGAATAAATATAGTCAGGACCTAACAGACTGAAAAATAGAAAGACAGGACAGAGATAACAACTAAAAAAAATGAAGGACAAAATGTTTCATCCAAGTCCTTCACCTCCAATCAAAATAAAATGGTAGCTCCCTTAATCCAGGACCAATTGAGAGGAGACTGTTGAATTAAATATTTCGACGTGACTGTTAAGATTAAAGTTTAAAATTTTACATGCACATGTATAAAAGCTAGAATTGCCATGCGATAATCAAGAACACAATCATGTTCGGGAATACGACGATGGAAGTTTTTAACGACCTTGACCGGCTACGTGAATACTGATCAGTCCATTCAGCTTTATAGTACGCGTGTTCTATTTTCGCAGGTGTGAGGTCAAAGGTTTGAATTGATCAATGAAAACGATCGTTCCTTAACGAGTTAATCTAATAAAGTTTGTTTGACTGATTATGTTGCACGACCTTTCGCTAAGCTTGACCGCAGTTCAGTGTAAGTATTCAATATAAATCAAAACACAAAGGTTATTCCTGATTAGTTTTTCGAATTATTTTATTTAGGCGTTGAGACCCTTTGGTGACCTCACAGTTTAAATGTCTATAATAAATACGTCGTGAGTTTTGGGCGTTACAGACGAACATTCACCTAATCTGACCCAGTCAATGGGATATTTTTGCGCGCCAATCAATGGTCTTGGCTACACTGTTATGCACATGATTCTATGTAGAGGACCACTGTATATCACTGATTGTACAGACGACATATCTATACCTCATATCATAACTGTAAATGAAAAGCAATGTTAGAAATCATGACGTTTAACTCAAGTTAATCTTATTAAAATGAAAGACATCTCAAGCAAGCGGACATTACGGATATTGTTATGTAAACACACGTGTGTAAACACTTGTTACAAATATGTTAATGACACCAGTCAATCAGTTTTAAAAGAACTACCACGTTGAATCTTCTACAAAGATTAATCAGATCAAAAGACCGATTAATTAGCATAAGTCCTGACAGCATTTTATTTTTATTCACTCTTAATTAGGTCTTCTTTTCTGTTATTGTTTATGTGTTTTTACAAGCAAACATGACACAACTCAGTTTAATTTCCTTTGACATTAATGAACCAAAAACAAAAGATTTCTGATTGATTTTATCACTTTATTTACGATACATGTAAAGCTGTTCACTTTCTAAATTATTTATGAAAATATTTATATAGGTCACAGGGAAATCGCGAATTCAAAACGCAAGAATTTAGACTGTTAATCAATCGCGAAATAAAGACGCCGCGAAAATTTCCCGGTTTACAGTAACTATACGTGAAGTTAAGTGTTAATTTCATATGATCTTAACATCTGTTATTTTTTCAATATAACATCTGTTCTCTCAGTTTTGTATAAGGGGGTCTTTAAGGGGCATGTACACAAAAAAATTTGAAAAACAATGAGATTTCACATTAAACAGAAAATAATTTTACTTAACTGGAATAACATTTCTACCTGTTTGCCAAATGACAAATCCTACAGAATGGAAATATGAAATAAAACCTTCAAACAAGCTATGAAAAGTTAACAAGAATATATATGGTTTAGGGGTGAGGAATCTTAACCGTTTACAAGTTCTTAAACAGGAAAAAGGTGGGGTGACCCCAGGGGACTCCACTTTTATTTCATTTGATTTGTTTTATTGTAATATACAAGAAGAAAAATGGTTTCAGGGTGGGGATCTTGACTGTTTACAAGTTTTCAAAAAGAAAGGGGTGGGGTTTACCCATGTGGACTTCCTCTAAATTTTATTTGATCTGTTTCATTGTCAAATACAAGAATAAATATGGTTTAGGGGTGGGGATCTCAACCGTTTACAATTTCTCAAACAGAAGGGGGTGGGGGGTTACCACAATGGACTTCCCCTATATTTCATTTGATTTCTTTTATTGTCCCATACAAAAATATATATGGTTTAGGGGTGGGGATCTCGACTGTTTACAAGTTCTCAAACAGACATGCTGGGGGTGACCCCAGGGGACTCACCTTTTATAACATTTGATTTGTAACATACAAGAATATATATGGTTTCAGGTTGGGGAGCTTGCACATTTAGAAGTTTTCAAAAAAAAGGAGGGTAGCTGTGAACCCGAGGACTATCCCAATATTTCATTTGATTTGTTTTATTGTCCCATACAAGAATATATATGGTTTAGGAGTGGAGATCTCAACCGTTTACAAGATAAAAACACATAATCAAATTGAAGGGGGGTAGGGGTAAGAATATATATGATTAACGGACACTTATTATCTACAAAATGTCTAATAATGAACAGTAAATTCCAAACTTCATTTATACAGTAATACTAGTAAGTTTCAAACTGTATATATACAGTCCTACAGATCTTATCAGAAAACAGAAAATTTTCAAATAAATCTGTCACTCCAATGATTATCATATGCTAAAATATTTCCAAGATCTAATTAATACAAACATGTAATGAAAATAAATCATTATCATATGCTGAAATATTTATAATATCTAATTGAACAGAACTATGGTTGTTTAACATAGTACTCTAACATAATTAATAATGTAATAATCTTCAAAATGTCTAATGATATAGCTTATAATCATTACCACTTAGGAAATAGATAATTTTCAAATAAATCTGTCACTTCCAATTTTTATTTTGAGATAAGACAAATCATATCATGATAACAACAGTAAAATATTTAAAAATTCTACTTTTGGATATTAAAAATGGCGATAACTCACAAAGGAGATATACTAAAATCTTGAAAATTAATTGAGACCTTCATTAAGTCCCAGGAAACAACATATTTAAATTTGAAAAAAATTTGTTAAAGTGTTTTCATGAAATTGTGCTGACACTGTTTGGCAGCCGCCAAACCGCCCAGCTGCCCGCCGTATATCACCATTTTAATAACCGATATTTCCTTCGAAATCCGGTTAAAAATTGGTTTATAGTTTTCTTAAAATTTTTGTTAGTTTTCTTCATATTAGCCTTTCTAGGGAATGGGATAGGTTTGAATTGCAAAGAAGAGGAGTTTATTTCTGTAATAAAAAATACAGTATTTGTAATGCTGTAACTCAACCCATTTTTTCTATATTATTCAGTGTAAACAATGTTTTATTTGGAAAAAATACATGGATATTCAAATACAATTCACTCCAAGGATTGGAAAATAAAACAAAAAATTAATTTTCCACATTTTAATTTCCGTACCTTCATTAGTACCATCTTCTCCCATGATGATTGACATAGATGATATAATTTGTTGTGTTACTGGAGGGGCCATGGTACAGGAATATATTGATGCATGAGACTGTAATTTCAAATGGTTAATCAAATCCTGAAAAATAATAATTATTTTAGAGTTATTTCCCTTTGATTGTTTAATGCAATAACAAACAGCAAATCTGCTTTAGTAATATTTTTCTTTATCAGGAGATTGAATATCCAAATTTTATCAGGAGATTATTTTAATATTACAAATCATTTAATTTTAGAATCAATTAATGATGTGAAATTAATCAGCTCTGATAAAGTTCCTTTTAATAATTTCAATAAAAACTTGAATGACCTATAATGGTTTACTTTTATAAATTGTTACTTGGATGGAGAGTTGTCTCATTGGCACTCATACCACATCTTCCTATTTTTCTATTGAATGAAACTATTAATTACACATACCTTGGACCCTCCAATATAACCACCAGCAGCACCGAAACTTTTTGTAAACGTTCCCATCATAATGTCAATGTCTTTAGGATCTAGTCCAAAATAATCTACTATGCCTCGGCCATGTGGTCCCATGGCTCCCACACTGTGGGCCTCATCTAAGTAAATATAAGCTTTGTATTTCTTCTTTAACGCCACTACTTCTGGTAATCTAACAATTGATCCTTCCATACTAAAAACAAAAAATTCATTATTGTTAGATGACCATCAAAAATACTGATTCGATCCCAGATTATTTTCCTGACAGATGTGAATTAATTATGTATGTATGTGTGTCACATTTTCATTTTAAACGACTCTAAAAAAATAATTTACCATACCAAATTCTTTTCACCAATAAAAATTACTGGTTTTGACCAGAGAATAGTCAATGGTAGATTTTACTGATATAACATATGCAAATCAAGCATTATGTAAGGACTTTCCATTGAAAAAAATGTATTCATAGCCTTTAACTATCTTTGATTTAATACTAGGCAATAATTAATTCTTTATAATTTTTATTATAGGAAAGCACTTGCTCTACCTTCTTAAGACAAATATATCTACAATATTAGTTACTTAATTTGTGTATTATTATTAATATATTTAGTCTCATTTTCCAGAATAAAAATGATGACCCAAATTTTTAAAATAACTAAATAATTTTAATAATTTGCAAACTTATATACTCATTTTTGATAATTCTCATCCATCTAATCATCAAAATCTTAATAAAAAAATTACATAAGGCACACTATACTATAATGAAATACCATCTGTCAGAAGTCATGTTTTATAAGGGCTATTCCATTAAAATATATGTGGGAGGGTAGGAAGTGAAGTTTAATTATTGAATGTGGGTCATGGGTCTTTTTTCAGTATGCGTCTATTACCATTATGTAAAATTATCTAAAAAATGGTTCTTGGTTGTAGGGATATTTTGAAAGTCCCTTCCTACCCTCCCACATACATTTCAATGGAATAGCCCTAAATATTATTCCCAGTATATGTACTATCAAACACGGTGTTTTTCCTACCTATATACTCCTTCTACAACAATTAGTATTTTTTTCCATGGCCTGTGGGTTCTTGGCTGTCCAAAGACTACTGCGGTTTTTAGTTTATTTTCTAAATCTTCCATATCTGAAATATTATGTACATTAAATTGTGAAACATTATTAGCTTATTTCAACTGCTTCATCATGACCTACCATCCACATCTGATATTTATATGCATGTATATCATGTTGGACAAAAATATGTATGTATTACTTTATTATTAAAATTAAAAAAATTGTATGATTATCTATAAAAAAAACTATAAATGAAATGCAAATCTTCTTGTTTTCGTTTTAGCTCACCTGACCCAAAGGGCAAAGTGAGCTTTTCTCATCACTTGGCATACGTTAACTTTTACAAAAATCTTCTCCTCTGAAACTACTGGACCAAATTTAACCAAACTTGGCCACAATCATCATTGGGGTATATAGTTTTAAAAATGTGTCTGATGACCCAGCCTGCCAACCAAGATGGCCGACATACTATTTTTTTGCGTTTTTGCTGTACATCTTTAAAATTATAATAGATAGAAACTTAAATAAGCAAAAATAATCAGCAAGACAAGATCTACATTTCAGACAATATGTAGGAAATTTTCCAACAACTCTTCATTGGAGTTATTGCCCTTTAATGACGATTTCTACCATTTTTGGGGCATTTCGCCTTATATGAAAAGAATTATAATAGATAAATAGAAACTTAAACTAACAAAAATGATCAACAAAGCAAGATCCACAAACAATTCAAATTTTGCCGATATAGTTAGTAGACTGTCACTCTTCACAGGAGTGATTGCCCTTAAATCAAGATTTTTTTACCCTCTTATGTGTTTTAAGCAAAGACTTCAGAAGATAGAGAGAAATTAAACAGAAAAAATGATCAGCTATACAAGATCAACAAAAAAGAAATTTTTGTCATGAATTCTATTCTTGTCTACAATGCTGTATAGAGTCCATTGTTAATGATTGCTTAATTGTTAGTTGCTTAATGTCCAGTGGTAAATAGTTCATGCATGTTCAGGACGAGCCAATGTTGATTATGTACAAAGACCTAGGTGAGCGACACAGGCTCTCTAAAATAAGATGACTACTTTTGTTGAAAACAGGAAAAATCTAATGTAGTAAGGTATGAAACAAAAACAATTGGCGACAAATAACAAATCAAAAACCTGGTTATCACAGTAAATAATATGCAGAACTAAATTATTACCAAAGATACTCTTCCAAAAAATTATTTTCAAATAAGGTATAAAATATGCAGGTTCCAGTTAGTTTTAAACGAGACAAAAGAGAGAGCTGAATTAATATTTACCATTATGGCGGAATGTTTTAATGGAAGCTCCTGATAACCTTGACCCCAGCACCAAAGATGAATGGTTCAGTTCATCACTTAATATGAGACATCCCTGAAATTATATAATAATAATAATTCATAAATTTGCTATTCTTTCAAATAGGTATACAAAAATTAGTTGTGTTTCCACTAACCTGACAGACTCTAATGTTTAGTGCCTACCCTAAAGAATTTGTCATTTTTGAACCAGCACTGTTAGTCAGTCAGACTGTTGAAGCAAGTTAAAAACTTTTTGAAATATCAAAACTTTTTGTCCACCAACAGACACTCAATATTTCAGAATGTGATCAGAAACACATTTATAAATTTTTTGACCTTATAAAAGTTATCATTATCATAAAATATTTGCCTACCAATCTATCCTAGTTTGTTCCAGCATGTTTACAGAAATTTAGGTATTATTTCTTTGGCCTATTAAGTCATCCTTTTTTTCCCCTGCTATTAGTATATACTTTGACTTTGTATGGAAGACAGTTTGATGATTGATTTATTGGTGATGAATTCTGTGTTCTATACATTTATACATTTTCATTGGTTGAGATGGCAGAGATCCTTTATTATTCACGGCATACTTAATTTGCTTGATGTATGTGTTACAGAATTTTAATTAACATTCATTTCATTCATTAAGTTTGTCAAAGGAAATAACGCTTTATAAATTTTGTGCATCGGAAAGGGCATTCTTGGATTTACCTTTATTTTGTAAGTTTTTATCTGTTATTGTAACTTTGCTAATAACAACATTTTGAAAATTAGCTTGCAGTAATGATGTACTCCACAAGAGGATATGTTTCAGCAATAACTTACCTTTCCCACAATGCTTGGCATATTCATGGAATTAGTGGCAAAACCCATAGGAAAAGTGGTTGCAGCTTCTACTCCAAGAAACTTTGCAACCAATTCATCTAGCTGTTTATGGATTTTTAAATAACCTGAAATCATTAAAATATTATGTTCAAATCTGTATGATTATTGAAAGATCTTTTTTGTACATTTCTTTTATTTACACTGTTTAATATCGTTCCTGAATATTTATTCATTTAGTCACAGAAAAACATTTGGTTTACAGAATCTTAAATTCAAAGAGAACTTGTCCTCAGTAATTTACTAACCTAATTCTTGCCTACTACCACAACATCCAACACCATACTTCATTGTGCTTTTTTCTACAGCATCTGCACAGGGACCTTTATTTTCAGCAAAACCAAGATAATTATACGATCCAAAGTTTAACACATGTTGCTTCTTTCCTGTAAGTCTGAAATATAAGAAGTTAGAAGACAAATGAGAAATATTTTCTTTTTGTTTTTCTTACTTAGTTCAATGGGTTTAAAACTTTCCTACATCAAATTACAGTTAGGTCATTGCCTAAAACAATTTTTTCTTACTTTCTCTCCTTACTTGGTGAAGATAATTTTTGTAAGAACATGAAAATTCAAATCCTTTGTTATTAAGGGATTTGCCTGTGTTTATGTTTACTTTTATGTAATTACATATTAACAGAATTTGTCAATGAATACATATGCAGCAGAGATGTGCAAGTCTTACAAAGTTTGACAACTTGAAAAAAAAATGTTGATAAAAGTTTTAAATCTATAATAAGATTTCCAATTGTAATATTTTTTTTAAAAGTTTTCTTATAAAGATACTATGACTGCCTAAAAACATAAATTTTATAAGGGTACAATATCAAAGGTCATTTTTGGGTTGTTTTTTTTACCATGGCTGCCAGGCATTGTGTCAAGAGTTCTTTTCAATCTTTACTAAATTAAATCTCTGCACTCACTCTTTTTTTATGCTTGGTCCCTGGGTGGGAGCAGCAAAGAAGCATAAATAAATGTGGATAACTAATTTTACATCAAGCATCTATAGCCTGCTGTACTCGTCTTTTGCTACTCAAGGAGGGAAATGATAACATTAAATGGAAGTTTTGTTTTTGTTTCAAATTATTTCTATTTTTACTATTTACCAGAACGTTTTACCGTGAATTCATAATTGATAGCATCCTTGCTAAAATGGGACAAACATTGAGAAGATCTAGTTTTCAGTGTTTACAGGGGAGGTAATATTTTGTCACTAGATTTCCAACTGTAAGTTAGATGTTTAACTAATTCCCCTTGAGTGTCCTGTAAGAAGGGTGTATTATGTACATACTGGAAGTTCCATCCATTATCAGGAGATACACGTTCTAACATATCCATCTCTGCACCAGCTACACTGCATATTGGTCTGTTCCAACAATCTCTTATTCTTCTGTATAGATTCCTGGTATAAAAACTTTCCCAGCTCTGATAGAGTGAAACATAACCCTAAAGAGAAAAGTCAAATTTTTAGGATTTTAATTGCATGAAACACAAACATGTCCTAGTTTGTGCAAAATAATGAAAAAATGGTGCATAAAACATACTAGGAGCAGACTAATGTGTGATAATTGATTTTTTTTCAAATATCAAATATGTAAATAAGAGTGACAGCTCATATAAACTACTCCAAATGAAAGATTGTTTTAGATGAGAAAAACACCTACAATAAAGAAATATAAGCTAAAATATTGATGAAATTTTCTAGAAAAAAATATTTAACACAGAAAATTATAAAAGAGGCAAGAAGATGTTGCCTCAAATATATATATTGTACCTGAAGCTTGGGTTCTGTGCATGACTTTATTTTTTCAATTCCAATACTCCTCAAGAAATCTCTGATATGTCCAATAACAACAAGAACTGCATATCCCAGATATGTTAAAATGGCTGTAGATAGAGGTGTTTCCTCAAATGTTTCTATAAATGTATCCTTAGGAGATGTGTTCTGAAAATATAAAGGTATCATATTCCCTTTTACAATGACCATAATGAAAAAACTTGCTTCATTATTGTGATGAAGACATACCCAGGGTTCTCACTAAGAATTTTTTATGGGGATTCCAGCTGGGACTCATTATTTTTGGCCATGGTGAGTCCATAAGTGAGAAGATGAAATTTTACTGCTACATAATTTATTATTTCAGTCTCCATGACGAAATAGAGCATTGAAATTAAATCAAATTTAGATTATTTTAAAAACACTTGTTATAAAATGATGATATACAAATGTGTATGCTCAGTTGATACAACATTTTACAATTTTGATGCATCTTTGAACTCACCAATTTTCAAAATGATGAGTTCAGAAAGATTTTCATGAGTCCAGGACTGATGGACTTGTCTTAGTCACAGTGAAAACCGTGCATACCATTTGATACTTGATCAACAGCAGGAATCCTTAAACCCCTCTGCTTTAATTATTATGGCTATAAAAGGTTTTTTTTTCAATTTGTAATCATTTTCTTCTCAAATAACATGGAAGTATTAATAAATAAACATGTGTACATGTATTTGAAATCTTACCCTTTTCAGTTCATACCATCAGTAATATATGTGTTACTATTAAAACAGGTTTATCCTTTTACCTTCTGACCTGAAAAGGAGATCTTCTCTGATCACAAATATATCAGGGACCCCCTTTCATGGGTAATTTACTGCAATACTCATTTCCAATGGTACTCATAGAAATTGCTACCTTTTATTTAACTGCATTTTAACTATTGTATTGTATATTATATGCCTAAGACACTGTTAAAGTCTAAATATGTGTGCAGTAGGTATTGTAATTGTGTATCTATATTGCACGAATCTATGCTAATCAATATTCTCTTTTTCTCTACATGTATGCTCTGTATGCCCCTTGGGGGTTCATATAAATTGGAAATAAAGAATGCTGTTGTTATTATCAAAAGGTTTCAGTTAAATGATCAAAAATGTGTATTATCAATAACTTCAAACAAATCCAATCATTAATGCATGAAATGCTTTTAAAAAACAATCTGTCAAAAAGCTTAGGCATTCTAGTATACTGTGTCAACAATGATTTTTCCAATAACTTATCAACTTGTCATTGGAAAACAACTCCTCAGTCATTTAACACAGTACTTAATGAGATTTTTATCTACATTTGTAAATGATTTAGTTAAAATGAGAGTGAATATTTGATTAACTTTCAGAAGGCTGGTTTTTAAAGGTAGATTACTAAATGTTAAATACAAATACAAGTAGGTTCTCACTCTCAGTTGTCAAGCTTTTACAATAATATTTGCTTCTACATATTAAAAATTATAATATCTGCTTCTACATGTGCCTATTAAGAATAATAATATTTGCATCTAAACTTTCAGAATGATAATATTTGCTCTCTACATATTTTTTAAGAAAAATAAAATATGATTTTTTTTTCTTATCAATATTCAGCTTGCTTCTTTATATTTAGTTATGTCATTTTGTCTGTTTAAAACAATTATAAAAATTACCTTTTGTAGTATATTCAGAAACAGTTTAATACCCATTTTTCAAACTATTCCAATAAAGTTCATACACAGAATATTATTTTTTTATGTCCTGATTTAATTATATACTAAATAAACAATACTTGCTTATACATGTACATGTACTTGTAGAACAGACATAAACAAGTTTTCACACTCAAATCTTAATTGATCACAGCAGGATGTGTCAATAGTTCATATGGGAATTATTCAGATTAAACTTTTATTATAAGTACATGTATCTAATTGTTTTACACTATTGTTTTATTTTATTTTGGTAAGGTTTCTTAATCAAATTATTGATAGATGTCAAAATCAATTTATTTTTACAATAACTTAATAAATCAACTCATACAAATCTTAAAGATTTGGAGTGAGACACATCAAAAATACAATCAAGCAAGATCTTTTTTTATTATTTATTGTCTTTCGAGAAAACATTTATAAAAGGAAGTAATGGTTAAATATGATGTGACAATGATAATTCAAAAAGTGTTGTTTTTTTACTCATAAGCACAATTGAAATGCTTCTGGTTCTGTCTCATAATGAAATAATAATGATTATGAAATTTAAAGAAGAATCAAAGAAATTTGTACTTTGAACATAACAAGATTCACTTCCTGTTTTACTTCTTGTATTTTATAATCCTCCTGACATAGGAGCACTCAACAAATTTATTTTTAACAATGATGGACAAAAAAGTAACTGTTTATACCTTCTGCAATATATTATTGCATCAATATAATATGATCATCTACAGTCTCACCTGTTATATTTATAAAACTCCTTACTGAGGAGCACTTTGATGTGCACTTAAAAATACTTTTTTGTAACAATTCAAATGATAATAAATAACTCTCAATAACATATATACTTAAGAAATAATTCTTTCATGCCATGCTCTATGCTCATTTTAACATGGGTAGGCATTATATTTGTCAATATCTTAATACCGAGCGTTAGCGAGGTGTTAAATGTTGACAAATATAATGCCTACCCATGTAAAAATGAGCATAGAGCATGGCATGATAGAATTATTTCGATTCTAATAGGACAATTTTGAAATTTTGTACTTCGAAGCGGACCTATAATACACGCTCAAAGGCCGCCATTTTGATTTGATGAACAAAAAACGTTATAGAAAATCAACAGTTTAACGATAAAAAATAAACAGATACATTTAAACTTACTTTTAGAATGATTTTATTTAATTTTCTAGTGAGCAACACCAACACAAATGTCCATTTTGATCCCTGGCCTTGTTCAAAATTAAACATACGTTGCAATTTTAATTGTGACGTCAATCACATGCAGCCCATGTTTTATTGGAATTAGAACATGGCTTTGTATCCAAAGTCAAAGAAGAACGTCATATTAGAATATATGTTTGAACAAGTAATTTAAATGTAGATAATTTTGCATGTATAACTCCATCTTTCAAAACTACTTGTTTATTTTTATAGACTGGTATAAGTTATAAAACATTGAAATTTCTGATGATTATTTTCCTTATCAAATGTACAAGTTTGTTTAGATTAACATCAAAATGATATGCTTTGCTTCATGGTATGATAATTTGATAAAAAAAAAAATCTTACTGGAACCAACATCAAGAACACATTAATTTCTGAATATGGTTTAAATACAACTAATGTTCTCCAGCTGCATGAGCCTAGCAATATTCAAGGTAATTTATACACTGTCCAACAGTGCCCTTAAAATCTGGGTTATAACGCTAAAGTGCCCTTTCAGACAACTAGCACCCTTCTGCCCTGAGATTCAAGCTGGAAAACTGTCATTAAATAACACTTACATGTACATGTGAAAAAAATAATCATTGTTATATTTAAGAATTTTTTGTTTTATTTTAACCACAGAATAAATTGTTTTATCCTTAAACATGAACTGCTTGGAACATATTTATTGGATTTTATAAGTTACTATTGTATCATCAATGTATCGCATCAAATCACTGTAGAAACAAATCCATATTATTTTCCTATTTTTAATGTTTGATTTATTAAATATTGTTTAAAATTAGTCATGAAGTATACCATAGATAGAATTACAATGGTCATTGAATGCCTTCTATCATGAAGTATAACATATATAGAATTGCCATGGTCATTGAATGCCTTCTATCCACATGTTAAATATGTTGTTATTTTATTGTTGTTTTTGTTTATTCCATATGTCTCTTGTCTAGATTAAATATTTATTGGTTCTGCAAATGTTTAAAATTATATTGTTTATATGTAATATGCCTTCATGGGTCCCTGATTTGTTGAACACAAATATTGTTTTCTTTTATTCTAATTATTAATGAATATTTGATTGTTTTTTTGTTGTTTTTTTTGGGGGGCGATGTTCCCGAGATAACACTTGTGTAAAGCTGTTAATTATATAATTACATTGTATTTATATTTTTTTACATTTCTTTGGACCTTATATCTGAAATGCTTCATTAATTTTTAAGTTTATATTACAACATCAACACATGGAAATCATTGATTATACAACATGTATATATATATATATATATATATATATATATATATACATTTATAACAGTTCACCTTAAATTACCAGAATAAAGGTGGATTGTTCAAAATTGTGAGGCCCCAGGGTCAATTTTAATTTCATTTCCACAAGTGTAATGGTATCTTTTTCATAAGGAGAAGTTGTAATTTAGAATATAGCAAAGTACTCTCGACCAATGAAATTATAGAATTGGATGCCTCTTAATTGTGAAGAATGAATGTAAATCATGTTCTTAGTAAGGGATTATCCTATTATTTGGGTCTATTTTCAGTTCAAAACAAAGAGTTTCTATAAATGAGTTACAACTGCCCGGAAGCACATTTATCAGATTGAAAGGATTTATCACACAGTGATTGAAACTGACTAAAAGTTGAATTGTGAAACAAACAAAAATCTCAAAACAATTTGGTACCGTGAATTCTATTATGAAAATATTAATAACTTCAAATTACTATAAAATTAAACAATACCAAAGCAATGCAAAAAAAGGAAGAAAAAAAATCTTTCAGATAAAAAATAACCTTAATCTTTAGCTTTCCAAAAACTTTGATTACTTGATCAGCGGTTGGGGAGAATAGTTATTTCCAATACATGTATTCCGAAAAAAAAAACAGGAATTTAATTTTTAACATATTAAAAACTTTTAAGGGCATTATTTTTTAACATTTCCCTGGCATAATGAAACAGTATTTGATGTAAAAAGCCGGACCAAATTATTGGCTGTGAAATAAAATTTAGTTGTAACTCAAATGTATTAATTGATTTAAACTGTAAATAAAAAAAGGATAATTCCTCACTAAAATATTACATGATTTACATTCATACTCACAATCAGGAAACATACAATTCCTACCTTTTCTTTCTACTGTTGTGTCACCTAGTATCTATAACGCATTTTTAAAAAAAAAAATATTTCCCAAATGATAAGAAAGTCCTCACATCACTAAAACTTATCCATAAATGACATGCCGAAAAAGGAAGTCATGCATCAATTATAAACATTGCACTGACAATGAAACTAATTCTTGAATAGATCATTTGAGCCTTGAGCACTTTACAATATTCTAAGTTTGTAAGAGAATGATAATCCCTTACTTTATGATAAGTACTCGCTAACGCTCGTACTTATTCATGAAGAAAGGGATTATCATTCTCTTACATATACTAAGATTCGACTTTATAAAAATAAACAGCTGTGCATGAGCGCATGATATGCCTGTTACATTTTTGTCGAGCCTTCGACTTTTGTCGAAAAAGCGAGACATAGCGATCCTACATTCCGTCGGCGTCGTCGTCGTCGTTGGCGGCGTCCACAAATATTCACTCTGTGGTTAAAGTTTTTGAAATTTTAATAACTTTCTTAAACTGTCCTGGATTTCTACCAAACTTGGACAGAAGCTTGTTTATGATCATAAGATAATATTCAAAAGTAAATTTTGAAAAAAAAAATTCCATTTTTTCCGTATTTTACTTATAAATGGACTTAGTTTTTCTGCCAGGAAACATTACATTCACTCTGTGGTTAAAGTTTTTGAAATTTTAATAACTTTCTTAAACTATCCTGGATTTGTACCAAACTTGGACAGAAGCTTGTTTGTGATCATAAGATAGTATCCAGAAGTAAATTTTGTAAAAAAAAAATCCATTTTTTCCGTATTTTACTTATAAGTGGACTTAGTTTTTCTGCCAGGAAACATTACATTCACTCTGTGGTTAAAGTTTTTGAAATTTTAATAACTTTCTTAAACTATCCTGGATTTGTACCAAACTTGAAAAGAAGCTTGTTTGTGATCAAAAGATAGTATCCAGAAGTAAATTTTGTAAAAAAAAAATTCCATTTTTTCCGTATTTTACTTATAAATGGACTTAGTTTTCTGCCAGTTAACATTACATTCACTCTGTGGTTAAAGTTTTTAAAATTTTAACAACTTTCTTAAACTATCCTGGATTTGTACCAAACTTGGACAGAAGCTTGTTTATGATTAAAAGCTAGTATCTAAAAGGAAATTTTGTTAAAATATTTTTCCATTTTTTCCGTATTTTACTTATAAATGGACTTAGTTTTTCTTCCAGTTAACATTACATAACAGTTTAAGTTTTTATTTAAAACATTTATTAGATTCATAAACTATCCTGGATTTTTACCAAACTTGGACAGAAGCTACTTACAATCAAAAGATAGTATAGAGAGGAATATTTTTATTAATTTTTTTCCTCATTTTTGTTGAGCCTGTGATATACAGCAGAAGTAGGCGAGACACTAGGTTCCGCGGAACCCTTACGAATTTTTTATGAATAAAGTTCAATAACTTCTCAATGTCAAATTTCAGACAATAACTCAAAAATAAAACTGACAATTTAGAAATACAGCAATGTCAGCAGCAAGGCTTTAACTGATCAGTCACCATTCAATTTGTAAAAAGAGACATCTCCAGCTGCATCTAGATTCTATGAGTTGAGTCTGGAAATACCTCTTCATTACAAAAATATAGATTAAAAAATAGTAATCTGAATTAACCCAATTATGTTTTGACCAAGAAAATTAACATGATGAGTTAAGAGAATTTGATTTCAATGGTCGATCTTTTAAAACCAGTCACCAAAGTTTAATGAAAACTGCTCAAAGCACTTTAAAGGTATTGTCCGAAAACTAGAAAATCACCCCTTTTTTATGAATAAAATCCCATAACTTGGAAGTGTAAAATCTAAAATTTATAAAAATTGAAAGGGAGCTTACATCAATAGATATAAACAATTCCCCAAAGTTTCATGAGAACTGCTGAAAGCATTTTTGAGTTATTGTCTGAAAACTGGAAAATCCCCCCTTTTTTTAATGAATAAAACTTCATAACTCAGAAACATAAAATCTAAAATTTATAAAAATCAAAAGGGAGCTCATGTCAATAGATATAAACAATTGACCAAAGTTTCTTGCAAATTGGTGAAAGCATTTTTGAGTTATTGTCTGAAAACTGGAAAATCCCCCCTTTTTTAATGAATAAAACCCCATAACTCAGAAATGTAAACTCTAAATTTTTTAAAAAAAATAAAGGGAGCTCACATCAATAGATATGAACAATTCACCAAAGTTTTATACAAATTGGTAGAAGTGTTTTTGAGTTAATGTCCGACATGTTGACGACAGACAGACAGACAACGGTATACCATAATACGTCCCGTAAACTGGCGTATAAAAACAAATGATTTTTATCATAATTTTCTACAGAAAATAATTAATGCAGGTTCCACTATATTTGAAATGATCTCTTCATAATAAATATAACATTTCATAAATTTGATGCCTCCTAATAAAGAATGCTCAAAACCATCCATTTGAAAGTCACAGATGTATTAATATTTGAGGACCTAAATGACAAAAAGGCACTTAAACAGAATAGCAAAAACCATCTAAGGTCAACTTTGCCTGAGGGAATTGGAACCTATAATTTCTCAACAGAAAACTTAATGGATGTGACAAATCATGTCACTGGTATAGAACTGACAATTTAGAAATACAGCAATGTCAGCAGCAAGGCTTTAACTGACCAGTCACCATTCAATTTGTAAAAAGAGACATCTCCAGATGCATCTACATTTTATGAGTTGAGTCTGGAAATACCTCTTCATTACAAAAATATCGATTAAAAAATAGTAATCTGAATTAACTCAATTATGTTTTGACTAAGAAAATTAACATGATCAGTTAAGAGAATTTGATTTCAATGGTCGATCTTTTTCTGAACTATAGATTGGACATGGCTAAACAAATTAATTATATTAGTGGTCAACAAGTTAAACAATGAATAAGCATACATTCATACATGGAGTTATTTGATTAAGTAAAATTTATTTATTTGTACATCTGCAGTGTGTATTTAATGAAAATATAGATACCAAAGGGACCATGAATATATCTCCATTCATCATCCTAAAAAATGTATATGAAAATACAGGCAATACATGCAGTTATATTTATTGACTTATTTATCTAAGAAAGGTCAAGGATATATATGCAACAAAAAAATTGTAGATAGCAACATGCCTAAATTCTTATTACACAACGTAAATGCAGTTCATAAACCAGGGACAGAACATCTTTGTTTTGGCAACCGGCAATATTTACAACGGGAGATAATCATGGAATGTTGTTTACACTATTAAAATGGGCGTGTCGAATCACGCATTCGTTTTTTTTTTATATTTACAACTTAATTGAAAAAAAAATTTAGTTTATTTTAAAAAAATTCATTAAATATAAACGAGATTTTACAGTTATTGTGAATTTTATCAATATAATTTATCACTTTTGCCGGTTGTGCAAGTAGCATAAAGTATAAATGTTTCAGCTGTAAACACGCGCATTTCCATACTTAACAAATATTTTAATACAAAACTTGCGTCAGCACAAATTTTAATTTTACCTGTGAAATATGTCCGTTTTGATAAAAATGATTAAATCCATTAGTTTTCCCATTCATCCCATTTTTCGGCTTCGTTTTTCCAGCCATCTTCACCAGTCTATAATTTTAACCAAATTTCGTATCACTTATTTCATAGGACTAAAGTGTATAAAATTGACCAATCAAGTTTATCGTTATATTTTCTAAAAGGAACTGTCTTGTTTCCCATTTCATTTCGAAGTGAAATAGCTAAGGGAGAAAACTTAGAAAATACCGGAAGTTTCTCAAAATAATTTATGTTTGCGCATGGCAATAACGTCACTTTTAACTGCACGGGACAGCTGAGTGAACAGTTTGTAAGATTAACCTAAAAATTAAAGGTGCGACAGAATGGCAGACAATGATCTGTTAGGCGATTTCCAATCAGAAAATAACTACCACCCGGAGGATTTCGAGAAAGTGGATAAAATACCAGAGCAAGATGAAGAAATTTCATCGAGTTATGTCGGTGAGGAGGCAGAGGCCGATCGTTATGATCCCGGCAATACTGATCCAGTTGATACGTTTTCTGATTTAGTTAACCTTGGTTCTGCTGGCCAGTCTGCATTTGCTAGCAATGACCCTTTTTCTTATCAACCCCCAGAACCTACAGCACCCCCTAAAGAAGTAGAACAACTTATGTCTGCATTTGAAAACGAGAACACTGAATCGAAAAAAGAACCCCAACAAGAAGTGTCCAAGCTTCCCAAGACAGGTAATATTTATTCAAAATGAGCTCTAGATTTCTAAAGATTTCTTAAACATATGTTAAGTCTTAAGATAAATCCCGTGATTTTTCTACAGTTTGCCTGTTTGGACATAACATTTTCCCTCAATTCTGGTAATTTTGTAAGTCCATTAAGTTGAGATGCGCGTGAAACAATTGCAGAGTCTGACTTGTAAATGGGAAGAAGAAGAGTTTGTCCATGACTCCATATCTTTAAGATGATCATGAGTAAAGGGAGACTTTGTACATCTGTTTCTCTGTCTGTCCCACTTTTGTATCAGCTTTACAGAATTTTAGGAAATTTTTTCAGATATTTTTTACATGCTGTACACACATTGCATGAACAGTACACAATTTTTTCCATTCTAAACCCTTTTATAATGCCCCTTGCTGTAGCAGGGGGCATTAAATTTTACCATTGTCTGTCTGTACGTGCTGAAATTGATTTCTGTTCTCTAACTTTATTTTGCCTCAACCAAATGTTATGAAACATACACTATCATGCTTATTACCACAAAACACGGATCAAGTTTGAATTTAGGGGGCATCACTTTACCTTTCTAGAGTTATGCCCCATAACAAATAGAAAAATTGCTGAATTTTTCTTTTCCGTTCTCTAACGTAAGTTTGCCTCAACCAAATGTTATGAATCTTATGCACAATGCTTATAACCACATAACACCGATTAAGTTTGAATTTGGGTGGTGTCGTTTTTACCGTTCTAGAGTTATGCCCGTTTACAAATGGGAAAAAATTGCTGAATTTTTCGTTTCCGTTCTGTAACAAGTTTGCCATAACCAAATGTTATGAAACTTATACGCAATGCACAGATCAAGCACGAATTTGGGTAGCGTCACTTTTACCGTTCTTGAGTTATGTCCCTTTATAACGTTATATGCCAGCTGGGCATCATCTGTGTCCCATGGACGTATTTAAATTTTTTTGATTAACAGGCTCATCATTCTAGGGGACTAGGTCAGAGAAGTCACTTTCTTGACTGCCAAATCTGATATACATGTACCAGTTGTCCAAACAGTGGATTTCTTCTTTAGACCACTCCTTCACACAGTTTTATGAGCCCTAGGCAGCAAAAATTGTGAACTCAACCAAAATTGTCCAATGTGTTCATGGACTTAAAGCTTAAGGTTGATATTAATTTTCTAATGCAATAAATTTTAATGTCACTTGAAAATTTGTCCAAATAAAACTTAAAGTGACAAAGTTCATTTTGATACTGTATAGTATGTAGAGTAACATAGTTACATGTATAAATAAATTAAAACTGATGTTAGACATGTTACAGAAAAGGTTGTAAAAATGGAACAGCAAATGCAGTTGGACCAAAGGTTTTGTTGAGTGCATTAACATAGGGAAACCATAAAGAGTGCTTAGGATCCAGTGCATGAACATAAATATTCATCATCTACATGCGACATTGTTTTTTCTTGCCTGCTGCTAGAGAAAATTTGGGTTTGCTTTTGCATTTTGGGCTAGCTAGGCCAAAACAAAATATATATGTCTGTTTAAGGGAAAAAATAGGGAAGGTAGGTCGGTATTTCCATTTTATATTTTGCAACACAATTTGGAGTCGAACCATCCGTCTTGCCATGGTCTGAATTGTCCATATGCTGATTTTACCCGTATTTTTAATGATTGAATTATTTCCCATTGTTATTGGTTGGAAAAACATGGCTGCAAAGTGTTTATTTCATCACAAGAATCGCGAGTTTCCTTATAACAGCTGTCATATTCACCATTGTGAACATTGGGATGTATCAGGCAATTGATTTATTTTATTTGCAACTCTAACTTCGCTTTTGGCATGAGTTTAGTTAATTTTTGTCCCCTGCGTAATGTGTTGCAGGGGACATGGAAATACTGGGCTAGCGTCCGTGTGTCAGTCCGTCCCATCTTGTGATCGCTCTCACAGGTACAATTCTTTTCAAATTTTATAAAACTTATACTATAAGTTAATATCAGCAATATCTCGGACAAGTTTTATCGTGGTGGCCGATCAAATTTTTTAAAAAGAGTTATGCCCCTTGGAAATATTAAATATGTGCAACGCGGGGGACATTGGAACTCTGTTCTTTTATTCACTCAAAAGTAGGGTCGGTTGGGTAACAGTTAACAGACATATTTTTTTTTGCCTTTCTTTTTTTAACATCTGACCAGAAATGACCCTTACAATAAATTTTTTGAAAAAAATGGTGTTTTAATGAAATATTTAGTGTAAAATCTCAAGTAGTGAATACCTATGTCCAAGCACTGTACATGTAGTTGTCCATTTAGCTAGCTACTTCTAGTGTGTGTGTGTGAAAAGTTGACACTGCACTGGGTCCTTCAGTGTGTAAATATTCTCACTAATTTGACAGGGTCATCAGAAGTAGTATGGAGCGGGGGCTCTGCTCATTATAACAGTGAACATATTATTGTACATTTAAACATATGAATTTGAATAAGATTTTATAGAACATTTGTACAAAACTAGAGGCTCACTAGTACATTGTCCAACAAATTTGAACACCCCTGCAGTGAACAAGAAGGCCCTATTGATTTTTGGCTCATCAGAACAAAGGTTTAGGGTACAGTTCAACTGCAGATCTTTCTATCAATAGACTGAAGTTTTTGGGAAATGTTTTGTTTCTAGACAATATTTTTTGAGTCCTTGATACAATGTTTGCCACTCTATTGTGGATATTGCACCTTTCAGTACAGAAGGCCCTAGTATAGGTTTTTTTTTAGGTCACTGGATCAACAGTTAAGGTCACATCTTTAATTTAAAGAATTTCAGGGAATATTTGTTTAACCAGTCATCTAATCATTACGAAGTTAATGACCTCCCTTGGGAAGAGATTTTTTTTGTGGTCAAGTTTAGTTTTTGGACAAAATAAAATTGAGAAGGGAAACGGGAAATGTGTCAAAGAGACAACAACCCGACCAAAGAGTAGAAAACAGCCCAAGACCACCAATGGGTCTTCAACACCGCGAGAAAATCCCACACCCAGAGACGGGCATCAGCTGGTCCCTTAACGAAAATGTGTACTAGTTAAGAGAAAATTGACGTCACACTAAACTCTGAAACATATAAATGAACCAAAATTAAAAAAACATGCAAGACTAACAAAGGCCAGAGGTTCCTGACTTGGGACAGGCGCAAAAATGCAGCAGGGTTAAACATATATGTGAGATCTCAAACTTCTTCTACTTCAAATCCATAAAGATTGCCAGTTGGCTTTTGCATCCATGGTGCTTCTGATTTTTTTAAATTTTGAAAACTGTACATGTATTTAACAGTAATCCTTGCTTAGTTGTGTCTTCCAAAATGGAATCCCAATGTCAAATTTACTTTTAATATCAAGCTTAAAATTCTCCCCTAATACTTACTTAGCATTCTATTTCACATCTTTTATGTCTGCATTTCACATGAATTATTTATTTATACATTTGATAATTGTGTTTGGGTGTGTGTGTTTTAGAATAATGCATTTATTTAGTTTTTATAAAGATCATATACATGTAACCAACTTCCATAATATTGTAAATATTACAAATATATTATTAGCAATTGAAGTTAAATTATCAGAATTTGTTTTCCTGTTCTAAATTTATGTATAAATAAATTTTATTGTGAAATACATGTTCATGTATATATGATGTATCAGATTTTTGCAGTAAAAATAATATCAATAAAAAGTAATAAAATAGACAAAATTTTCTAATTACAGATGTTTAAATAATTTGCATACTGTATATATGAATAATAAATTTTTGCGAATAATAGCACATCATTTGTATGAACTTTTTCAGAGTCAGTAAGGCAAAGCACAAGTCCACCTGCAGGTAACAACTTTGATATTTCCTTTTTCTTACTTTTATTTTATGTACCCCTTTTAAGTTCTTTTAAAGCATAAATTTTACAAATGTGAATTTCCTTCTATTTCTGTAATTTGTATCTGAAAAAAAACCAATTAAATACATGTACTCATGTTTAACATTTCTGATGAGAAATTAAGTAAATCAAATATATTTTATATTTAATAACTTTCCTTGGATTCAAATGAAGATCTAGTGAAACCCCTTTAGTGGTCACTCTCAGACCTATGTCCCGAAAGAGCCCATCAGAACCATTTTTGCAGAATACCGTAATCAGCCATGTATAGTTTGCACTGGTCATGCTGGTACATAATCTGCACCCCCCTTCTCGCCACGAAAATTCAGGTACACAAATTTTTGTAACTGGTTGAAAACACCGCTTTTTCAAATCCGGTAATATCAAATCGTATGTGATCGTTTGCAATATTTTCATAGAAAAACCCTTTTCAATCATCAAGTAGAAGTTTTTCGGTCTGTGCTTCCATTCGTTCATCTGTTCTGTCTGTCCTGCTTCAGGTTAAAGTTTTTGGTCAAGGTAGTTTTTGATGAAGTTGAAGTCCAATCAACTTGAAACTTAGTACACATGTTCCCTATGATATGATCTTTCTAATTTTAATGCCAAATTAGAGTTTTGACCCCAATTTCACGGTCCACTGAACATAGAAAATTATAGTGCCAGTGGGGCATCCGTGTACTATGAACACATTCTTGTTTCATTCTGTTATATACAAGTGGTTTTCAGTTTATGTTATGCAATGCTGTGAAAAGAAACAAGACAAAGAATAGATTGAAACAAGAAATTTGTAATGAAGCATTCAATTTTGAAATTAATCACTTTATAATGGATTTTGAATTAAATTGCACATCAATATGGGTTAGTTGTCTCATTGGCAATCATACCACATCTTATTTTTATAGGTTAAATATTAGTTTTGAAAATGATAAGTGTGCCGTCTACAATTTCAATAACAAACATGGCAGAGCGTAAACAGACCTTTCAAAAATTCTTGAGTTTTTCTCATTTCTTGCTTATTGAACTCTATAAGCCGCACCCCTGCCTGGCAGCTTTAAAATAATTTTGCGGTTGTATATTGGTATCACGTCGTCGTCAGCATCATCCGAAGACATTTGGTTTCCGGACAATAACTTTAGTAAATGTGAAAAGAAATCTATGAAATTCAAACACAAGGTTTATAATCATAAAAGGAATGTTGGGATTGATTTTGGGGGTTATAGTCCTAACAGTTTAGGAATTAGGGTCCAAAAAGGGGCCCAAGTAAGCATTTTTCTAGTTTCAAGACAATAACTTGTGGAACGGTGTATGGATCTCTGAAATTATACCACAAGTGTCCATACCACAAAGGGATGGTTAGGATTGGCTTTGGGGGGTTATGACTCAAACCGTTTAGGAATTAGGGGCAAAAAAGGGGGAAAAACAAGGGTTTCCTGGTTAATGGACAATTAAAAAAAAATACAATGTTATGTTTGGATTACCTCATTTACACTGCTTTTAAATTATGTATAAATAAATGTTGTATTGTCTTGAGGTGATTAGCTGTCAATTTAATTTTAGAAGATACTATTTAAAAATGCTGATTAAGGAATATTAATTTTAGCCATGATTATGTATGTCATTTTCTATTTTAAGACTTTTATGATGTATTTAAATGGGTAATTATGGTTGCAAACTCCATTGGAAATTTTTAGATTTCATAAATTAAAAAGAAAATTTCTTCAAATATTTAAAAAAAAAAAGGGGGGGTAAAATTTTTTAAATTTTTTTTAGGGAGGGGGTCAATTCGCAACAGCATAGTGTATTGCACAAAAGCAAAAAATTGAATATAAATTCAAATCATATAACCAATTCTAATTTCTTTGACTACAGTTATTCTGTGTCAGAAACCTATATTGTGTCAAATATTTAATTACAATCCAAATCCAGACCTGTATCAAGCGCGAATATTGTGTCCATTTTTGCCCCAACTGTTCATGGTTGGACCTCTGTGGTAGTATCCAGCTACGCTCGGCGAAGCAATTTATTTAGAATAAAACCGCGGACTATACAGGCCTGAATTGGGAACTTGAGTTTTACATGTATATTTTTCTATGGGTGTCATCCACTTTGTTCCAGACCGGTATTGTAGAAAATTGTTCATCAGCCCAAAGTTTGAATGTTAAAACATTGATTCATGGTAGACTAAAAATTATGAACAGGACTTTTTATTATTCTTTTTAGTATGACTGAAAGGTTTTGCTGATATGTTAGAATTTACATATTTGAATGATGTTTTTATTTTATTGCTTTTTTAAAATTCGTTGTAATGGGACCGAGGTACTAGTTTTGGCTTTGGGGCACTTTGGTGGTCATGGAATTCAACCAATTTTAATACAGTATATTTAATATTAGTTAACAAGAGCAATTTAAAATCATTACTTCAATTGAAACATTTTTGTAACAGGTCAACTTTTGATACATTTCAATTATAATTTCAGAAACTGCATCATGGTTGAAAAATGTAGATCCACGAGGTGAGTGTTGCTATAAGTAAATCTTTTTAGATTAGACATTGTTAAAACAAGACAAAGAAAAGTCTGTTTAAGGTTGACTAAATTACCCTGAGTTAAGTATCTACTCTTATCCATTCTGTTGAGGCTTTTTGTCAGGTACCGTCCAAGATTTTGTCATTTCAAGATTGCTTCCCCACAGAATCAATATTTTATACAAGAAAGATCATATTGCAACCTTAAACAGATATTTTGTAGGTCACACCAACTTATATTCATTTCTTTTACTACATTTTTTTAGAATGAATGCATTGTTGAATAATACATTTAATATGCCAAGATTTTTTACACACCAGTTCACAATAACTGAACAAACTTTTGCTAATACAGTAGGCATACATTGTAACATGTACTATGTAATATACAGAACTGTATGAGTAGTAGTAGTAATTTAAGTTTTCCACTTTTGCAGATTCACTATTTTTTTTTGGGGGGGGGGGGGGTATTTTTTAGGGTATAGAAATACATGTATATTTGTTAAGGTTTTTTTCCCAGGAATTAATGGGTTGTAAGGTTGAGATTTTTGTCAGAGAGGGGTGGAGGGGGTTTATTACATTGTGTCTTTACTTCCAGTTCTTGTATTATTTATATTGTTTTACAGGTTATTTTTAATCTGTCCGTGAACAAAGTGGCCTAGATTAATATGGTTTTGACCAATTACGTCCCTTATTTTGATAGAACAACTAATATGTAGATGAGAAGTTTGAAATGCGATAACTGTTTGGTTCAGAGCATAAAATTATAGTTGGTTGGAAAGCCCTAACGCCTGTTTTATTTAATTTATTTGTGGGGGGTCATATTTGTAAGAATATCACTATCAGCCCTTTTGACATTTAGGACCTAAATCCACAAATTAGCAAAAGTAATGAAAAAGAAGATTGAATTGCTATGATTCAGATATAAAAAGGCCTAAATCTTTTTGTTAGGTCTGAACTTTCAGCTAGATCTGTACATAAAGATTTCACTAAGTGGAGAAATATCAAATTGTCAATCCCTCTGTTGTCTGTGTTTCTTTTTACTACACATCTCTATTGCATTTTTCTCAGCAAGTACTGGTCGCAGATCCGTCATACTTTTATCAGTTTTCTTCTTTCTAATTAGTCTTTAGATCTCCAGCTTTTCTTCAAATATTTTTATTTGCCTTCATCATAAAAAAAGCTACTTTATGGTTTCCATAGAAATATTTTTAAGGATGTGGACTGAAGGATGTGGACCTACTGAAAGGAGTGGGCTTATATTGGGTAAAGGGGAATCTTCACTTATAAAAGAATGGGGCTTAATAAGCGCATGTGGCCTAACTCCACTATGCATCTACCCTCTAGGAAAAAAAAACATTGGATCAGTCATTTAATTTAATTTTACTACATTTGTATCATTTTACATAGGGTTTCAAATGAATTTAATTAGGAATACATACCATACACATGCAAGTTCAGAGATAGTATAATTTAAGATTATTTGTTAAACCATTTACATGTTCCTAGTCATACACATTTGAAAAAGTACCAGGCTTTTTGTATGACTTTTGATTCCTGTAATCGAAATGGGATTTATTTCATGTTTTATTGAAATTATGCTTCTTTCTAAGCCCTTTTACTCTAAAGATGCTAGTGTGTATATATGTGTCAGTTGGATCAAGCTTCTGCTGTGTTTTGTAACAAATACTGTAGGGATTGAACATTATCTTATTGACCCTCCATTTGTACCCTATAGTAAATCTGTCTGCACTTTCTATGTTGTGTAATGACTTTTGTTTGCATTTAAAGACTCATAATTTTGAACTCTTAGTATGACTGAAGTGTAGAAATGGGAAGGATCGAGTCCTACAAGTTCATTGTTGTTTATATCTGAATGTTGAATGCTCTTCACAAATATTTTGCCCATAGTAGTCCTTTTAAAATCTTGTCCAGACAGTGGCAATTTGCAACATAAAACAGTTGTCTTATTGGTTGTTTAGATACAGCTGTCTTATTTATGAATGCTTAGTATCTTCTGTGAAGAAACTAAAATGTTAAATTGAGCAAAACATATTTCTATGACAGAAAAAAAAAATTATGTGAATTTTGTTGTGAAACTGCTGGGATAGAGATTCAAAATATTGTGTACTTTTTGTTGATGTGTCTTTTTATGTGGTTTATTGAAAAGGATTGGTTTTTAAAATTTCATAAGCCTTTCATTTGGTATTTAATTTCATGGCATTAGTGAAATATGAAATCAACCGAAGTAGTAATCAATTGATAATTGTATATTATACAAATCTTTAAAATTAATTCATGAAAAAATGAAAGGAATGAAAAGTTTAGAAAAAATTCAGTGGAAAATGTTTGATGATAAACTAAGAAAGTTGCAGATTTTATCAGTATTTTTTTTCTGTGTGGTGCAAAATGTGTCATTATTAAGGGTAATTTTAGACATGGTTTATGTAGTAACATGTTTATTTCGTGGAATATCAGCATCATACATGTCCATGTATGTATTTGGATCTATAAATTTCAAAACTCATTAGGAGACATTGTGGAATTTTACTGAAAATCCAGGTCAACAAAAATTTCTCCGTAATGCTTCTTTACAGAGTCATCGGGCATCCTAGCTAAATACAGGGTGATAATCTCCCTCACTTTGTCTGGTTGGTGGGGGATTTTACCTTTTTGTTGCATTCCCTTTAAGATTCTGACATTGTTTAGTACAAATGATCACTTCGTGAAGTATGAGTAATGTTATAATTAACAGGATGATGATTAGAACAGCATACCATAGTTTTACAAGTCAGATATTGATTGTTTTATCATTGTAATGGTTATTATTCCATCATAAATATTCAATACATTGGTAAACACCAGTCTCTGGAGTCAATAGGTCTGATTTTATAATCTTTATCATCTCAAGATTAGAATGGATGTCTTGGAAGGAGTTTGGTACTAATATCCGTCTGCCAAGTCAATAGACAAATTCAGAATCTTTTTTTAGTATAAGAATTCAAAATGACTGATTGAAGCAATCAATTTTTTTTAATCAGAACAATGTAGTCCTGGAAATTATACAAGAATTTTGTGAAATAAAATAGTTGATGTTTAAAGCTTTCAATGAGTTTGAAGATATAATTTCATGGTATTTGGCTTGTTTTTCACAGTGGTTTAAATCCCTGTAATTTTTTTGTAGAGATATTTATGATAATTTGTACACATGATATAATGGAAGATGAAAATCCAATAAATGTTTTTGAATATGTACATCAGAAATATCCCTTAAGCTTTCTTTTCATCTGTAAAATGTCTTCCATGATACTTGTGTGGAAATGACAGAAGATTTTTAAGAATTTTCCAAAATAAACAGCTGACCCAAAAAAATCTTATCTTGCAAAGTATTGAATAGATATGCATAATTATATGCAAATTATTATGCCAGATAGACTTTTACTTTTTTCATTGGCTTATTTTTTTTCATGTTGTTTTCTTGCTTTTTTTATTTTTAAAGTTTTCATAAAACAAAAAGCAAAAATTATTCCATAGGTTGTCTACAAAACAGACAGTTTTGCTATGGTCAACAGTGTGACTAAGTTTACTCTGAAACACATATATGTAAATCTGAGTCAATAGGGGGAAAAAATGTATTAAAATTTAATATTAAATTAGGCACTTGTAACAAAATGTTATTAAAGTACATGTAGGCTTGCAATTACAGATAAAATCTTCATTAAATCACTAGACCCTATTTCACAAGCAAATCCCAAAAGAGAGCAGACTTTAGATATGTTTCTATGTAGGTCACCATACTTTCACAACTAGACTTTGAAGAAGTATTTGTTTATGCAAATGGTTTGTTGGGTATAAAAGAAATAAAAATCATGATTTACATATATAATAGCATTGTTTTCTAGTTAGAATGATAATTACTAGTAGAAATTTGTGTTGTTTTTATTAACCTTGTTTATTTGACAATTATTTAAACACCAGACAACGAAGAAGACACTTATTTTGCATCAGACCATAAAGTTACAACTATTGAGGAAGAACCGGAGCATAAAGTTTGTAAGTTCGGCATGTGTAGTCCAAACTAAAATGGCATACGATATACATGTAGGCTGCAAGCACCCATTCTGCATGATTGTTATGAATAACAGCGGATAAATGTCCAGACTTTCAAAAGTAGGCTACTTTACTCCAAAAACCACCTACTTTGAAAATATAAGTTTTACCGAACAAGCTACTTCAGTACACACACGGTAGTTTAGTCAAAAATCACCCATGCTGCTGATGTTGAGTGATTCTCTGTGAAACATGGTGATTGGAGTTGACCTCCAACCTGGTCTTATATTAATACCATGTGATAAAATGTAATATTACAGAGATATATATTTCAGAGAGGATCCAGCACAGTCGGGAGCATTCATTGAAAATTCATCGCCAAAAATCTGGCTTTTAAAACTGAATCACCCTTTGTATACTGTACTCTGAAAGCCAGAGTAAAATTCATTGAAAGCCCTGAAATGTGTCAGACTATTGACACCAAAAAAAAATGGAAATATGAGCAAGGAGAGATTTGGAGTAAACATCTTTGAGATAGCAACCCAAACAATATTGATGTTTATGCTTTTTATGAGGCTTTTTGTATGCAATATTTGCTCATGTTTTTGCTTGTGTTTTGCATTTCAAATTTATCCATTCTTGTACTGGTTAAGTATGGTTTCTGAAAAGCCAGATGAATTCTTTTCGACATTGTTTAAGATGAGCCTGTTAATTTGTGTGAAGATTTCAATGAATATAAACTTAAGGAATTTACAGGATCATGTCTGCATTCATTTGCACTAATGCCATTATGGTTTGGGTCATACATTTTTTTATGAATTATTTATACATTTTTGGTTTTGCTTGCCTTATTTCACGTTTGGTATTTTTTTTTTTTTTCATTATTATTTCTTTTACTGTTCTATTTCATATTATTTATTTATTATAAAAAAATACAAGAAAATGATTACCTGAACACTAATAAGTCGTAACATTAAGAACGGAAAGGGTAACAGTTAACAATAAATCACCAAATTTTCTTAATGGTTACATTGCTCAGACTTCATTATATTGAATATATATTAACTTGTATGGAAAACTAATTTAATCCCTCCCGTTTGTTAAATAGTTTTGCTATGGTTGTGTAAAAAAGGATTTGTTGATCAGCATATTAGGCTGTCAGATATGCAAAGTGATCACCAATGACTTAACTTGTGCGGTTCTGTAAACATTAGTTTTTATGCCCTCGCCTTAGCGGAGGGGCATTAAGTTTTTTCCTTGTCCATACTACCCAAAATTGATTTTCGTTCTCTGACTTTAGTTTGCCTCGACCAAATGTTATGAAACTTATACCATAAAACACGGATCAAGTTTGAATATGGGTAGCTTCACTTTTACAGTTCTCTAGTTATGTCCCTTATAAGGTTATTTGCAAGCTTGGCATCATCTGTGTCCCATGGACGCATTCTCCATTTATTTTATCTTCAAATAAATACAAGAAACTTGTTATGAAGTTAATCTCTTAATATCTTTTTAGTATAGTGTAATGAATGAAGTGGTGAAAAATGCATGGCCAAGAGACCCCATCTCTTTTATAGACAGGCAAATTTCCGTTTTCTTCTTGTTATCTGCAAATCTCTAAGAAAACATCAAAAAAACATTTTTGAATCATGTGTTAACCCAGGTATAACAGGACAAGTTTACAGAATATGTTTCATGCTTCATGGTACACATGTGAAATGGATTTACAAGGCTTCCGCCTACCTACATGATTTGCATGCATAAATGACATGCCCTTCAGAAATTTAAAAATATTTATTTTAATTGATGTAAAAATTGCAATTTGAAAGCCCTTCTTACATTTTTGTCAAAATATTTATGACATGAGAAAAGAGTTACACATATCATGTATATATTAAAATGCAATTATCCATGTATTTCTACTTTTACAAGAAAATGGTTGGTGTTTCAAGACTTTTGACTACACAATCTGGTAACTGCTCATGACAAGGTCTAATGATGAAATTTTTTGATTACCTATTAAAAAAAAAGGACATATGCACTAAATGGAAGCAGATCTTTGAAAAAAAAAATTGTTTGGAGTTCTCCCACTCTGACTTTGGCTAACCAAGGTTCACCTGTTAAATCCAGCTAACCTTCTGTAAAAAAGGACATGTTGTTAAGGTTGATGAACCTTGTTGTATTAGATAGGTCATGATAATTAGATTGGTGTTCAGCTTGTAATTTAATCAGTAAAAAATAACTGTCTATTAATTATTTATTACATAGCTGTGTAGTGATGTGTTAAACTGCTACTTTTATATGTTTTTAGTTTATATTATTCATGCATGAAGTTCATGCAATAACCTTCAAAGAAAGAATAAGGGAAGGGTTCAGTTAGGTCACACATTTGTGGTGTTGTCCTCTAAAATCTCTATGGTTTCTGAACTAAAAATATTAATTTAACCATATACAAGATTACAAGGCACCAGCCCTTTTATTGTCTGTGAGGAGGAGGTGGAATTTTAGGTTTAATGAATAGATACTATTGGGTTTAATGAATAGATACTATTGGGTTTAATGAATAGATACTATTGGGTTTAATGAATAGATACTATTGGGTTTAATGAATAGATACTATTGGGTTTAATGAATAGATACTATTGGGTTTAATGAATAGATACTATTATTTTTAATGAATAGATACTATTGGGTTTAATGAATAGGTACAGGTTGTTGTCTCTTTGACACATTCCCCATTTCCATTCTCAATTTTATAAGGACAGCACAAAAAACCACCCTGATCTCTTTAAGAAATGTTTAATATCAGGTTGTATATAAATTTCATGAGTAGTGGTCCAATATTTTAATGAAATATTTATAGTCCTGATGCTAATAAAACCGTGAGTCTCCTGAACTACCAAAATTTATTTAAATTGCCAACAAAAAAGTAATATATACAACATGTACATTGCCAGGTATTATACTGTACAATAGCACATTAAAGAACCCTTGCAAACATTTTTTTAGGAAGAGGGGGAGGGGGGCTGTAGGTTGCTTGCTGGCAGTGTTGCAAAGCAAATTTTCTTACCCTACCCAACATACAGCTACCCTCATTTTCCTGACATTACCCAACATACATCTACCCTCATTTTCCTGACATAACCCAACATACAGCTACCCTCGTTTTCCTGACATTACCCAACATACAGCTACCCTCATTTTCCTGACATTACCCAACATACAGCTACCCTCATTTTCCTGACATAACCCAACATACAGCTACCCTCGTTTTCCTGACATTACCCAACATACAGCTACCCTCATTTTCCTGACATTACCCAACATACAGCTACCCTCATTTTCCTGACATTACCCAACATACAGCTACCCTTATTAATTTTCATCAAAATTCCCACCTTTCATCAGTCAATACACTTTGCAAAACCTACCTATTGGAATTATTGTTATGTTCTTATCTTGAATGTATGCATGAAATATTTGCCACTGGATAATAAACAATCAATCTTTCCAGGGAGAAAAACTTAACAAAAGTTCATTTAATGTTGTATTGTGACAAACAAATACAAACTTTTGTTGTAAAGTGATAAAACAAGTTTGGTTAGATAAAATCTCCAAAAAATAGTACAAGACCACCACATGTTCATAATGGTGTGCGTATCCCAAGTCATTGGTTGTCTTTTGTTATACATGTATCTTATAATTAAGATTTTTAGATATTTTATGTTTATAAGGCAGATCTTTGGACCATCTAACCCCAATCTTGAACTACAAACTATAGGCCCACACAAGGATAGATATATCTCTTAATCATGGACCCTTAGCACTGGTGGACCCAGGGGGTGTTCTGGGTGTTGGAACCCCCTCTTTTTTTCAAAATTATGTGAACATTACATGGGCCAGGGGTTGAAACACCCCTAGCCCCCTTTTCAAAATCACTGGATCCGCACCTAAATGTACGTTGTATGATAATACCATAATACACCTTGCCATATCCTAAGTTTACACCTTACATATACCCAAAGTTTACACCTGTAGTGATCAGATATCATTATTATTTACAACATCAGAATAAACTGTAAAACATCTGTTCTTTGCAAATCATCAAGAGCTGAATTATCTGTGTAATAACATGATTAGGGAGTTTGTCTGTACAGGCTAAATGTCAATGTTTGCATTACTGCAAAATCTAATTATTGAATTCATTTATTAATGAAGATTTCAGACATCAGTAGCAAAGCTTATTTTGTAATCACAACCCAAGTAATTGTAACAGTACATTCCAGTTTCTGGGAGAATCAAGAACAGAGTTTAAGCCTTCCAGTTCTGTAACACCAAGGATTTGTATACTATACAAATACTTGCTAAAACTGATCGATTTCAAAAGGATTTGTAAGCAATGGCAGTTGGGAAATCACATTTTATGTGTAAGATTTGTATGACTCCTGAATCATTTCTAAATTTACTAGACATATAACATTTATATAATGATAAAGAAACAGACTGCAAGCACTGAAACAACAGTACAAATTATTGACAAATCATAGATTACAGTCACTGAGTCATTGACAAGGTGATTGATTTTACAGTTATTGTGATTACAGATCAATAAAATCTTTTTCCTGATCACCTGTAGGAATGCATGTAATCAATGGAATGCAGTGCATGATAAGGTGAAAAGAAAGCTTTGAATGCAGCCTTGTTAATCTTTAGAATGTAGGGAAAAAAAATATATAACATGTATAATCAATGTGAGATGCAGCTTGAATGCAGACATAAATATACACTATATAAAACGCAGTGTTGACCATTTATTATGTCATCTTTGGTTGTGATCAGGTTGCTGATATTTAATGCTAACTGCATTATACAACTGCAGTTTTTATATTCTTTGTCTCCGTCACACTGTCACTCACACATTAACTTTTTACTGAAATGATAGAAAAAGGTCTATTTATGTATTGATAATGTACACTTGTCACAAAAAAATGTACTTGCATAAGTACATGTTCAAAAGAACATATTTAGGAATATATATTACTGTTTTATATACCTATTTATAGTGGTGTGGGTCTTTTATGATGGATATATATGAATGGCCCTGATCAATAGATTAAATTATGATCAACAATTAGTTTATATCAGAACAGTTGGGTGAATTTTGTAGAGATTGTTTGGAATTGGTAATGGACAAGATTTTTCATAAACGTAAATGCCTGTAGTATTTTCTTTTTACAAATTTTTTTTTATTTTGATAAAAGTATAAATTTGTTAATATTGAACTCTTGAGTTCTTGAGACTCTTGTTCAGGGGATTCGAGGATTTGAGATGGTTGTTACACTATTTGAAGGTGGTATGTTTGGAATAATTCTAATTTTAGCTTATACTATATGATATCAATATTTATTAATTATTTATAGGAGTGTTCATGTAAAAATTGAAAGGATATTAGATATATGGTCCCCTTAGGTTAATCAAGGCTAAACTGTGGGTACTTAATTTTGTTCGATGATCTATTTCATGATTACATGTAAACATTCATTGGAAATGAAAGAAAGTTTCTAGTTTTTCTTGTGAGTGTTATTTTTTTTTTAAGGTTTTGTGATTATCTTTGAAATTAAACATTTAGATTATTGAAGGGGTGGCTCCATAAGTCAATATTTTTTTTAACAAACCACAATTATTCAGACAGCCTTTTGCAACTGATTTCTTATGATGTGCTATTACACCACTGTCCCAGATTAGGATTGAGTGTTGAGTGCTCTCAAAAATTGTTTAACCCCACCATATTTTTTATGTGCCTGTCCCAAGTCAGGATCCTGCAATTCAGTGGTTTTGATGTGGGTTTTTTTAAAAAATTTTATATAGTTTTTCATATGAATTAAGCCGTTGGTTTCGTCTTTTGAATTGTTGCACATTTTGTCATACTAGAGCACACACTATATACATGTAAGTGCAGAAGTAACTGGAATGAAAGCTGTTGTCTGTGTATATGTATGTAATGCGTCACATATTCAATGTACTTTGTGAAATATATCCACAATGGGAAAATGTGTTATATGAAATTATAGTGTAATGTATGTGAGTGTCCTGCCCATCAAGGGCACTTAATTGATAAATCAATAAATATTCTTATTCTTTATAACAGGGTGCTTAAAAAAAATAACATACATACTCCTACTGTGCTGTGTATATAATAAAGTGGAATAAGGAAGACTTATAGATCACTTATTCAGTATTGCTGTTTAGAAAGCTAATTAATATCTGTCCTTTAACTTAATTGATTGTCAAGCTAAAATATTGATTTTTTTTCTATCAACAACAAGGAAATATCAGTGTGTACTGATGGATTCTGCTTAACAATTGTTGACTTGATTGAATGGTGACAAGGGTATATATGGCATTGATATAGAACTATTATTCTATGAAGCATTGGTGGTTCCAAGGGGGGGTGTCCTGAGTTGCTAGATTTAGATCTCTAAACATAATCCATTTTAATACTTTTCCACCCTTGACAAAGTTTTTTACACCAAGATGGCTTTTAATGTAATAGACCACTTTTGGGTTTGTTGCATTTATGTCAAAAACTTTGGTTTTAGTGAACATCATTTGTGCGTTTAGAGGCATCGTCACTTCCTCCCCATGTTGAGCGAGAGGTTTGAAAAATATGATGCTATATTGCACGAATTATTTGGCAAATTAAATTCTTATAATTAATAATCAGCACTGCTGTCATTAGGGAATTGTGATGAAGTACCTACAGAACAAACATTATTGCTAGTTTATCCTGCATAATGAAGGTCACAAAGACGCTTGATGATCGAACTTTAATAGTGCAGGGATACAGGCAATCCTCTCTATCTGGTAAATGACGTCATAAAGGCACGCAAAATTGACCATCTTTTCCGGAAAAGGACATAACTCGAAAGTGGTCTATTGAATATCGTGCATTTCAATAAAATAAGGTCAAATTGCTGAAAGACTTGCATACAGAAATCTGTCCTTTTGCATAAACAATAATATCTTGATGTACCTCTTGTGCATATCTTATACCTTTACTGATTGAGTGAGCAGTGAGATGCCTCAAGAGACTACCAAAATGTAGTAAAATGTCTGCCAGCTCAAATATTATTGACATTCAGGTCAGTCCACTAGCTTAAGCTGTTACTGTCAAAGAAAAAAATTACATTATATTTGTGTAAAAAAAGAGATTTCTTTATGCATAATAAACCTGATGAGATAATATATGAATAGCATTGAATATTTGATTATGCATATACATGTGTCTATTCTTCCTTTTTTCAAGGACTATTAGTATTATTGTAAATTCAGAAATTATTGTGTGCATTTATTTTTGCGATTTTGTCATTTTAGACCAAAATGCGAGTTTGAATTAGTGCGATTACAACCCTGTTGCATTTTTCGCAATAATAAAAACATCGCAATGATTTATGAATTTACAGTATTCATTGATTACATTTTGATATAAAAAGTCAAAATGAAGTGGTATCTGTTCCAAAAACAGTGTTGAGACGGTTGAAGGTTAAAAATGCTTTTAATTATGTGCTTAACTTAAAGATACTGTCATTGGCTTATCATACATGGTTTGAATCTATAAAAAGTTACTCTCTTAGGACATCAAGTTTAACTGTGTAAATTATTTTGATGTAAGAGAAAGTTAGAATGAACAGCTCTGCCCATTGTCCCCTCCCACCCACCACCCCAGCCCCTTTACATATATCTTACAATATTTCTTTTAAAGTTATGTTATATTAAATTTTGCCATAAAGTTACTATCTTTGAAATTGGGGGGCCAGACAAAGTTAATTGATACCTGCCTAATAGGTTTGATCCTAGAAATCAAACCATAAACATTTTAACTCCAACAATAAAACAATTTACAAAATTATTTTTCTTTTCACATCCCTATTTTGATATTTTGATTTTGCAGTTTGCTTTACTTTTGTGTTGCAAGATGCATTACATTTTCAAGCACACATAGATTTCTATTGCATCATTTTAGCCTCAGCATCTTCAATGTGATATTGTATTGCCTGTAGTGTGAATTTTTTTTGCAGAGTAATTTTCACAAATGGAAATGCGGTGAATTTTATCCCAGTGACTAGCAGTAATATTGAATGTACTGTTATTTATTTCAGTATTGGAGCTAATCTATTGGAGAGATTTAAAGAAGACAGGGATAGTGTTTGGATCCATGTTATTTATATTGCTGTCTCTGGCTGTATTCTCAGTACTCAGTGTGTTAGCCTACCTGTCCCTAGCTGTTCTGTCTGTCACATTAAGTTTTAGGATTTATAAGAATGTTTTGGCTGCAGTCCAGAAATCGGGAGATGCTCATCCATTCAAGTAAGATTTTATACTTTTATTTACTTTTTATATGACCGCAAAAAATTTTTGGGGTCGTATATTAGTATCACGTCGTCGTCCTAAGACACTTGGTTTCAGAACAATAACTTCAGTATTAGTTAATAGAAATATATGAAATTTAAACACAAGGTTTATAACCACAAAAGGAAGGTTGGGATTGATTTTGGGGGTTATGGTCCTAACAGTTTAGGAATAAAGGGCCAAAAAAGGGACCCAAATAAGCATTTTTCTAGTTTTCAGACAATAACTTGTGGAACGGTGTATGGATCTCTCTGAAATTGTACAAGTTTCCATACCACAAAGGGATGGTTAGAATTGGCTTTAGGGGGTAATAACTCAAACCGTTAAGGAATTGGGGGCTAAAAGGGGGAAAAAAAAGGGTTTCCTTGTTAATGGACAATCACTTTTAAGTCCAATGTTAAATTTGGATTACCTCCCTTACACTGCTTTAAAATTATGTATAAAGAAATTTTGTATTGTCTTGAGGTGATTAGCTGTGTCAGACACCTATTATGTGTCAAACATTTAATTTCAATCCAAATTCAGACCTGTATCAAGCACCAACTGTTCAGGGTTGGACCTCTGCAGTCCTATCCAGCTGCGCTCGGCGAATCAATTTATTAGGTTTGGGATTTGAAAATTTTTGGAATCATTTGATATGTTGTCTCCCGCGCAACACATTGCGGTGGACATAGAAATACCTGGAGTCCGTCTGATCTTGTTAGCGCTCTCACATGTACTATTCTTGCCAGAATATATAAATCTTATATCATAGGTTTTTATTAGCAATGTTTTGGATGTTTTTGTATGTATAAAAGGAGATTTTGAGTGATCATCAATGAGACAGCAAACCAACGAAACAAATAACCAAAAATACAGGACAACATACAGTCTTCTACAGGGTTCCCACTAAGGTGAATCCATGAGTCCTGGACTCCTGAAAATCTGTCTGGACTCACCATTTTAAAAACTGGTGAGTTCAAAGATGCATCAAGATGGAAATATTTTGTATAAACTGAACACACATATCATCATTTTATAGCAAAGTTTAAAAGTAATCTGAATTTAATGTCATTTCATTGCTCTATTAGTTCATACAGACTTAAATAATAAATTATATTGCAATAAAATATCTTTTTCTTACTGTTGGACTCACTATGGCCAAAAATGATGAGTCCTTGGACTCACCTTCAAAAATCCTTAGTGAGAACCCTTTCTTCTACAATAGACAGGTGTCTACAGTATGTCAAGCAGGTAATCATCCAGAGTCTAATATAAGAAAAGCTGTAAAGCAAGTAAACAGATACTATCAAAGATCTGTTATCAGAAACAAATTCTCCGAAGAACAAAAATCATCACAAGATGAAACAGGACAACTGTGCTGACGGGGATAGTGTCAACTGTCAAAAGAATTGTAATTTCGTACCTCAGATTATGTATAGTTTGATACACAATGGTTAAGTTTTGTAATTAGATCATTCAGTTTAATATGTAGTCAATATGTAATTGTAGAGCCTTGTTGGATATGAACATTGATTTACCTGAGGATAAAGCACAAATGGCGCTGAAGAACATCTGTAAACATATTAACTGTACTGTTAAAGAGCTCAGACGATTGTTCCTTATTGAGGATCTGGTAGATTCAATGAAGGTTAGAATAAATAGAAAAACTGAAAAAGGATACACCCATAGGGTTCACTGGGGTATGAAGGATACACCCATAGGGTACACTGGGGTATGAAGGATACACCCATAGGGTACACTGGGGTATGAAGGATACACCCATAGGGTTCGCTGGGGTATGAAGGATACACCCATAGGGTTCGCTGGGGTATGAAGGATACACCCATAGGGTTCGCTGGGGTATGAAGGATACACCCATAGGGTTCACTGGGGTATGAAGGATACACCCATAGGGTTCACTGGGGTATGAAGGATACGCCCATAGGGTACACTGGGGTATGAAGGATACGCCCATAGGGTTCACTGGGGTATGAAGGATACACCCATAGGGTTCACTGGGGTATGAAGGATACACCCATAGGGTTCACTGGGGTATGAAGGATACACCCATAGGGTTCACTGGGGTATGAAGGATACACCCATAGGGTACACTGGGGTATGAAGGATACACCCATAGGGTTCACTGGGGTATAGGATACACCCATAGGGTTCACTGGGGTATGAAGGATACACCCATAGGGTTCACTGGGGTATGAAGGATACACCCATAGGGTTCACTGGGGTATGAAGGATACACCCATAGGGTTCACTGGGGTATGAAGGATACACCCATAGGGTTCACTGGGGTATGAAGGATACACCCATAGGGTTCACTGGGGTATAGGAGTATGGTCATCCCTTGTTCATCTTCTGACCTATAGTAAAATGTTTGCCAAAGTGGGGCCTCCTTTTGGCTGTGTTGGGTGTATAAATTAGCAGCCACTTTCGGTCAGAATGGGGAGGTTGAATCCCATGACTCATATAGAGACCGTCATGCTCTCTACATATTAAGAATCCTTGCAACAACTCTTTGAGGGTCCATACGTAGCCTGTAGCAAGGGTAATTTTCTGTCACTATCCAATTTACCCTCATTTTCCAGTGACTTTCCATATTAACCTGCCCTTCATTTAGGTCGAGCCCTTATTACAGAACCTACCTACTGTTTAAATTGTTAATTTGTTCTTGTCCTGAACATACAGAAAATATTGACGGACGTTAAACAAACATCAATGAATGAAAAAGAACAAATTATACAAATTCTGTCTAAAGGAGTATTTTCATAATATATAATTACAAATTGAAAAAATACTATTGAACCTTCAGTATCTGATTACGTACTTGTGCTTTGTTTTTCTGCTACTTGTTGACAAAGTAAGCTTGAAGGAGTTTCTGTTTGTCTGCAGCTTTTTTGACAAATGTTATAACAAGCCTGATTTCACATGGAACATCTGTTCACTCTTAATGATTACTATTAACAAAGGATAAAATGAAGTCTTAAATCTTTAATCTGACTATGAGCTGTGCTAAAATTAATATATGTTAGTTGTACAGACCATTATTGAAAAATAACAATACCTTTGACTGCGTAACAAATTTTAGAAGGGAAGATTACATTTGTACAATTGTATGCAAATTGCTAGTGTAAAATATTGTGTATGCAGACCGTGATGTTCTAGACATCTTTTTCATTTTATTGTGTAGTTGGAGTTATTTCCCTTTATCAATCATATTTGACCTAAGTTTATATATTATATATTTTCAGTTTGCACTGCTGTTATGGGTTTTGACATACATTGGATCATGGTTTAATGGAATGACTCTCATCATTATGGGTAAGTAAACTTTTTATTTATTTTATAAAGATATTTCTGGTCTTTGCTGTTAGAATATTTTTTAGGATTATATGGAGAGAAAAAAAGATTCAAGTAACTTTGATAAAAATGTGAAAAAAATACATGCAAAAGTGTGGTTGGTGATGTATGCATAGTAAAGAGACCTACTCGGTTGACACAACTGTTCTCGTCCCATTAGTTTATCAGATTCACTCAGTTTTTTACATTGATTTGTATCTTTTTATTTATGAGATTTCAACATCAGTATACTAATGTTACCTCTAATTTATAGGATGTAACCAATAAATAAAAATATTAAACCAGTTCAATATTACAGTACTCGAAAATTAAAATATTAAAGTTTATAAGTTTTCAACTCACTCGTAACATGTCTAATGTATACTTTTTAAATATTGCAGGTTTGGTAGCTATATTTACTCTACCTAAAGTCTATGAAACATATAAGGTAAATTTTACCAGATTTTAAAAAGTACTCAGATTTTAATATTGTGAATTCGTTATTATTCATAGGGAACTGTGATTATTTTGTGGCGTTATGTAAACTTTGAATTTTTGTGTTCAACAATGCAATTTTCTTATAAGCTTGTATGCAGAATTTGTTAAAAAAAAAAACCTACAAAATCATGTACTGTTGATTAATTATTATTCGTGGGATACCAATCGAGTGGATTTCATGGGTATAGGTGAAACATGAATTTAAGTGTGTGTGTGTGTGTGGGGGGGGGGGGGGTCAAAATTCCACAGCTGGCTATGCACATTTATTGCATAACAGGAACTCCCATATGAAACTTTCTAGTAATGCTAATTAGTTTTATTCACATTTTGTTCTTAAAAGGGAGCATTAGGTAAATTAAGTGGTGAAGGACGTCATTGAGTCATCATTCATGGCTGACTTATTGTTACAATCATACAGACACACAGATCTAAAGAATCATAGATAGACATACCCTTAAGTTCTGTAATGAGATGACTTATACACAAAATAGTGATATATTATTCTGATTAGAGATTATATTTATTATTTTTATTTGACAGGTACAAATAGATAATTATGTGTCAATGGCTTGTGACCAAGTCTGTAAAGTTAAAACTCAGTAAGTATTTATTATTCTTGTCTTCACCATGAACTTTTGAATCCACAAAAATTTAGTTAGATTCTATTGGTCTGTACAGATGATTTTTACAGCCCTGAATGCAATTTAACAAGCCTGGTCTGATCGGCCTGTGATTAATTGTTAAGACTGTAATACTAGAGAACTAAGAACTTAACTAAAGATTTTTTATGCCCCCGCCTTAGCTGAGGGGGCATTAAGTTTTACCCTTGTCCGTCTGTATGTACGTCCCAAAGTTGGTTTCCGTTCTCTAACTTTAGTTTGCCTCAACCAAATGTTATAAAACTTATACACAATGCTTATTACCACAAAACACGGATCAAGTTTGAATTATGGTGGTGTCACTTTAACTGTTCTAGAGTTATGCCCCTTTACAAATGGAAAAATTGCTGAATTTTTCGTTTCCATTCTCTAACTTTAGTTTGCCTCAACCAAATGCTATGAAACTTATACACAATGCTTGTTACCACAAAATAATGATCAAGTTTGAATTTTGGTGGTGTCACTTTTACCGTTCTAGAGTTATGCCCTTTTGAAGTGTATAAGTTTGCCTCAACCAAATTTTATGAAACTTATACACAATACTAATTACCACAAAACTCAGATCAAGTTCAAATTTGGGTAGGGTCACTTTTACCGTTCTTCAGTTATGTCTGTTTATAATATAAATGCAAGCGGGGGCATCATCTGTGTCCCATGGACACATTCCACATTTATTATAGTTGTGTAAATTGTATGTTGGCACAGTATTTGCTAGGATATGAATATTAGAATTTTATCATTTTATAGAATTTAACCGTCAATACACTGCAAAACTAGTATGGGAAAAAATAAAAATCACTGCACACAAAATGGGGGAAAATCATTTTTTAGACTAATGGGAAAAAAATTATCAATGTTAACTTAGATGAAAGGGTGATAAATTAAGTTTTGGTATAACCATTAATTAGTTGTAATTTTACTAATATTATATTAATTTATTTCAGAGTCGTAGCTAAGTTACCTTTCCTTAAGAAGAAAGAAAAGGCACAGTAAAGCCATGAGGAATAATTCCTATACAAGAAATACACCATATATAATAAAGATAGACTGTGTCCTCTGATTGTGTATAAACTGAGAGCCTGACAGTGACATATTTTATTTTACATCACGCTTTGTACCAGTATTAGTCATTGTATCTTAAATGATCGAATGTTTTTTTCGGACTGCAGGACACTAAATATTCCATCATGAAAGAATTTTTTTGCCATCAGCTGACATAAATATGCAAAAAAAGATGTTTGAATTTAAAAAAAAAACAAAACAACTTTGAGAGGAATATTGTAAAAAATTTTAAATATTCATAGTACATTTTTTGTAAGCTTCATTATAAAGTAAAATGTGTTTTGTGTGTTGTACTTATTTATTCATTGTCCTAAATGTTGATCATTACTCTTTAAAAATTACCTTGACAAATTATTTTTTTTTCTTTGCTGTCTTGGTAGTGTGATTATTTCTGCATAAAAGTTTGTAGTCTACATGTTCCAATTCAAACAGAAATACCGGGGTATGTGTGAAACATCAAGTTAAGAAAAAAAATCACCTTTTTTTTTACATTACATTCACATGCAGATATTTGGTGCTGGGTATAACAATTTGTGTTGTGATATCTAAAAAATACAGAACCAGCAAATTTACTCTGTTCTAAAATTACAATTGCTGAAGATTTTAAACTGTCAATTAGAATGATTCACTATGGGATTTCTATAAATATTCAACAGGGTTATTAATCAAAAGTGCTATTTACCAGAATCACTGAATCAATACCACCGGGATTGAAATACTTTTTTCTTACAACCTTCATGGTACAAAAACTATTTATTTCAAAATTGGAAGTAGATGCAATTTTGATTTAAAGAAAAAAAATAAAGTTAAAAGAAAAAGTAACTTTACCATCATAATAATCACACCCCATGATGCCAAATTATACAGTTTTTTTTATTAACAAGTTTTAACAGTACTGTCTTGTTTTATTATATTTCTCATGACATATTTACAAAGGTGGTGAAACCACATAAAGGCCATGATATATTGATAGTTTAATTTGCAAAAATACATGAATGTATTGGATACAAACATATAAGAAAAAGTAGAAGGAATTTAATGACAAGATGTACTGTTAATTTGTTTATTTTATTGAAGGTTAGGGCTATTTATGTGTTAACTACCAACATGAACATAAAAACCGTAACACAAAATAATCATTTAAGGTAGACCGGAACTGTTAATATGGAAAATTTGTAAGGGATAATTTATTTTTGACTTCAAATGCTTGAAAGAAAATCATAGCTTTAAGCACGAGATGTAGATTTTTTGGTATAAAGTAAGTGTAAAATAAGCTAGATATATGAAAACAAATCTGTCAAGTTCATGTTTTGAAACAGTGAAAATATAAATCAAGATGAAAAATAGTTTATTTGGTATATATCTAGATATTTCAAGTATATCATAAAGTGCTTGTTTCAGTGCTGTAGTATAGTTGTTGAATGAAAACACCTTGCCTTTATATAATTATTAAGTAATATATGAAATTAGACATCACTTTGGTAGCAAGATAGTGTTCACTGTCTCATGTAGTTATGGTAACAATGTTGTAGAATAGTAAACATTGTAAAATATGTTTGAAATACACTGTATATAATTTCCGTCTTTCTCCTTGATGTTTTGTAATACTCTGTTTTTATTGCCTTGTTATGTATATATAGATGTGTGCATCCTGTTAAACCAGTTTGTTCAAGTTTTTAGTTTGAGACAGTCGATATTTGTACCTTGAAGTTTAAGGATTTGTTTTGAAGGCTGTGATCTGTGAAAATTATAAGTTTTGTTCAGCGCCATTGGAACAATTGAAGCAAATTACAGACATCTGTGAAAAAGTAGATAAGACTATTTTTAAGGCAATTCAATAAATAGGGTAATATGGTTTTGTGTACACTTGGGAGATTGACAAGTAGTATAATAATTTATCTTGCACAAGTTGGGAGATAACAAAGTTAACTGGTCAATTTAAGTTTATGCTTTTTGCATGAATTATAAAAATGTATGTTATTTTAAGATGGTAATATTTCATTGAAGTATATGTGGAGAAGGGAAATTTATGGAGAAGGAACTATAACATTACATTCACATCAAGTCCATATACACTTCATTAATGCATATATCTGACTGGGCTATCATCCAGAGGAGGGGTGAAGTTATTGATCTCTTTTGTTTTATACCATCATTGTTTCTTTTATAATATACTTTAGTGTTTCCTTGTTCTAATGTTGACATTCATTGAAAACATAAGAATTGACTGAAATAAACACATTTGAAAAAGTTGAACCACATCTATTTTTTATATCAGGGTTGTGTTTGTTTTGCTCAGTTTGCTGTGATCATTGTGGACATGGTTTCATTATAGAAAGAGTTAATTGTTCCATCATTATTGCATTTTATTTTTTTGCAAGAACAAAGTACAAAATATTTAGAATTCATCATTATTCGTTGGGTACTGACTTTTGTGAGAATTGATGAACCACAAAGTTAAGTGATCTTTAATATACTTTATGTATATATATTTATATAGGTTAGTAGACAAAATTTATCAAAACCAAGAAATCAAATGAAATATCTTTGAAAATGCATTGCATCAATCCAACCAAACTGGTACCTACGAAAATAAATGAATCCACAGTATTTGAGAACATAGTGAACACATTTTGTTTATTTCCCACCCACATTCAAAGTACTTAAACTTGTATTACAGTAGTATACGGAAAGTGTGTACTTGGCAAGTAAAACAATGGAAACTTCATTTGACTGATGAGAGACATTGTTTTTGCTACATTCAAACTTTATTTGGATATGGATTTTTCTGACATTTTGTTTTATTTAGATTCGACTTCCCAGCATAATTTAGTTGAGTTTTTGCGGGGTGTTTATGAACATAAAGTATACTTTACAGTAAGTTATATCTAATATATTTATATATAAAGTAAAGCTTTGTACAGTTTTGTAGTTTTCAATGTAAAAGTGTAAAATTTTAAGTATTTATTTATTCAACATGTTCTAATAGCTGTTCTAAACAGACTACATACCCGATTTAAAGATGAAGATATTTAAAATTTCTCGTCATTCTGTAGGTAGATGTTCTCTTGCTTGTCATCTGGCCTTGCAGCCATAAAAATTTGGAGCATGATTTTCGTACTCCCAACTCAGAATTCAATCAATCAAAATACTGGATTTGGTGTTTCAAGAACAAATTTTGTACTCTTGAGTAAAGTTTTATGACCTGAGGCACTGCTTCTTGATTGATAGTTGTCTCCGTGTGTATTTCCATTTACCAGTTATCAACTGACACGTTTTGAAACATTTTTAATATATACATTGTAATGATGAAATATGGGAGTAGTTGATTGATAGATTCATCCAAGGTAATGGAAAACATGTGAGAAGAAAACTGATAAACATAAACCTATTAGTGTTTGGAGACATTTGTCTAATTAAAGAAATATCTGGGTATTATTTCATGTAAGAATCCAACAAAAACTGTTCTATTGAATTATTACATGGTTTGCAACATTGTGAATTATGGTATTCCTAAGAAACTGCATACATAGTTGTAAGAAAATGTAATGTTATAAATTTGTGTAAGAATTGATATATAACAATAGAAGTTCAATGTAGCAAATGAATATACTCTAAAAATATAAAATTTAAATAAAACCATAATTCCAAGTTTCAATGAAATTTGAGTTTGAATTTGGTAAACAAAAATATTCTCATTTCGTCAGTGTATTTTTTCTGATTCGTACATGGAGTTATACTGGAGATATTTTTTTGTTTCTTCCATGGAGTTATACCTGAACAAAATCATCAAATGTTTATATTTTCTTGAAGTCACTGTGTTCTAATAACACTGTAACATTTCATAATTGTAATGTTCCTTTATTTAATATGCAACTCATTATTTTAGAGAGAACATGTTTTTTCTATCATTTATGTACATGCATTTACTTTAATTCCTGGAGACCTTGTGATTAATTGCTTTATGTGCAAAGCCTTGAATAAAATAAACTGAATGTTGAAAGTATTTGTCTTTATATAGTTGATATCGTTTTCCAATTCCAAAGTATTTATTGGACAGAATGGCTTAATTTCTGTCATGTTTGTAATAATAAGTAAAAAAACATAAATAGTCTACCTTACAATCTGCATTGATCAGCATGGCAACAAAATATCTACCTTCCAAATATTCATCTTTAAAATGTTTGGCATAATTTATATAAGGACACTGTAAATTATATGTTTCCCTTCTAATGAACCAAAATTAAAAATATAGGGGGAAAAAAATAATTAAAAAAAAATAAAATCTTTGATTTGTACCAGTTTGAGGGTCCAGTAGCTTCAAAATGTAATTATCCCCCTTTCTAAAGTACCCCCAGCACCTTTGATAACTGAATCTCAATTCCAAGAGCATTGCCAAAGCAGTTGATAGTTCTATACTTTACTGTGTAGAAAATATATATACAACATTCCAGTACTCCTAGTAAAGTAGATTATCTATAACAATGACCTGCACCAACCATTATTTTATAGGGTACTACTAATATGCAGGGGCAGATCCAGCCATTTATAAAAGGGGGGTTCCTAACCCAGGAATAAGGGGGGGGGGGGGGGTTCCAACTATATGTCCCCATTCAAATGCATTGATAGTCCAAAAAAAGGGGGGGGGGATTCCAACCCCTGGATCTGCCACTGATATTGGCCTTCCTTTTACTTGAGGAGTCACAACATATTAATGCTTTACTAAACTAACCCTGAACCTAACCCTAAAACCTAACGCTTACCTTAACTAACCCTAACCAAAAATAAACTCTTTTCCGCTAAAGTTAGTTTGATAGGAATGATATTTTGTTTTAAACTGCATTACAATCAGTACATAGGTTGACAACTATTTCCAGGCCCTGCCCCCTAGGTCATGGTCCAGTGACTTTCAATGAATTAGCAATTTTCAATGTTAACTTTTCTGCCTAAATTAGTTCGTTAGGATCTTCTTGTGATAGATCAATGATTATTTCTATAAAGTTGCATTACTATCAGAACATATTAGTTTGACGACTATTTCGATGCCCCACCACCTAGGTCACGGTGTAGTGACTGAATTAATTAGCAATTTTCAATGTTAACTTTTCTGCTTAAGTCAGTTTGATAGGAACAACTTGTGATAGATCAATGATATTTTGTATAAAGTTGCATTACTATCAGTACATATCAGTGTGATGGCTACTTCAGAGCCCTGCCCCCTAGGTCGTGTTGCTGTCCATCAGATTATCTTTTGGGGAATTTTCTGCAGACAGGCGAGACATACCTCTGTGTCAACAGTTTATTATTTGATAAATAAAATTACATTTATGATACTAATTTGATTCACACAACACATGTTTTGGTAAAAACAAATATCTTATCTGAAAAACCATTGCAAGATAAAATTGAGAATGGAAACCGGGAATGTGTCAAAAGAGACAACAACCCGACCAAATAGCAGCCCAAGGCCACCAATGGGTCTTCGACACGGCGAGAAAATTCCACACCTGGAGGCAGGTTTCAGCTGGCTCCAAAACAAAATATGTACTAGTTCAGCGAAAATGGACGTCACACTAAACTCCGAAACATATATATGATCCTAAATTAAAAAACATACAAGACTAACAAAGGCCAGATGTTCCTGACGTTAAACATGTTTTGTGAGATCTCAACCCTCCCCCTATACCTATAGCCAATGTAGAATAAACAAACACACAGCAATACACACAGTAAAACCCAGTTTAAAAGAAGTCGGAGTACGATGTAAGAATGGGTAACAGAAGAAACTAAGCAAAATGACAATGATCAACATAAATTAACAAAATACTGACATGCTAGCTCCAGACCTCAATTAAACTGATAGAAGGATTATTTCTTCGTCATATGAAAATCTAGCATAATCCCTCCCGTTAGAGGTTTAGTATCATACCATCATAAAATATACGAAAAGAACATAACCCGTATCATGCCAACAACTGGTTTTAGAATAAATGTGTTTATTTCCGATGCAGACCCTATATATGAGTGTATCAATATTATTTCCTAGAAATGCAATCTTTAATGACCTGACAACAGTATCGTAACTATATCCCTTCTGAATAAGTCTCTTTAAAGGTTTGGTTAGCTTTTGAGGTGAATGACGCATTTTTGTGCTTTGTATAGAATATTACCATAAAAGATTGAATGTGAAATACCTGAACGTATAAGATGTCTGCACGTTGATTTATATTTCCGAATGATGTCCTTGTACCGATGATAAAATTTAGTAAATGTTTTGACAAGTTTGTGATATCGAAAACCCTAGTGTAATAATTTTTCAGTTATACAGAGATTTCTTTCGTTAAAATCAAATACATTGTGACATACCCGAGCGAATCGAACAAGTTGAGATATATAAACACCATAAGATGGTGATAAGGGAACGTCACCATCTAAAATGGATAATTAACAATAGGAAATGAAAAATCATCTCTTTTAACGTAAATTTTTGTATTAAGCTTCCCGTTAAAGATATAGATATATCCAGATCCAGGAAAGGGCAGTGTTCATTGTTAGTACTAGCCCTAGGTCAGTTCAACAGTATAAATCTCTTAAAGAACATGATTGATTGTTGTCTGCTTTACGTCCAGTAGCAAATAGTTCATGCATGAACAAGATGATTAAAGCTATGTATTTTTTCAAAACCCTAGTAAGTGTACCAATTGTATAGATCTTGCCATAATAAAAAAAACTCTATTCCGTTCATACTGGAGAACCATTTCTATTGGTCATTTCGGTCGACATACCTTACAGAACCTATACATATTGTATAAATTGTACAAGACCGCATGAAAATGAATTCTGCAACACAAAACACAGGAAACTAATGTGTACAAAAGTGAAAATATTAGCACGGAAAATCTTACGTAGCAACAGATGATAATTACTGATTCATCCGGAAAAAAAAACACTCCTCCCCACTCCCTCTAAACATACACACACACCTCCCGAATATATAATGGTTGTAACCTAATAGCCAAGGGACATTCAGCAAGCAACAATCAATCTACCTCTCTGTCAACCAATACTGGATAAAAATAAAACGAGCCGCTTCAAATGTGCCATGCGCAATTATTTGTGCATTGTATATCTATATATCTTGTGATTTTCATAATCTTTATTATTGCCAAAATGGAATTTTAACAAAATATGCATTATGTTACATCGAGAGGCAACTATAAAAAATACTACACTTTTTTTCTTTGAGCAGAAGTTTTGGATTAAATTAATAATTAAAATCTTTGATTGGAGAAAACTTTTTGACATCCGTGATCAAAAGTTAAAATTGTATGATGTGACCATAGATGTGTGACAAAAAACCAACGCGGTTCGTGTAATCAAAGCTTGACATAATGTTTTTTTTCCTGTTTAAGTATGTTTCTTAGATATTATAAGCAATAGGTCAACTACATTTGGTTCATGGAATGATTGTAAGGTGTACATGTATGTCTGACATGTTTCATTTGACCTTGACCTTAGTTTCATGGTTCATTGGTCAATTGACATGTTTCATTTGACCTAAACCTTAGTTTCATGGTTCATTGGTCAATGTTAGGTTTTCATGGTTTGGTCTTTTTCTTTGACACAATAAGCAAAAGGTCAACTATATTTGGTGTATGGAATGATTGTAAGGTGTAAATGTCTGTCTGGCAGGATCTATCTGACCTTGACCTTATTGTAATGGATCATTGATAATGTTTTCATCCGGTCAGTAAAGCAGGCGAGAAATCTCTGCGTGTGCACTCTTGTCTATGTTTAAAAAAACTACTGGGTATATACGATTTAACAATGGATCCCAAAACATTTGGCATATGTTATTTTCTCTTTTTCGGTTTCAAAGGCTCAAGACCAAGCAGGTTATATCTGGTTTTTTTTTGTTTTTTTTTTGTTTTGTTCAGAAGAGTTACGCTCATTTATCAACCAACAAGATGCTAAGTGGTGAACGAATTTGCTGATTTTAAAGTTAGACTAAAATTATTTTTTAATCAAACTAAATTGACCACCAAAAAATTGATGTTGAAAGTAAAAAAAAACCATTTTGATAAACAGACGACCACATACGCGTTTTACATCCTGATATGCATACTGAAAATCTGCTTTCATTGTTTTTCAGTTATGGGACGTGTTACCTGGATTTTGACAGAACATTTTTAATTGTTTCAATCCGATAGTGTGTGATGCGTAATCACTGGATGTGAATCAGATTTTACTGACAGGAGTAACACGACGAATGTAACTAATGGAGGAGGAATTGCTTACCCTATCGGAGTACCTGCGTTTGCCCTGGTTTCTTGATAGAGTTCATGTTGCTCAATCTTTGTATTAGTTTTCTGTGCGGTATTTTGTGGACTGTATCAACCCTCGTATATGATAAAATTGAGAATGGAAACGGGGAATGTGTCAAAGAGACAACCCGACCAAAGATCAGAAAACAGCCGAAGGCATGCACCAATTGGTCTTCAACACACGAGAAAATCCCGCACCCGTAGGCGGGCTTCAGCTGGCCCCTTAACAAAAATGTGTACTAGTTCAGCGAAAATGGACGTCACACTAAACTCCGAAACATATAAATGAACCAAAACTAAAAAAAACATACAAGACTAACAAAGGCAAGAGGCTTCTGACTTGAGACAGGCGCAAAAATGCGGCGGGGTTAAACATGTTTCGTGAGATCTCAACCCTCCCCTATACCTCTAGCCAATGTAGACAGCGATACGCAATGTTGCCCTTTATAACAAAAATGTACAATTATATTCGTTATTTTTAAATACAACAACGTAAAATCAATCAGCTCGAAATATTTATATCACTGTAACATACCTAGCCTCGATATCGTCTGCACTTTTTCGATTCTGTATGACGGCGTCACGCTGTAAAATCGTATTATTCATGTTTTTTTTTTAAACATTACTGAGTGTACTCATACTTTTATGATTGAGCAACAAAAACGAATAAGGTGAAAAAAAAAAGGAAAAGTGGGAATTTTATATGATGCAACTTTAAAAATCCGAAAATTAGACGGTCACTTAAAGCGACATTTTGACGTTAGTAAAATCCTCAGATTTATATTTCCAAATCATGTAATCTGGGACAGTTATAAGTACTTTAGTATAATAGTTCCTTTGAATATTTCAGATTATGTTACCTTGTAAAATCAAGGATTTGTTAACATCCGTTCAATATTCAGAGATTTTGTGAAATCACTAGCAGGTTTGCCTCCCAAGATGTTTGGCTCTGAGCTTTCCTAGATGATTAGTACAGATATGAAAATCAGACGCACCAAAAATGTTTGCTTTGTTCAGTTTTTAAAGAGAAAATTGTAAATTACAATTTTGAAGTCTCTAAACATTGTTTTTTTTTATTTGAGTTTTACATGTACATAGATTTGATGCTCTTTTACCAAAACATGTTTAGTAGATGATATAGACAGACGAAGCTTCTTAAAAAGCCAATACTTGTTCGGGATCAAACTATGGACCTCGTCCTCTTATTAAGTACATCAAAGGAAATACCGGGATTGTTTGATGAAACTATAGTCGTCAAGATCATTTCCGGATTATTTCATGACAAATTCGCGATACTACACATCAAAATGTACAATGTGTCCCATTCTTACTCTTCCGGTATACTCTCGGATGTATTAACTAATTGCCACACATAAGAAATTTCAAAATGGCAGGTTTTATTAACTTTCTGTTGTGGATTTATTCTCTATTTTTTACCGATCTCTTGGCGACGAAAAAGACACCTGATCGCTGGTTTGATGTTATGTGGAATGTGCCGTCAGAGAAGTGTTACACAAGGTATGGGGTAGATTTGCCATTATCAGAGTTCAATATTCGATCTAATAGGAACCAGTCATTTTCAGGTGATTTGGTAACGCTTTTTAATGAACCAACTCCAGGACTATATCCTCAATTTTTACCGAATGGAACGGCACAGAACGGTGGTTTGCCACAGGTAAATATTCTTGACTGAAATGTAAGATTTTTGCTAGTTATACCACTTTAATCGTCTTCTCTTCGACAACAAATCCAATTTCTTTCCTCGCACAAATTATAGTTCTTATACCTATTTAAAATATGAGCACGTCATAAGTTCCTGGTAGGGAGACTTCTCTCCCAGCGGACTTGTTACTGTTACCTTGTTATCCGCTACCACTGAAAAATCCGGCCCAGCATGTCGGCCTAGTACACAGCAGGGTACATATCCATAAACATGTATGTAATACTTGCCACTGGATGTTAATTATGAACAAAACATCCCCATCATAAGTTCCTTTGGATATTTCAGATTATGTTAGCTTGCGTGTTTTCAGTCATGATTCTTGGAGTTATTTCCCAAACTATTTCCCATTTAATCAAATCTAAATTATGTAAAATAAAGGTAACTAACTAAACTGTATATAATGAAACTATCATAAACAGTACATCCATGTCATTTTGACTCTGGTTGATAGTTGTCTCAATTCATCATTGGCAATCATCTCCTTATTTTTATACAAAGATATTCTGATCAATCAATCTAATAGTTGGAAAACCAGTTCTATTCATACAGTATTATAGAACCCCACCCCACCCCCGAATCCAGACTAAATAATTAGAAGTGATGATAGAAAAACCTACACTCTGCATGGTAGGTTCACGACAGGTACATTCATCTATATAATCTGGTAGTTGTAGAAGAGATATTTTACATTGGTATTTTTGTGAGGTTCGTGTTGCTCAATCTTTAGTTTTCTAGGTAGTGTTTTGTGGACTTTTTCGTCGTTTCGTCGTTTTTCGTTTTTTGCCATGTTTGTTGTCAGTTTCTTTCCGACTTGTGAGTTTTGAATGCCAGTCCGTCCCCTTGGTATTTTCCGCCTCTTTATTAAAACAGATCTCCCCGTTTTATATTTAAATGTTTACTTATGAACAATATTTAATTTTAATGATCGTGATTTTTTTAATTTATTTTTCACACATGTAGCTGGTTAATCATACCAAACACTTGATGAAAACAAAGCTGGATATCATAAACAAAATCTCAGATAATTTGTTTAATGGATTTGCTGTCATCGATTGGGAAGGTTGGGTTCCTATTTTTGATCGCAACGAATACAGTTATACACGAACAATCTACATTAACAAATCTGAGGTTCTGGTTTCCGAACTCCACCCTGAATGGAACCCATCAAGAGTAAAACATGAAGCAAGGATTCAGTTTGAAACTAGTGCAAGGTATCGTTTACTAGTATAGCTTTTTGTATTGATAGATCTACAAATCATTGAAATGTTGCACGTTCCTTTGTGTGTTTAAGTTAGATGCTTCACACTTTTGGCGAAGTTTTGGTATCAGCGTATCAGAGACGACGATAATTTAAGAAACACTTCTCGACTTTTACGGAAATCAGTATTTTAGGGCTTTTTTGATAACCTTCAATCATTTGCGGACATATTGCTGTTCGGAAGGCCCCAGACTCTTTTCTTAGGAAGCAACAATATTAACTTTAAAGGAATTTAATAAATACAAAGCACATCTAGATGTAGGCCACCATGTCGACATACGGTCTTCAACAAAGGAGCTTTTAGATGTAGGCCAACATGTCGACATACTGTCTTCAACAATGGAGCTTCTAGATGTAGGCCAACATGTCAACATGTGGTCTTCAACAAAGAAGTTTCTATGATATGTGATGTCATTAATTGAGAGTCGCGGAAGATACCAAAGGATCGTTTAAAATCAAAAGTCAAAGACAAGCTGACAACGCCATGACAAAAAAAAACCCGACCAAATACAAACAACAGTATTCAAAACACAACATAGAAAACTTAAGACCGAGCAACACAAACCCCACAAAAAAACTGGGGTTGATCTCAGTTGCTCCTGAAGGGTAAGCAGATCCTACTCCGACGTGGTATCTGGCTATAAACAGTTGGGAATAAAAAGACCGTGGTAATCAAAGATAAGCCATCAATACCAAATTCATTAAATGACAAAACATGAAGGTGTAACAAGAGACATTTATAAAAGAAAGTCACTGGTTAGGAATGTCTTAAAATATCACGAAATGTTAGATATATATAATTTCAATTTAGACTTGTTTATATTTTTTCCTTTGGGCTTGTATTATATTTTCCTTCGGGTTTATATGATCCGTTCATCCTATTTCGACTCTTTAAAATTCAAGAGTCTATCCTAAATTGAGGTAAATTATATGGTCTTCCAAATACCGTTTCGATCCCTAACATCACTGAAGAGACATTAATTGTCGAAATTCGGATATGGTGTACAAATTTTTGCACCTCATGTTTGTGGTATATCAACTTTTCCGCAAGTTTATTGTTTTCTGTTTGGTATTAAATTAATATTAAGATCCATTTTGTTACATCTGGTGATCAATTTATTTGGCAATCGCCAATGGCAGTCAGCAGGGTTTAAGAAGATCTGTTGTTCGACCTGTTAGTCAAATGCGTTTCCTTAAAATATCCTTTTTCACTTTTTTTGTCTTTTGGAAAATGTTGTTAATTGTGCTGTATTTAGACCCCTCTATCAAGAAATTTGTTTTACATGCACACGTATAAAAATTGCGGTTTTTATCCAACAGAATCATAGGTTTGAACGTTGTTTTCAATTTAGACTTGTTTATATATATATACATGTATATATGTTAAAGATTTTTTTGTTTATTTTTTGTTGTTGTTCTGCACATAATATGACTGTTTTATTCAATTTTAGAAAGTTAATGCAGGAAACATTAGAGTATGCTACACAACTGAGACCAAAAGGATACTGGGGATTTTATGGGTTCCCAAGATGTTACAATTACAGAAAAGGACAGAAACGCTGCCCCTCGAACGATATGGAATACAATAATGAGTATTTATCATTTCATTTTTTAATACTTATTCATTATTTATTGAAACACTCAGTCATTCATTTTTTTTCCTCATATCTTATTTTATATGTTTATTAAGAAAATAATCAATTCAAATTAAATTAAACGGCAATTATATCATACGAAATTTCAATCGAATCAAGGAAAAAGATAGCCATGTTTGATCAAATATAACAGCTGGTAAAATATGTATTATACATACGATATAGATTTATGAGAATCCGAAAAGTTTCAAACTGTTGAAGAAAGCCAAAGTTTTATCCTTATTTGGGTTTAAGCGTTCCTGATAAAGGTAAATTCAGAAAAGTGCTTTCGACGCACGAAATTAATAAGTGTTATTTTTATTTTCAGATATCATTTGAGATCGTATTGTCTTCGGTGATGTATATTGTTTACCTGTGCGAATACATCTTATTCCTTGTTAGTTTTTTTGTTTTTCCTAATTCTTGTTATTTTAAATCCCTTTCTATCATTTTTGTATCAAAAGTTATTCTTGCTTCTTTACATGGCGTAGGTTGAAAAAACCCAACGTATTTACCATTCAAATTTGCATTTATTTTCAAATATTATCATTGGATAATACCATATCTGTTAAATTCTTCCGAAATTTGGGAAGAACGAAGTGCATTTCATATTTGTATTTTATTTATTTTATTTAAAAAAAGAAAAGAAATCCCATGAACAAAATTCACTGTAGCCTCAGCTTAAATTTTTTGCAGTTATGAAACATTGCGCCATTTTTGTTTTTTATTTGTTTTGCGTCAAGTAAATTTCATGGCCTACCAGACAGCAAAAAAAAAGTAGAAAAACAACCACAAGGGTGATACATGTTTTTCTTTTAATCTCAGGCCTTCAAGACAACGACCTACCAGCAAGGGTACTCAATTTCTTGATTCTCAAAATATTTTCTAAAATATTCTTGTTTTTGTATTGTTTTTTTTTTAATCTCCTACCTTCAAGAAACGGTAACCTGCAAGAAACCAACCAAGGGACCATACGGAAAACAAAGAAAAACACAATTATGGCCTTAAATAAACGTAGAACAGAGCAATGACATAAAATGACAGGCGTTTAATGAAACAATACTGAGGGGCGTAAAGGGGGGTATGTGCACGGAAGAACGCGAAATAAAATTGCCATTTCACGATGAACGAACAATTAAAAATTTCTTGCACGTTGATCTTTTTACCGATTTCACGAAACACGGTGAATAACGAACCTTTTTCACGGCTGCATGTGAAATCAAAATGGCAAAACACGTTGCACGAAAATAACCCTTTACCACCTCAATACTATTTTATATTATTTTCCAGACTGTGCTGGTTATTTGCAAGAAGTTCTTCAATATTGCCTTCGATTTACTTGCCTGAAAAGTTTGGTTCAGATGAAGACAAGCGTATTAAAGTTTCCGGAATCATCGCAGAAGCCAAGAGAATGAAAACGAAATGTTCTAAAAAAACAACTCCAGTATTAGCTTACTCTCGCTATCGATATCGGGATACTGAAATTTTTTACTCAAAGGTATAAGTATTAGATGTATATCATGTTGACGAAACCACTTTCGTAACCACCATTTTCGAAACTCCAGTATTAGCTTACCCTCGCTTTTATTAGATGTATATCATGTTGACGAAACCACTTTCGTAAACACCATTTTCGATTTCACTCTGATGTGTGTATGTGCGAAACACACGAATGAAACCCTCGGATTCCAAGAAAGTTGACATTTAAAGATAAAAATAACAATTGTATGGATAGAGAATTATAAGAATTAAACACATTTGTTCTACAGGTCATTGGTGTGTAAACTGGGTCGATTAACTCACAAACTGAATAAAAGTCCGATAAGTGTTTTATCCTATTTTAAAGACTTTGTCTAAAGAATAGCATCCGATTTTGTAGCCAGAAAAACGAGTTCCGTGACTCCAATGTTTCTCTTCATTTTCTGAAAGCACATTATTTTTTATAAGAGCTATCTTCTCATATTTTATTTGAAAATTCTACCGTTAATTAAGTCTTCTTTCTATTCACACACATCAGTTTTCCATGTATGTTTAATCTATACAAAATCTGACAATTTGGCACAACCTGTCGCTAGAAAAAAAATTCCCTTTCACGATTTTTTCATAGTGTTTAATTGAACTTTCGAAAATCTGCCGACACAACCGACCAGATATTTTTATATTATAATAAATAGTACTATGAAGACATACAAAAATATGAAAAGATGAAGGTTATTTAGAGGAAACATTTGTCTTTTACAAAACATATAAATATTACAACAGTGCCTCGTCTCTATAATTGACAATTTTTTAATAGAAATTAAGACAATGTTTCCTACCACAGTTTGTTACTATATAGTTGAATAAAATTGATTAGAAATTTAACATTGACCCTTTTGCCCACTGGATTCTCGGGATCTACCGTTACATCAGATGAATATTGCTTGTAACTATTTGTATTTTTTACCTTGCAGGCAGATCTAATGAATACTATTCAGCAAAGTTACGACACTGGTTTGGATGGTGTTATATTGTGGGACACATCTAATAACTTTGCTGACAAATCTGCCTGTATCAATCTGAAATCATACTTGTTAAATGTTCTTGGACCTTTTGTTAAAAATTTGACAAGAACGTAAAATTAAAACTACAATTCTTGGACATGGACGATGGAGAGAGGACAGGATAATTTAGAAAATAAATGACCAGTCATTTTAACTGGCAGAAGTAAATAATCTTTCCAAAGGCAGCCTGAAAATTAATATTTTGACCCACAAAATGTTGTATATATAGTTGTGCATGAAAAATAAAAGTACATACCAAATAATCGTCCTCTGGATTAAGTCTAAATAAAATCATACATGCTCCATACAGCTACTTACTAAGTGGTTGTCGTTGGTTCATATTTGTTTTTCGTAAATTGTTTTGTTATAAATTAGGCCGTTAATTTTCTCAATTGAATTGTTTCATATTTTTCATGTCGGGGCCTTTTATAGTCGACTATACGGTATGGGTTTTTCTCATTGTTGAAGGTCGTACGATTGCCTATAATTGCTAACATTCACTTCATTTAAACTTTGGTGGATAGTTGTTTCGTTGGCAATCATACCATCTTATTTTTTATATTACTATCGGTCAAATTATAAAGTCAAATCATATTCCAAAATGCTACAATCATGCGGTCAAATCTGAAATGATATGAATATAAGGAGGTATGTTATAGACATAGATAGCGGCAAAATGACATCTAGAGGCCAGCATGCAGTTGTCAACAATAGACAAGTGTCTATGTAATATGTCAAGCTCTAAAAAGTCCGGAATTTATAAAGAGTTTGAAAATTAATAAGAAACTGTTAAAGAACAGTCATCGACACCAATTTCTCCAAAAACATAAAGATATAGAATATAGATTAAAAAAAAACATTGTCGAAGTACATGATAATGTGGCGGGGTTAACAGATATGTTCGTGCCTCAATCCTTTCTCTTGTAAACCTCTATTAGTAGACTAACAAATAACACACAGAAGAGCATACATATATGTTTTGTTGTTACATCATTGTTTTATGTTAGAAGGAGGATCGAGCTCTAGCTAACATGTTTAAGCCCGCCGCATACTCGGTATGTGTCTGTTTCAAGTCAGCAGTCATTGATACCATGGTTGTCGTTAGTTGCTGTCTATCATATTTTTTTATTTAATGTTTTGAACATTAATCAGGCCGTTGGTTTTATCATTTAAGTTGTTTTACTTTTTTTTTTCATTTCATGTCCTTTAAATTATCGCTTACTTTACAGCATTGAGTTTGCTCATTGTTGAAGACCGTACGGTGAATTATAGTTGCTTAATTACATCCACATCATTTGGACTATGTTGGATAGTTGTCTCATTGGCAATCATTCCACATCTTCTTTTTTTCCAAAAAAATGTGTATTGGAAAAGCATGTAACTCTAAAGTATCCGTATAATAATAGAAAACAACTTAAAGCCCAAGCACGAAAAAAAAAAATTGTTTTATTCCGTATCAAATAATTCTTGCAGTTACTAAAACTAAACTCCAAGAACTTAACATGTTGATATGAAATACAGCCATCATACTAAATGTTAATCGGGATCTTCAAAGGGGTTATAGGCTCATATCCCCTGCAAAGGTTATAAATAAATTCGCATGGACAGCCGGGATTTGTTACACCTATAATATCGGCTGCTCTACTTCAAGTTCAATGGAGATACAACGACGACGTCATGCGCAACAAAGATAATCGGTCAGTGCTTTAAAAATTAAGAATAATTAAGCTTTTCATTAGGGTAGAAACTGGAAGACGTGTAAGAAACTATAATTCTTTAGGAAAATTAGAACCATTGCCCAGATGTGAACGACTTTGTCAGTTTTGTTATTTAAACCAAGCAGAGAACGAGATACATATTTTACTCCAATGTCCTCAACATATAGATTTTAAAATAACCATTTTCACCATATAAAGTTGCTCGGTACAATTAGCACAGGCACTTTTTTCTGTCAATGGGGGTTTACTATCCACACTAGTACGAAAATTTTGGATAATAAACCCCCAATTGACAGAAACAAGTGAAACAATTATGCCTTAACCTGTTACTAATGATCATGATAAACGAATACAACACTTTTTTTTATCTCTACTGTGTGAATTTTTAAAACTTGATTTTGCTGAAAGAAAATTGGATAATAACCATCTGGTATATCAATCATAAATATAGAGTTATCTCTCTTTATCCTTCAAGCTACAATTAAGTGATGTCATGTGTGGAGAAAAATAATTTGAATTTAAAAAAAAAACGAGGAAAACGATGGTGTGCAGGTGTGCAATGCAAATAACACACTTCATTTAAGATTATTTAACAGAGGCGGATTTAGGGGGGCAGGGTGCCCTGTGGAAAAAAATTGTTAGATTATTTAGGGAATCACTGAAGCATGACTAAGCGGGCTCCCTCTTATGGCAGTCAGTGCCCGCCCCCCCCCCCCCCCCTTTTATGAAAATTTCTGGATCCGCCACTGTTTAATTTCAATGCAAAAGAAAAGCAAAAGAAACATTATAGAATTGCTTCAAATTATCATGGCATCATTCAAATTATCATGGCATCATCAGGCTAACTACCAAATTGATGTTCATACAAAACATATAAGGCGTAAATTGTATGCAAACTTTTACCAATTCTGCAGCATAGTCCAAATTCCCTTCCGTTGTCCTTAAAACAAAGGATTTATAATGTGAGAAACAATATAATTTGATAGTTATATGTAGAATGGAAGAAGGTTATTTCCTGAATACTTTATGACTCGTTAGTACTCACCCCTTTTAAATCCTAATATTTGTACTTTAATTAATGCCCTACCAGGTTGTGTTAAATCAGATGCTATATCTTATTTGCTAATGATGCTCGTTAAAGTCATATAGGAAATGAGAGCAACCATGATATCATAAGAGTCGTAATGGGGGTACCTTTATGACGAATAACGGTAAAAATTCTTGCCAAATGACGTTATTGGTAATTATTGGTGCATGACGATAAAATGTACACTTTCTTTTAGACGAAAAAAAAATCGACTGGTTTTGACGAATCACGCTAAATTTTTTCGAAAAATAACGGTAACGAATCAAGATAAGAATATTTTGACGAAGCACGGTAAAACTTTAACCAATTTGACGCTAACGGTAGCCGAAAATTACCGTTAGACGCCTAACGGTAAAGGGCATTCCTACCCTCATAGCATAGCCGGTTAAGATGGCGTTCCGACTATATGAAATCAAAAAGGAATACTTCGCTCCTCAAACTTTTTACTACGATATGAGCACAAGCAATTGAAGGATTAAGAATATAAGCAGATGCCAAATAGAAATAAAAATAGATTAAAAAAAGTAATCAGTGTCCAACACGTATTTCTCAAATTATTGCCAAAACTGTCATAGAGAATAAATATAATCAAATTAATAGAGTTATTGAAATCCAGTCCTATGTCCAATTAAGATTATGATATTTTATCTATGTGTAAAACACGTATGTCTGAATTTACGTCAAAATCCAGAATAATATAATATTAAATGAAATATATATGCCAATTATGAAATTAGAGTAAAACAGGGACTTAAGTATAGAAAGTCCCTGAGTAAAACAATTGAAAAACTAAAATGTTGACAAAAAAAAAAAAAGAATTATCACACGCAAGTCCTAAGAATCCTGTCATAATATATTGCAAAATGACCTGAAACAGTTCGAAAACTGGAGTACGTGACACATATATGGCTCTTAAAATTCCATCCAGAAAAATGCAAGCATACTAATTAAATAAGCAGAAATTAAAGAGATGAATTAATGCACTAGGTTAAGGCTCAGGCCAAGGACTCACTATAGATTAACAAATCCTTGCTTAGGCCTAGGCCGATGAAAAGAAGAAAAAGACATGGGACTGTATATTTTATGCATTTCTCCTCTGAATAAAATATGCCCCCTTCCAATAAATATATGAAGAGTCGGGGTATAATTTAAAATTGCAAGGATCGGTAAAGTAAATATATCCCTGCTGATCCCATACCATTCCCCCTTGTTTTTCTTCTTTACGGAAATATCTTATTAAAAATATTAACGTAATATTATGGAAGAAAATAGTGTATTTGTTCTATCTATTGGTCCCTGATTTGTCACAATCATATAACCACTCTCAACACCCACATACAAAAAATCCCAATTGTGCCTCGGAAAATAACCAGATAAAACCAGTCATAGCGACAAACGTAGTCCAGACGATGATTACGTAAGGGAAAAATACAACTGACATATACCTCCGCGTAATGTTTACAAATTTTCTGTTGTTTTTTTAATATTCTAATTGGTAAATGCATTTAGAAAGCATTTGAGTTATCATAACTATTTGGTTTTATTTTGGAATACCCCAAAAAGATGTACATTGTGTTATAAAGTCTGTTTCTCGCCGAAATACTATAGAATTATTTTGGTAAACACGTCGCGCAGGAATAAATTTGCCATATGGTATAAATACAAGACGCCGTCAAAATCAGTATTTACGCAGCAAAGACGATCAAGAATGGTTGTGAGACGCCATTGCCGAATTCTTGAAGTTCAAGTTGAAAACATGGACAGGCAAGAACATCACATAAGTAATTATTTGCTTTGTATGTTGTTCTGCATGGCTTTTATTTAATATTTATATTATTTAGTCTTCAGAATACGTGGCTCATTGAAAAGGGGGTATTTCTTAAACAGTGTTGTTATTTTATGCCACTTATTTTGTTTTACATTAATTTTGGGCTGACAAATATCATCTACATACTATTGTTGTTTGTGAATTTTGGGTTTCGTCTGTTTTCTGTCCTCTTGTTAGCTGTATGGTTTTGTTACAGTCCTATCTGCCCATCTGTATGGATACGTTGTAGGGCAAATTATTCAATGACAATATGGGCTTCATCACAACAATTCTGTGGCTCCAGACAGACTTGGAGCCTTTGAATGTTGAGAAATTTACACAATCTAATGTTAACAGGATTAACGTATCGTCGTTCTAATCCATTTAAAAAATGAGATTAAAGGATGAAAATTGAGGGGGGTCCCAACCCACATTAAGCTGTACAAAACTATCCTCAAGGCTCAACCCCAACTTTAAAATCAAATCCTTGCCAAGATAATCACCAAACCTTACCCTAAATTAAAAGAAGACCCACATTTCTACCTTGTTTTTTAACATGGAAATATATCAGAGCTCCAGATAAGAATTCACAAATTGGGGTTTTTACCCACCATTTTTTTATGTAATTGGGTGATAAAGTTTTTTAATTGCATTATCAATTCCAATTCACCCCTCAAGCAAATATCAAATTGGGTTTTTCACCACCAAGCTCCTTAATGTATTGGGTTTTTTCATCAACACAATATTGAATATTTAGGCATGTTATAATCACATTATATCAACCCCAGATGTGTTTCCATCTTAAATGTGTTTCTTTCTTTGTAATTGTGCTTAGCTGTTTTATTTGGTTTATTCACTGACGAGCAATTGTACGTTTAATTTGTGTCCCGTTTTAAACGTTCTGTCAGTTTTGTATTTTCTCAAAACTTATGTAAACTGCAGCTGGTGTCACTAGTTGGACAGTAACTAATTGCCTTTCTAGATCCCATATGATCACCCTACAGTTTATAGTTGGGGTAGGTGTGGCTTATATTGTTATGTAATATATGTGAAATTTAGGTGCTGTAAGAAAGTTTTGCCAGTCCTTTCACCTATTTGCCAGATCTACTTTTTAATAAAAATAAAAAGTAGTTCCCAGATTTAAGATATACCCCAAAACCTGGAGATTTATAGGGTGGTTTAATGATGGAGACCACATTCAACTTAAATTTACAAATAATTCTGCAACATCAAGTAAATAAATGACAATGTTATACTGCACTTGCCAATAAGACAACTATCTTAAGCATCCAGAACAATTAGACCAAAACAAAGAAAGTGTCAAGCTGCATAATTTGACGTAAAAAACGGATGTGTGTATTCATTCATCAACTAAAATGAAAAAAAAAAATATATAAACTGTTTTTGTTTAATTCAATTTACATAAATCTGGGTTAAGTTGTCCCTTATCAGAACTTTTGGTTTCCGATGCTTTCCAACTTCATATCATGTCATAATTGATTTGGCCTTTCACTTTTTCCAACTGATTTCGTTTTTGACGAAACCCCGTGTTTATCGTTCTATAGCAATGTTCTCGTACCTTCAAACACGCCCGTGCGTTCAATGGACGCTTCCTAAAATCACTAGCTGAGTCTTGTTATCATCATAACTTTCCCTCAGCTATCAAAAAGAAGCCGAAAACATGCTTCCATTCAATATTTTTATCGGACATTTACTTTCGTTTTAATTCATTGTATGTTATGATAAATCCCGGGCAATTCGAAAAAATATGACAGCATGTCACACGCTAATTGGATAAACGCCGAGAAGATCGAAATGTTTTCATAAACACGTGTACCTTTTGAGCAACGGAAAATTCCAACACGGACACATTACAGCTACTTGATGCAGGGCTCTATTTTAAGAACGAAAGGACATTTCCAATTATAAATTATAAAAATAGATTTACCCGACGACTGTAATCAGATAAGGGTAAATAACACAAACGATAGCGAATAAAAGCGTTAAGAACTCATGGTTTTGGCATATAATTGGGTTTTCCTTTGAATTAATTGGGTTATTGAACCCTGCAATGGGCAATTGCATTGGGTTTTTAATTATTTGTATTGCGTGATCACGCAAATACGCAGCTTATCTGGAGCTCTGTATATGTAAAATCTTTTGAAAACTTTTGAATTAATATTTGATATTGTGTATACTTTGTACTAGAATTTGACTTCTATTGGGTTCTTTCTTTAAAACAAATTTAAAGGCAACTTAAATCAATTGAAACAAAGCATTATAATATATACCTTTACTTGTTACTAAAGTGATCGAATCTAGTGTTTCCTGCAGCTTTTGAAAGTGGCTGGAAATTTTTCATCTTGTAGGGCACTCCAAGGCACCCTTTGTGTGGAGGACTACACTTTTAGGACATCCTTTCCAAAAATATAAAAGCACTGTTAGGAATAGGGATTTTATCAAAATATACCATTGTTTCATATTTACAGGTAAGAAATAAAAGATATATTGGGTTATTGTCCCCTGTGTAACGCATTGTGGGGGGGGGGGGGCATCTAAATACCGGGTGTCTGTATGTCCAGTCTTGTTAGCGCTCTCATATGTACAATTCTTGCAAGAATTAATGTCACAGGTTAATATTGGCAATGTCTTGGACGAGTTCGAAAATCAGTGCTGAGTTATGCCCCTTGGAAATATAAATTATATATGGAGAATTGCATTGTTAGCGCTCTCAAATGTTCAATTGTTGCCAGAATTATATGAAATTTATATTATAGGTTTATATCATCAATGTTCTTGACGAGTTAAAAAATCAGTGCCGATCAATAATTTAAAAAAACAGTTATGCCTCTTGAAAATATTTATTTTATTGAAAATTGCGTTCAGTTCTTACCAGAATTTTATGAAACTTGTATCATACGTTTACATCAGCAATGTCTTTGACACTTTCGAAAATAAGTTCTGATCAAATATTTTGAACGAGTTTTGTCCCTTTTGAAATATAAATTATAATGGAAATCAAATTGCATTTGCTCTGAAGCCTTCATTTCTCTTTAAGATATTAAAAAAAGGTTTTAAAGATTAAAAAAAAAGTGCTTTTGTTAGTTATTGCCCTTGTACTTTAGATAGATAAAATATGTGCAACGCGGGGGACATTGGAACACACTTCTTTTATTTATTTAATTTCATTTGTAATAAATTTGTAACTTCTAGACTTGGCTAATAGAATCTTGATAGAGCAACTGCCTCATTTTAATCAATGACTCATGTTTTGAACTTAATGCTGGATCCCTGATTGTCTAAGAGTGGATGTGTTGTGAAAGAAGCAACACTTTAAAATATATGCATTGCATTTTAGCTGCACAAAATACCTTTTGGATCTGACTTGTACAAATGTATATGCCAAACAAAGGTACCATTACCTTGGCTCATAACTGTTCTAAACTTTTTAGGCCTGACTGCCATTGGCTTTTTATGCCCCCGCCGTAGCGGAGGGGGCATTAAGTTTCACCATTTTCCGTACGTCCCGAAGTTGGTTTCCGTTCTTTAACTTTGCCTCAACCAAATTAAATGTTGTGAAACTTATACATAATGCTTATTACCACAAAACACAGATCAAGTTTGAATTATGGTGGTGTCACTTTAACCATTCTAAAGTTATGCCCCTGTACAAATGGAAAAATTGCTGATTTTTTCTTTTCCGTTCTCTAACAAGTTAGCCTCAAACAAATGTTATGAAACTTATACACAATGCTTATTACCACAATATTCAGATCAAGTTTGAATTTTGGGGGTGTCACTTTAATTGATCTAGAGTTATGCCCTTTATAAATGGAAAAATTGCTGAATTTTTCTTTTCCGTTCTCTAACTTATGTTTGCCTCAACCAAATTTTATGAAACTTATACACAATACTTACTCCTACAAAACTAGGATCAAGTACAAATTTGGGTAGCGTCACTGTTACAGTTCTTCAGTTAAGTCCCTTTATAACTTTATATGATATGCAAGTGGGGGCATCATCTGTGTTCCATGTACACATTCCCTATTTCTGTATACATTTTTTAAACTGTGTTGATTTATTGTACTTATCAAGACTAAATCAGCTTTTCTCTCAACTTTACATTTATTTAGATGACAACAGTAAGAAAGCTACCCAATCTGACGTCTCGGCCAACCGAATAGCTATTTTAGTCATACTTGAAAGTTCATTGTTTATGATTATTCAATTATAATAATAATGGTTCATACCAAAGCCACAGTCTATTTTTTTAGTGAAAACAAGAATCCTTTGAACTATGTTCCAGTAATGAGTTTCAGAAGTGAAAGAACATACTTCGATTTGTTTTCAGAGACATGTCTCGGGTTTGCATAAATTGTTGTTTCTTTTGAAATAATCAATCTTCGAAGTCGATCATGGTTCAAAATGTTTTTAAAGATATAAATTGTCTGTAATGTCTTTATAAATAAAATAATTGTAAAAATGTTATTTCATTAACCTGGTTTGATACATATAAAACCCCTGACGTTGCCGAAACTGACTCGATGTTTGTCCATGTGCTCTTTCATTCATTTATTTGAACTAACTCTATGGGTGGATTTAAATTAACTCCCATAAAAAGTCAAACTGATGACCCCTAACTGATAAGTCATACAAGTAACAAAAGATGTTGATCTTGGGAAATGCAGACAAGTTGTGATCTTTGAAATCCAATATACACACATTCTAGCTCTCTGGGGAAACTTATTTTATAAGTAATTTGTTATTTTTAGGTTGTACATGTTATATAGTACCTGTTACATGAAAGAAATGACAGAGTATTTGATGTGATGCACATGGGATAAAATGTAGGCAGAACCCTGAACCATGGATGGCTTTTTGAAGGTAATATATCTAGCAGTTACATGTACTTGCACTGAGAAAATTGTTTGCCATACACTTGTTAGTGTTTTTTGCCAAAATGCAGGATAAGCTTGCAATATTCATCAGGTTCATGAAATCTTGTTTTAATTTTAACAAAAGCTGGTACATAAAAAAATTACCAAACTTGGATAAAAAAAAATCTATTGATGTGTCAAGTCTAAAAAATTAATCTCGTATCCTTAGTACCTGTAAATCTGCATTGTTACAAAGGTATTTATTTTGTATCTTTTCAGGAAGTGGTTGTCATTGATGTTGCATATTGTCTTTAATTGTAAGGCAGATGAGGGTTTTAGTTGCATGGGGAATGTCGACAAACTGGAAATATGTGAACCCTAGCTTTTGTTGTCTGGTGGAAGATAGGCATTGAAGTGATGTGATACCAAAGCTGTTGGTTATAGTGTAGAAGAGGGGCATTGAAGATAAATAAGTGGGCAATTTAAACATCTTTGAATAGATTTTCATAGCAATAGTTTCAATTTTGCCATAGATTATTGAAAAAGTTTCAGGTTCAAAAGGAGAGTACCATATACTGGCAGCAAATAATTTTTTCTTGTGCATTATTCCTATATGCATTTAGATCCTTGATGTCTGACATCCTGACTTGAAGATTTCTTTTGTCTATTCATTTAGATTTTAAGCAGCTTATCCTTATTATTCATGGATTTATTATTTGGATTTTGATTGTGCTATCTAGTAATTCATGCAGTGTTGTAGAATTTTTTTCCATTGGGACCATCATCTTAGCATGGGAATGACCTACTACCTTCATTGCAGATAAAAATGGGAATGGAATGTAAAGACGAAAGAAATAATTTGAATGATGATATATTAAATATTTAAAAACAAGGTTTTTTCCTCCTTTGACAGCCTTAGATTAATACAACTTTTATAGCCTTGATTTGATTAGTACTGTTTGTGTTTCAGATATATCTAATTGCATTTAATCGTCATTGTAACTGCAAGGGATTTAAAATAATACAACTTTGATATGTTTGATTTGATTGGTTCCATTTGTCTTTCAGAAATACTCAATTGCATTTAACAGTCATTGTAATGGCAAGGAATTTAAAATATTATTTGCTATATATAGTAATCCTAAGTATTTATCTAGGTGATGTGGTTTGTAAACTAATAACCCTAAGCAATTCTTTGAATTTTAGACGCATTAAACAATAGTTATCAATATTTGCTAAATCATATACAGGTACCTTGTTACTAATAAATTAATTCACTGATTTTTCCAATTTAATACAGATTAGTTATAACAGCTTTGTTGACCTTGAGCAATTTGGTGTAAATGTTGAAAGTTTGTTACCATTTCATTTCTGTACACTGACCGATAAATTTACCAATGTCGGAATGTCGACAAGTTACAGTAATGATATGATAAAGATTTTACAGAAACCGTGCATCTTGGGACTTCACATAAGCAAGCCAATAATTTGGAAACCATACTTGTTTGTAGAATTTATTTATTCAAATTGACAATTTCTCAAAGTAAAGCAAAATACGGCTGCAACTAGGATTGATTTGTAGAAATGATTCAGAAGATAAATCTTGTCCATACTTGAAAGAAATAACTCTTAAGTTCAGCTGTTAATATAAAATTACCAAGTATTTAAGTTGTATTTATGAAAGAATTCTGAGAATTGAAGTTTGTTGCAGGCTTTCATTTCTGTTTTAATTTAGAAATCTACAGAATGAAAATGCATGAATGGCTGTATGGTTTATATAAGATCGGAATAATTCTTAAAAAGGGATAGATATAATTTGACAATGATTAGATTTTATCCTTAAAATTTGGATATAGTTTTCACATGCTGTTTGTTACCCTTTGAAGCCTTGTGGTGGAATAGTGTTATATTTGGACATAGAAGCTATTTATACTATCAGCTTATACAAGTGATGCTTTGGATTTTTAAAATTTTTTATTAGTAAGCAGGATTTTTTAATGGATATAACCATGACCTAATTTTTTCAGCAAGACCTTTAATAGATGCAAGACATCCCAGAATAAAGAAGGCTAAATCTGGCAAATGTAATTGGACCAACTTGAAAGGCATTAGCAAGAAAATTAATGATGATTTTGTTTAGTGAATTTTACAGAAGCTATGCTTCAATAAAGAGTTTTGCAGTTCAAATAATTTGGGGAAATGCAGTCGAGACCTTTTGGACAAGATTCCTTTCAGATTAAAATGTCCTTTTGTTTTAATCCAAACAGGTCTAATGTATGATTTAGCAATTGGGGAATTGCTCGCCCATTCTGCTGTAAATGGATAATGCTTCATCTCCAGATATTTTCACAAGCTATTGTTGGAAGCTTCCAGTGGATTAAGGTTGTTTTGGTATAGACGTACTTAAAAACTTGAGATAAACAGCAAATTCAAGTATTAAATTAGAGGCAAGTGACCCCTGAATAAAGCTTGCAAATATGATTGTACCATATTGAAAGGCATAAACAAGTCATTAACAAAATTTATGAAGGTTTGAGAGCAATTCAGATGTGGGGAAAAGGCAGTCTAGCCCTCTTGGACGGACAAGATTCCTTTCAGCTTTAAATGTCGTAGATCTAGTGTATAATAAATCATTTTATGAGGCAAGGCTCGACCATTCTGCAGTGAATGGATAATACTACTTCGGATTTGAATGCAGTTGGGACCTTGGGGACAAGATTCCTTTCTGATTTAACTGTCCTGTGTTTTAATCCAAACAGATCTAAGGTAAAAATTGAGCATTTGTGAGGCAGTGATTGACTATTCTGCATTAAATGGATAATGCTTCATCTCCTGATTGGAATAAATCAATTATTGGACTGAATGAATTTGAAGTTAAATTTTGCAAACCTTATATTTAGGTAACCAGTATTTATAACACTTGGACAACAATGTTGGAGGTGATTCTTAAAGCCAGTCAACATGAGTAAAATCTTCAGGATTTGTTTAATAGGTTCTTGTTTAAAAGAATTGGTTCATCTATTTCAGATTTTTATATGGAATGAAATTACTACCAAAAAGATGGTTAAAAAGTGTTTCTTTTTTGTTCAGTCCACTTTATGACGTGACTAATAATTCCAAAAATAATTCTTGATTATTTCTAGGAAGACAAGTGTAAATGTGCAGTTTGTCCAATTAAAACCAAAGAAGAAACAGTTGAACACAAAATAAACCACTTTTTTATTTCCAAATTATATTCAAATGATGAGACAAAGATTTTTACTCAAATTCAAGGAGGAAACAGCAACCACAATGGGATTCCTTTCAGGTTATGATCTTAAAAAAGATAAGTTCTGTTGTTTGATTGCTCGAAAGATCCATTTCAACTTTCAGATGTCTACTTGAACAAATATAGGAACCAATGCCCTGCAAGGTACAAAAAGAAACGCAATTTCAGCTCATGCATGGACATTTTTTATTATTATTATTATTGCACTATTTCTAAACACAGTTGAACATAACCAACAGCCCATGTGGATGCAATTATGAAATATCTACCCAAAGTGACTCATAAGCATTTTAGAAAACACAGGTGCCATGATATAAATTTTATCACCTTGGTCTAAACCCATCAGTAGATAACGGAGACAACTAAAGACACCAAACAACCCTTGTCAAGAGCAACTTATTTAGGTAACAATTACAAGAGAAAATGCAGTAAACATCAGTATTGGTTCTTTCAGGTTGTCTCAACTTTAACTTGAATCAAATCATCTTAGAGAAGGTTGTCATATTTCAGATCCGGTTTCAAGTCTAGTTGAGCTATATAGAAGTGAGGCATAGTCTAGTGCATAAAGTTCAATTAAAAATGCAGTATCTTTTTCAATATCAAGATGGATTATTTACCTACATGAAGCTGTAGTAGAAATTTATTTGAATTTTAAAGAGGCTCTCATATAAAGGACAAAGCTTTTAAAGAATAGAAAAACCACACTAAAGATTTTAATTTTTGAAACAATACCATCACGTGTATAGATGAGCAATTGTGGCTCCGCTAACAATAGTATATGCGAATTTGCAAGACACCATTAACCCAGGGAAGATCATAAAAATTAGCAAAACTAATCTAGAGGCTTCCATATTTCTGGACAAAGCTGAATTGGCAAGACACCATTAACCCAGGGAAGATGATAAAAATCAGCAAACCTAATTGATGATATCAGTATATATTTAAGTCCTGTTTTAAATCTAAACCAATATTTGCAGGGATAAGAAATAACAAGAAATATCTTGAACACTATGCTCATGGTTTTCTGTTTTCTTTATTGAAGTTATGGTGGTCAATAGATCTTCTTTTCATTTATCAGAAGGACAACTTTAATTTTTAGGTTAAGTGGTCAGGTGGACACCATATATTTCTAGAAAATGACTACAACACTTGCAGTACAGTAAATGATGAATCAATGTCAAATTTTTCAAGTGCTAACAGCAAAATATAATTATCAGCATACTACTAAATGATACAACATTTTCATCTTATTGAAATGATTATTTTAAGGAAAAGATAAATAATGTCAAATGAATTCAAAGCTTTTAGGAAAAAGAAATGGAATGGAACCGATAAAAATTTCAGGAATTAGTCCAGTAAGATGTAGATTTAATTGCAGAAGCAATTTCAACATTAAATTGACCCAACGCTGAATTTGATGTCGCAAAGTTGAGGCTTTAAATATTGTTTTCTTTTTCCAAGCATGACAATGACATATCCATGTATTCAGGCATCAATCATTTCTTTTCATAGATGTGATCGTGAGGCTCTTTTTCATAGAAGCAGTCTGAAGGCTCTAAAAACATCACAGGTTTAAGCTTTTGAAGAAGAGATGGTTGTTTCAAGAAACCAGTATTTATATCGATAGATACGTATAGAAGATAGATATGTATAGAAAATGGCATTCTTAAGCCTTTTAGTAAATTGTGACTGTTTTGATGTTCTGATTTCTCAATTCCAAGCTTAATTTGTTGCAAGTTTTAATCTTGAAAACATTGGGGAAACAAAATATAAAGGGCTTGAATTGTTCATCTTAAATTCTTTATTTGGTTTTAGAAATGTAGTTTGTAATTAACATCACATGAATACTATTGGTTTTTATAGCTAAATATTAATGCATTATTATAGCTCTTTTGTCCATTGTGTTTTTGCACTTGTCATTCTAACAAGAAGTGTCTTTTGTGGGGAATAATTTCTTTTTAGCTATAATTGCTACAGTATGATTATTTTCTCACTCTAAGTGAAGCTTGAATATATATATATAAACAAATTTAAATTATGGATGTTGCATGAAGTTCTGATAGTTTACAGCTTTAAATCTAAGGGTTTGGTAGGGATTAATCACTTGACTCTTTATAGTGCTATCATTGTATCAAGATGCTGAACGAATGTGAGGTTTGCAGATTTAGATGAATCACTAGCCTGTGCACTAGAACCAAGAAAGTTGAGGTAGTGTTGTCTGTATTAATGAAATTATTATTTGCCTGAAACTTTTTGATTTGATAAAAATTCTAAAGATTATGGTTTCTTCTTTTTTTGCAAAAGATATTTGAAATTTTATACGATTTGAAAATGTAGATATTATCAAATAACATAATATTTTATATATAATTTATATTTTTTGTGATTGTAAATACCGGTATGCAATTGGGAGGGGTTGATTTTCAGTGCATTAACATTGTCCCTGAACAAGACCTGCTGTATGTTGATGGGAATCCACATGCCATTATGATAGTAAAAGGAAAGTGGTTTTGATTAAATCTAGTAATGTCCTTGTCCAGATATAGGCAGTCTCCTCCAATCCCATCTCCAGAAAGTAAAGACGCTCTAACCAAATCTTTACGGTATGAAATAGTTAAAATGCATGTAATAATTCAAGACTTTTGTTAGCTGTATGATTTTTCACTGGTACAAAGTAAAATGCACCTTTGAAGTGTACCTTGCTACCTATAATATACTGAATAATCTTCAAATAGCTTTATAAATTTTTGCTTAGTTTTGAAGTTGATACTTTTCAATGAACTTGTGTAAATGAAATACAGTATTGAAAATATATATATATGCTTAACGGCTAACTATAAATGCATTAGTCTTAAGAGTTTGGGGGAGGGGATTAATATGAAATAGATTTTTTTGGCAGTGAATTTGGTGATCAATAACAGCAGATATCTGCACATGCACTTGGCCCAGTTGTGATGCAGCATATCTCCTCGAATGGAGTCCAATTAGTAAGAACCCTAATGAAGATGATACTATACATGTGAATAATGTTAATGAGGAGAGAATGGAAATAAGAGAAATGGAGTAATTTGAGTTCAGTTGGTAAGCCCATTTTCTAAATGACTTGCTGAAGTTGGACATTTTTTTTATAAATTGTTATTGTGAAGTAAAATAGACCTGTTGAAACTTTTCAGAACTTACTTTAAAATTTTGTGTGTGCAAGGAAAAAAAATTTGAAAATTGTGCAAAAATCAAAATACTTAAAACCAAAATTTAATATTGATAACTGTAATATGATAGAAAGATCTAATTTGTTTATTTTCATTTATACTTCTGAAAATCATTGTGAATACAAATATTTGTGTGGAGGAATATCTTAAAAAGTGTAAAGGTACTGGAAGTAAACGAGTAAAATTGTAATTAATTATAGTAATAGTGGGGGGATTGGGAAGATAAATGATTTTGTCATTGCTGCAGATAGCGATTTTTCCATGTATTCCTTCCCATGACCAGTTCTTAAATGGAACGATCTATAGGATCCCATTTAGCCAGCTTCCAAGCCTGTTTCTTTTAAAAGGAGGATAAAATCTACAGGTATTGTGTTTGAAACTAATTGTTCTGTGTCCATCTCATGATTTATGATAAATTCTTATGAATGGTAATTTCCTTTTGTCTTGCATTGTTTTAGCCAACTTTAACAAAGAATACATTATTTATTGTTGTAGATTTAAAATTTTATCAGGAGCCTTCTAAGCTTTAAAAGTTTGTATTCAGATCATTCATTTAAAGGAAAATGAGAATTTGATATTCTAAACACAAATTGGGATGGGGGTTTGTGTATTTTTAATCATATATAGTTTATTGTCAGGAAATGTTGAGAGATAGAAAAAAAGATGAGTGACCCCATGAGTGGTAACCATTACAACTGTAATTTTTGTGTTGTACATTGCTTTCTAATTTGTAAATTCAAATGAAATATATTTCATTATTAATATTAACTAATTTCATGATTCAGATTTTATTGTTGGAGGTTTCTTAACTTGTATTCAAATTTTCTGTGAATCAAACTTTTATAGTAAAATAAGGATTTCATAGTTAAAAAAAGTGGGAAAATTTGGTGGGAAAGGGTAACTAATTATATCTTTTGTCAGTGATACCTATGGAACTGGAAGACCCAGTTTGTGATTTGCTTAAGTTTGGTATGAAAGTAACCTGTGGGACTTAACTGATATTGAATGCTGCTTAATATGTGAAAATATGCAGGTTAAATTCCTTCAATAGAAGCACAGAAAAGTTTATCAAGTATGTTTTAAAGATCATCATGGGCCTAAGAACATGGATGTAAAATGTATACTGTATTGAAGTAAGAACATTTATTGATATATAGATTTTATTGGTAATTTAAAGTTTTGATAAATATGTTGTTGAAGATGTTTGATTGTCAGGGTTTATTTTATAATTCGTATATATAGTTATATCTATCATGTAATCATATCTCTGAGATATTTTTAATTTGATTTCAAAAAAGTCTCAAGCATGTTTATCAGCAAAGATTATGCTTATTTTGCAATATGTGTCTGAAATTTTATACCATTTAAAAATGTATTGGCAAATAACAGTAACACTTGTATTAATATTTTTTTGTGATCGTAAATATCTGTATGCAATCGGATGGGGTTGATTTTCAGTACATTTTCCATGTCCTTTCAAGATCTGCTGTATGTTGAGGGAAATCCACATGCCACTAAGAGCATAAAGGGTAATTAATGTTTGTCCAGGCTGTCTTCTCCAATCCCAACTCCAGATAACCAAATCTGCGGTATGAAGTAGTTAGTAAAAATGCATGAAATATTTGAAGAGTTTTGTTAGCTGTTTAATACCACTTGTATGATTTCTCACTGGTACGAAGTATAAATGCACCTTTGAAGTGTACCTTGCTACCTATATTATACTGAATAATCTTCAAATAGCTTTATAAATTTTTGATTAGTTTTGAAGTTTATATTTTTCAATGAACTAATTTTAAATGAAATAACAGTTTTAGAAATATATGCTTTACTGCTAACTATAAATGCATTTGTCTAGTTAGGGGGAGGGGATTAATATGAAATAGATTTTCTTGGCAGTTTTGTCATAATCATGAAAAGCAGATTTCTGCACATGCGCTTTGACTAGTTGTGATGCAGCATCTGTCTCCTCGACTTCCAGTCCAATCAATTAGAACCCTAATGAAGATGATACTATGTGTATAATGTTAATGAGGAGAAAATGGAAATATGTTAAGAGATGTGGAGTTAATTGAGTTCAGTTGGTAAGGCCATTTTCTAATTACCTTGCTGAAGTTAGGCCATGATTTTGCAAAGTAAAAGATCCATTGAATCTGTTCAGAATGCAGTTTAAATTTGTGTGGACAATGAATACAAATTATATAAGAACGAATTACTTTTGTTTATTTTCCTATACTTGTGAAAATCAAATTGTGATTGCAAATATTTGTTTGAAGGAATATCTTAATTTGAAAAAGGTACTTGGAGTAAAAATTTATATTCACGTTGCAGTTAAATTATAATAATAATAAAGGGGGGATTGGGACGTTGAATGTTTTTTTCCTTTATACAGAAAGTGATTTTTACATGCACTCCATCCTGTGACAAGTTCTTAAAGGAACTAGCTATATCATACCCATTTAGCCAGCATCAAAGCCTGTTTCAAGATAAAATATACAGGTATTGTGTTTGAAACTTATTGTTCTGTTTCCATCTCATGATGAATGCTTATGATTGGTAAATTCTTTTTGTTTTCATTATTTTCAGCTAAGTTGATTAAAGAAGATTACATTTTTTTGTTGGGTTATATAGGTTCAAGTTTTTATCGGTAGCCTTCTAGCTGTAAAAGTTTATTTTGGTACATGAATAAAGGGAAAATGAGAATTTGATATTCTAGAGACAAATTGGGAGGGGGTATGTGTATTTTTAATCATACATGTATATAGTTTATTGTCAGGAATTGTTGAGATAGAAAATATCTTGTAATCTGGAGAGTGGTAACCTGTATAACTTATTTTGTGTTGTACATTATTTTATTTAGTGTTTATTTTCAAATGAAATATAAATCATTATTAATATAAACAACTATTTCATGATGCAGATTTTATTGTTGGTGGTTTCTTAACTTGTATTTTAATTTTCTGTGAATCCAGCTTTTAAAGAAAAATAAAAGTGGGAGAGCGGTGGGGGCATTGCATAACTAATAATTTATTTGTCAGAATCCTGGAAAACAGCAGATTAACTTTCAGTGGTAAGACATCCTAACAGTTTCTTATATTGATCCTTCTTGAAAGAATCTTCATTCCCCTAACAAAGGTATAGAGAGATAACCATTCTTGTTCCAGAACAGTATAGCTTAAAACTGCATTGAAGTAGAGAAGTTTATTTGAATGAAACGTGAAAGATCAAATGCATAACCATGAGTTAATAAATGGTAACATACTTTATTCATTGTATTAAGTAAATGATTTCATACATCATGTCAAACAAGTTTTATCATTTCTGTACTATTTATATTGCAAACATGATTGATATAAAATCAAATTTCAATGATTTCTGTATTGTGAAAATTATTATTTTTCAAGAATCAACTTTAAATCTCAATTTCTGTTAATATTGTCTGAACAATAATTGGTCAAATTAGAAAGAAATAAGGGGTTAGGCTGTTACTAACTAATTTCTTATCAGCAAAATATGACCTGTGGAAGAATGTCCTGATAAAGAGTACAAAAGAATAGCATATCCTGTGACAGAAAGCTTGAAACCTAGACAGTAAAGTTTTCAGAAAGAGATGCAAAGGTTCATTAGGATAACCTGTATAAAATGATATGTAGAAAGAACCCGAGCCAAAGAATGGTATTTCTTTTCTCATTAGTTGCAAAAAAATCATTCATATTGGAATATATTTTAGTGTTTTTTTCATAATATAAATCTTGTGAAAATGTTGAGAATTTAATAGGTTAATCAGTGCTTAATGAATTATTGTTAAGAAAACCTTTACTTGAGTAAATTGAATTGGGGTGTGAAAGGGAAGGCATGTTATTTATTTTTAAAAGTGATTAAATTTTTCTGGATAATAGTGTTCAATGAAATGGTTTATTAACCTTTCTCGATAGTCTATTTTAATAATTTGAAATTTATCTTCAGATGCTTAAATCTGTTTGAAATTATGGATTAAAAGGGGTAGGGAAGGGTTGTACTGATAATGTTCTTCTTTGTTAGTGAAACTATTTGAAATGACAGATCATGCTCAAGATTTCATACAGTAACGATGAACATTCCATAATACAGTAACAAGTTTGAACACTATATAATGTAATAGCTTGAAAATTGAACCTACCGAGTGTGTTTGTGGCTAAATAGTAAGTGTATCAGATTATGCTTCATATTATATTGTGAAAGAGGAGTTAAATGTCAAAAGTTATTGGATCATATCTGCAAGTTCGAAGTTTTTATCTTATTTAATATATACAAATAGAAAATTTAAAATGTTATTGTAGAATTTAAGATAAATCAGTGTAAAATTAGAATATATCAGTTTTGGTAAAGTGTAAAGTACAATGAAGTTATTAAGTATGCAAGTTCTTGTTGTGTAGCTAAATATTAAAGTTCTGGGGTTAAAGGTAGGTTGGGGAGGGGCAAGGTAACCTATAATATCTTATTTGTCAGTGAACACAAGTCCTTGAAGATACCAGATTCACATTCAGTGGAAAAGACCTAACAAGATCTGCTTCCTGTGATGGTCCTCTTTGTACCCAGTTCCCAGGTAGATAGAAAGATGTCCTCTGTTCAAGGAAAGATTGAAACTACCGGTAGATAAAATAAAATAACCAAGTGAAAAAGGTTTTGCATTTGAATAAGTTGTGGTCATGACACGATGTAATTTGAAATATATTTTTGAAAATTTAAGAATGCTGTAATATTAGTATAAATCTTTAAAATATATTCAATAATGGTTAAATTTTATCAGATATGTTATTCAATTATTAGTCAATTCAGTAACAAGGGGTTGGGGTTTAACGTTTTTCATTGCCAGCGAAAGTAACAAAAAAAAATAAATGTAGTTACCTGTGGATATTGGTCCTCACACCCAAGTTACAGTCTAAAGGGATAGTACATCCTGTGGCCAAAAGGTTTGAAACCACTACAATCCAACAAGTACAGTAAAGTTTGAAAAAAGTAATGTATAAAAAAAGCCTTGAAGCAGAGTTGTCTTGAATGAGAAGAGAGAGGCTGTGACAAAAGAAGAGTATTTCTCATATTTAAGTTAACTATATTTTTTATATTATTTATATTACAGATTATTTTCATTTTAATAAGTTGTGCTGTTAAATTATTAACTATATTGAAAAAAATGAGGTTTCATTAAGTTGCAATGTTTTTGTCTTGATCAACTTGGGAGTTTTAATTAGAGCAAATTAAACTATAGATTTGTGTATAGTAGGATTGTTACTTTGACATGTTGACATTGTATACGTAGGTACAAGTATTTTAGGAAAGTTTTATAATGATGCAAGTCTGGTATCTTTTGATAGTGATATTTTATGCTTATATACCCTTATTGTACTGCTGTAAAATATACTTATAATTGTGTGTTGATTGTTTCATAGCGTTTGTAGGGTACCATCATTGTTTATCAATGAGTATAAAAGCTATTTGATTTAATAGATAACACTTGCATTTTTCCTATCCATGCCATATGTACAAAACTCTTTACAGGCGTGTTTGTTGCTTAATATGCTTGCACTTATTTATATTGAAATCCTCTAAATTTTATATTTAATATTTTTTAATGTTTGACTTTCACTGACATTGACCGTTTGACAATAATGTTGGGTGGGTATTAAAAACAAAGATTTGCTTTTTTGATAGTATGGTTTTAACAGATGGATTGCAATCTGTGCGATGACTCGAGTGTTATGTTGTGTCTCCAACTAGGTTGAAATAGTTTAGTAAAAGATCCTTGGATGAAATGTGACTGTGCTAAAATCTATAAGTAGATGATAATCAAAGCTGTAGTGCCACAATAGAAGCTTATTTAAACCAGTTATGTAGTTTCCACTTAAGCGTGAGCTTTTAATATAGCCTGTATTACATGTGAAGGTATGAATTTGTGTTGTTTGCATGCAAGAAATTTTAAAATATTTTTTTTATGGAAAAGAAATGTAATTTACTGATATTGAAAAACTTTGTAGGGTAGGTGGGGTAAATGAAATATGAAAGTTTGCCTTAAAAATATAATGTAATGTTCAATGTGTTGGTAATGTTTTTTTGCGATATTGATTGTATAGATGAAATCTAAACAAGAAATATGTATATATCTTTATAATTGAGGAAGGAAGATAAATATTTGGTGTGTAAAAAAATTAGGGGGTGGGCTCATTATTATCATTCTTAGTGTTCACAGTGTGCACCATAAAAGACCAGTGAAAAGAGAAGTGTCATTGTCCCTCAATAAAAGTCGAGAGGGTTAAACTATATTTTGCCGTTCAAGTTGGCTACAGACGCTGTTTGTCGAGCTTTCACTCTGGGAAGGCAAGTAAGCATTTTACTTTCATAGTTGAAAACACATCAGTTTCTTCTATTGATATTAAAACAATTATTATAGTAGTTAAAAGATCACAAGAAGTAATGAAAAAATAAAAGGGCATAACTGTAACAGTAAAAATTTCTATTTCAATGTCATTTTTTATGTCTTTTTAAAAATCTTTCCTCAGATTTAAAGAAACACTTTAATGTACATGTATATTCTTAATAAGCCATAGCATATGAAAATTTGAAAAAGGTGGAAAACACTAGATGTTATTGTATTTAAAATTTGGAGGGGTGGGGTTGTAATTTAAATCATTAGTATTCCACAGTATGCAGCAGTTGAATAACGCATCAGTGGTCCATAAAGTTCCAGACAATATATAAAACTGAAAAAGGGGTGTCGTGTAAGTTTTTGATACTGACGATCAAGTACAGTGGCAAGTACACAAATGTATTGGCTTTCTTGTTGGTGTGTAACATATTCCAGTATTTTACCAGTGCATGCATCACATAACTTTGATTTTGTATCTGCATACAATTAGCAAAACACATGTTCCAACTGTAATAAGTGTCACCAGTTTAGTTTAATTCTTGGATAATGGTTCTTTTTAATCATGTTGACCTTTGTTATTTTATATACTAACCATTTTCATAGTCTGAATATTCCTTATCAGTTAGTTTAGAAGTGTAGCTCTCAATGTATGATTTGTATTGTCACTTTTTGATAGCTGATGTTGCTTTCTAATTTTAAGGTCTTTCTATATGTAATATGACAGGTCAGCTGCTTTTGATTATGTTTTTCATTATATTTAATCATGCTTTTTGTACCTAAATAGTAGGCAAGTCAAGGTATGCATTAATTTTCCCTGTCTGGTTTTTATTATTATTTATATTATTTACATGTATGTTTGTTTTTCATCTCATTTTATGATGTTTTGAGTGGTTTATTTAATTCTTTAAAGTATTGTAATTATCAGCAATAAATGGAAAAGAGAAAAAAAATCTTTATATGTGAAAATAAAGCCAGGACTGATAAACTTAAAATGAGTTAGGGGAGATAACAAGTTTTTATTTAGGTCCCTGTATCTGTCCTGCTGATGAAAATTGACCAGCCAACAACGAAATAGAACATTTTGGGAGAGATGGTGGTATTGGTAGCCAAATAAAAATGCAATTGAAGTAAAATTATACGTACATACTATACTTGTAAAAGTTTTATTTCCATGTAATGTGCAATGAATTGGAAATATTTTAATAAATATTCATTAATTAAAACTTAACAACATGCTATCATATATAATAATTAAAAAATAAGTATAGAAGATGAATACAATGGTGTGAAAATTTTTAAGGGGGGTGAGGAGTATTATAATAATTCTCATTCACAGTATTGACCGTACAAGACCAGTAAAAAGAGAAGCTCCATTAAAAAAATCAGTTACTGAAACTGAAACATGCCTGTCTAGTTAGTTACTGATGCTGTTTGTCAAGCTTTTGCTTTGGGAGGCAAGTAAACATTAATTTGTTTCTTTCATACTAAAAAAAAAGAATTAGAAAGTTTCCTTTTGTTGATATTGAAATATTGAAATAATTTTTATGCAACTATAAAGTGTAGAACATATATATTGCATTTTGAGTATAAAAAACAATAATAGTGATCATGCTATTTTAATGTCATGTCTTTTGAAAGATCTTTCCTCAGATTTAAAAGTTATATATAAAGGTATATTCATGATAAGCCATATATTAATATTTGAAAAAAGGTAGAAAAATATTGGGGGGAGAGGGACTGTTAATAAACATTAGTATTCCAGTATGCACCATTAACAGCAGCAAAGGTCCATCTAAAAGTTCCAGGCAATAAATAAAATTGGAACCAGCATGTCAAGTAAGCTATTTATGCTGACTATCAAGCTTTTAAGTACAGTGGCAAGTACACATTAATTACACAATTAATATTAACAGTACCAATTTTATTGCACAAGACTTATTGAATGATGACTTCTGCTAATTGGAATTTTTATATTGAATTTAGTTTTTTTACATTTTCTTATAGAATGTTGTCCCTGCTACAATTATATTGCAATACAATAATTTTATTTTCATATTTTTTTTTCTTCCATTGTATTGATGTTGGGTGGTTGGGGTGAATTAAATGTTCCAGTTTTTTGGCAGAGAGAAGCTATGGTTAAACAGAGAACCAAAGAAAATGTGGTATGAATTTCAGTTTTGTTCTCATTTGTTTACAATTTTTAAATTAAGACATTTGTGAATGAAATTTATAAAACAGAAAGTAAGGACTTTAGTTCTTTATTTAAGGAGAAACATTTGTTGGATAAAATGTGCAAATTGTACATTGTATTAAAAATTAATGTTAAAATAGATTCATGCTTTTGTTGAAATTTGATGGAAATGCTGGGGGAGGGGTTTTGACTAATATTGATTTTTTTATCCCAGAAGCACAGATTGGATTGAAAATCCTGTAGTATGGAGAATGGAAAATTTGGCTGTACATTATTGGTACATTGTTGTATCTGTTAATGTGTCAACAAATAATCATTTGAATTGTATTCCGGTACACTTACATTTTATTTTGACCTATTTTTTATCTGCATACTATTAGGAAAACACATACTCCCACTTTAATAAGTGTCGCCAGTTTAGTTTAATTCTTGGATAATGGTTCTATTTAATCATGTTTATCTTTGTTAAATTTTTATACTAACCAAATTCATAATCTGAATATACCTAGATTATCAGCTAGTGAAGCTTTTTTTTGACCTATTTGTTAATCTTGCAGTGAAATTGATGGAAATATTTGCTAAATGCTGTTATTCGTATGGAATAAGGGGGTGGGGAGTTCACATTTCTTTCTTTTGTAGTAAAGGCTGTAGTAATCAATGTTTACAGTTATCTGGTGAGGAATGGTGGTGTAGCTTTGTTCTTGTTGGTGTGTTACATATTCCAGTAAATTACTAATGCATGTTTCACATAACTTGTAATTTGTACTTGCATACACTAAGCAAAACACATGCTCCGACTTACATAGCCTTCAGCACTTTTGTTTACTTCTTGGATAATGGTTCTATTTATTCATGTTGATATTTGTTATATTTATATACTAACAATTTTCGAAATCTGAATATTCCTAGCTAGAGTAGCTTCAAACTTTGTTGTTGACAATGTTGAGTTGTTTTGTCTCACTTTCTTACATTGCTTTCCATTTTGATGATTTTTAATCTTTGTATTTTACCACACAAACTGCCCTTGATATGTATTCTGGTATATTTTTTATGATTTATCCATAGTGCTTGCTTTGTGTACATACAAGATATTAAGGTTATGCATTTTCTAGTTATTTATTATTTACTTGTATCTCTATTTTATCTCATTTTTATGATTTTTATTTGACTGGTTAGATTTTTATTTGTAATCATATAATAAACAACAATAAGTCTCGAGCAAAAAACGTATTAAACTAAAAATGAAAGTTAGCCGAGAATTTTTATTTAGGTCCATTTATCTGTGCCGTGTTGATGAAAACAGACCAGCCAATGACATAAGAAAATACATTTGGAGAATAAAAGATGTTGGTTTTGGTAGCCTAAATAATTACTATGGAAGTAAAATTATTTTTACTTATTTACTTTATCAATAGAAGAATTATTTCCATGTAATGTTCAATGGGTTTGAAATTTCTTTTTTCTGAGATTAACTATTCATCAGTTAAATATTAACATGCCAAAATATATAGAAAAAAGGAAGATAATGAAAGGGGTGGGGCGATTATAATAATTTTTATTGTTCACAGTGTATTCCATAAAAGACCAGTGAAACGAGTAGCAACATGGTCCCTCTGTAAAAAACTTGGAAGGTAAAAATGAAATATGCCTGTCTAGTTAGATATCGATGCTGTTTAAGTTCTGCCAAGGCAAGTGAACATTACTTTCATACTTGGGAAAACACTTGCAAAGTGTCTTGTATTTATTGTAACAATAATTGTAGCAGATGAAGATAAGAATGTTTCTTTCTTTTGATTGAGAAAACTGCATTAAGGAAAAATGGAAAAAAAGTTGTTGTGTATAGAACATATTGCATTTGAGTAAAAACTAAGTACATAACTTAAATCGTGATGCTATTTTAATGTCATGTTAATGTCTTAAAAATCTTTCCTCAAATTTAAGTTACATATATATGTATATAGAAGATTAGCCATAGCATATTAATATTTAAAAAGAGGTAGAAAAATACAATTTAGATGAATTTGTATGTAAAATGGTTTGGGGAGGGGGACTGTTGATAATCATTAGTATTCCACAGTGTACACCATTATAAAAGGGAGCCAATGGTCCATCATAAAGTTCTGGACAAATAAAAATTGAAACCGGCATGTCAAGTAAGCTTTTAACTCTAGCTTTCAAGTACAGTGGCAAGTACACATTGATTTATTACTCTTATATTTCTTTCATATGAATGAAATGATTGTTAAATGTTAATTGGAAGTTTTATTAATTCTTGGTATTAAAGATTGTCAGTGTAAAACAATTATAATGTAATGCAATGAATTTTCTTTTTCATAGAGTATTTTTTTTTGCAATTTTCTTTTAACTTTTAGTTGATTGGTGTGGGTGGGGTGAATTATATGTTCCAACTTTTTTTGCCAGAGAGAAGCAATAGTTCAGCAGAGAACAATTGAAGAAAAATGGTATGAATTGTCTGGATTATTTATTTCCCTATTTGTTTTGCATTTTTAGTTTTAAATATTTCTTAATGTAAATTTGTGAAAAAGGAAGTCAAGTTCTTTATTGGATAAAATCGAAGAGTATTGATTTGACAAGATTACAGGTGAAAATTGCTCATAAAATATTAGAAACGAAAAAAACAAGCTTTGTTGAAATTTCATGAAAATGGGTAGGGAGGGGTTTTGACTAATATTGAAATTTTCTCTCAGAAAGAAGCATGGATTGGATTGAAAGTCTGGAGAGTATGAAGAAAGTGGTAAAGTTAGTTGTACATTATTGTTGTTGGTGTTATTTTAACCTATTAATGGTTCAATAAACAATAATTTTATTGGTATACACTTCAGGAAAGAAGCAATTAGATTTTGTTTTTATTTTGACATATTTGTTAATCTTGCAGTGAAAATGACAGAAAGTTTTGCAGTAAATGCTGATTTTTCTTAATAGAATAAGGGGGTGGGGTAGTTCACATTTCTTTCTTTTGTAGTATCAACCATAGGTTATCTGGTGAGGAATGATGGTGTAGCTTTGTTCTTGTTGGTGCATTAAATAATCCAGTATTTTACCAATGCATGTATCACTTAAATTGTATTTTTTACTTGCATACACTTAGCAAAGCATATGCTCCCACTTTCATAGATGTCACCAGTTTAGTTAATTCTTGGATAATGGTTCTTTTTAATCGTGTTGATCTTTGTTATTTTTATACTAACCATTTTCATATTCCTAGATTATCAGCTAGTGCAGCATTGACCTGTATGGATATATGATTGTTTTGTCACCTTCTAATGGCTGATGTTGCTTTTTATTATGAGGTATTGAATCCTGATGTATTATAACAGGTCAGCTGCTTTTGATTTTTTATTTTTTTTGCATACTCAGCATTAATGGTCACTCTTAATTGATAGATATTTGTTTTTGTCGCGTTCTGATGGCTGATGTTGCTATTTATTTTGGAGTCTTTAATCCACATGTATTCTAACAGGTCAGCTGCTTTTGATTTTTTGTGTGTATAGTTCATCATTATTGGTTTATCTGCAGCACTTGTCATTTTGTATTTATATACCTACATAATAGGCAAGATTGGTAGCAGACATTTTATTTCAGCATGCATGCATCAGAATTGGAGAGGATACAAGTAAATATATGACCAAGGAAGGCAAATAAGATAATTATGCAAGGACCCTGATCTTTGGCTTACTAAAATTGGCATGCCAGGAAGTGAGACAACACTGCCAGCTGGTCAGAGCAGAGGGTAAACCTACCTCCCCCTCTCTCAGTTTGGCTTGAAAGGAGAGAGTCAGGGTTGGGTAGCCGGCTCGCAGCAATAACCTGTGCACATTAGGCTTCCAAAATATAAATGTATTTTAGCAAAGTTAAGTATTTAGTAGATCTTTCATATATTGTTCACTAATCAACATCAATACAATAATGCTAATTTTGAATCATTTTAATATGCTCAGTTATATAAAAGATATAAATATAAGTGTGTAAAATTTAATTTTTTTTATATAAGCAAACTTTCTCAAAATGTTTTATTCAGTAGATTTATTAACCAATGTTAACTGTCCAACATTAATGAAGCTCATTTTGATGTGCTGAAAACTGCATACAAAAGACTAAATAAACATTTTTGAAAAAAGGTGAAAAGGTATTTTTAATAATAAATACAGAAATGATATACACAAGTAATATATTTATAATTTACAGAGTATAACAAAATATAAAAGAAATGTAAATATTAAAAAGTTAATAAACTATCATAATCATAATTGAATTTGTTGTTACTTGTCCATTATGGAGTATCAGAAGATGTATATTGTGTTATTCCACTGAGATAAAGAAATGCACATATTAAAAAGCATACATTGTAAAATAACAGAACGTTTGTGCAAGGATGATCAGATTTTGTGGCGTAGAGGCAGTAAAACATTTGCCTGCTTTCCATACTGTTATTACTTCAATTACCTTTCTTGTTATGCACGACAAGACACCATAACGTTGAGAGATGGATGCACCCCATTTGTCCTCTGATCAAGAAAAAGTACGATGTACCAGTTTGTTAAGAAAAAGGCTTTGTTTTGCCTTGTACTGTGCCCGCAGTGAAGTGGGAAAGGCCAAGGATTTGATCACGAGCTGGGTCAAATTAAAGACATTAGAATTGGTGTAGCTTCCCCGCTTAACACTTGACATAATCAGAGCAAAGACTAGCGGTCCGTGTATGATGTCGGGGTATGATTTTCTCGTATTTCTGTGGACATCTTGCTGCCTTTAGAGCTGGCATATTATTATACCCCCGCTTTAAAAAAAGTGGGGGTATACTGATTTACCTCTGTCTGTCCGTCCGTCCATCCCATGAATATTCATCTTTCTCAGGAACTACATTACAAGGATTTCTGAAATTTGGTTTCAGTGTTTATATAAGTCAGCTATACCGTGTGATGCGTTTTCAGATTCTTCAACAACTTCCTGTTTACCGAAATATTTGGGCGAGGGTATCATCGGGTTTCACTTCGTTTTTTTCAAGATCCGTCACAATTTGTACTTCTAGCACAAGATATCATCATTTTTCATTAGTTTATAAATTACTTGTTAAAAAAAAAGCAGATGATACCACGGAGTCAAAATTAAAATGTCACTATGGCCAAAAACTAAAACGACAGAAATATCAACAAAATTACAAAACACTAAACAAAAACTTAAGCCAGCAACTCGGAACCCCACCAAACCCCGATCTCGGATGCTCCAGAATGGTAATCGGACCCTGCGATAATAACCGTATGCTCGGGATTTCATGTTCCTATGCCGGACTTTGTCAAATTAGAAATGTGTTTGTTGTGTCGACTAGATGACACACAAGTGTGTCCAGTGAGACTAGTTTCAATCACGCCAGGCATTTTTACAGTGGCATTCCATTGCAGTAGGTCAAGATTGTATTATAATTCAATACCCGATCAAAATAAGACTAAAATTAGTATTCGCTGTAACTTCTCAAGAGCAGTCTTCTTTAAAGAATAAGAATCCGACTGATCTGCTAGGAGGCTGACAAAAAAAATCCAGTTGGGATATTTATATATATGTAAGGAGATTTGGTCCAATATTTGTACCAGTTCTTGAGCATCGAATCCGACTTGTCTGCTCGGAGGCTGACAAAATGTTTCCAGTTGGGATATCTACATAAAAGTATGGAAAGAAATGTGATATGATTGCTAATGAGACATCTATCCAATAAATTTCAGATTAAGTGGATGTAACAAAGGCAACTGGGAGACCTTCAACAATGAGAAAAACGCATACCGTATAACCGGCTATAAAAGGCCCTGACATGAAAAAATATGAAACAATGAGAAAAATATGAAACAATCGAATTGAGAAAACTAACGGCCTAATTCAGAACAAAACAATTTACGACAACCACTGAACTACAGGCTCCTGACTTTGGACCGGCATATATACAATGTAACGGGTTAAACATGTTTGAAGGCGCCAACCTTCCCCATACCTGGGACTGGTGTAACGGCACAACACTAGAACAGACTGCAAAACAATAAACGAAAAACCGAAATAACCGACAACCACTCAATTACAGGTTTGGTCTTCCGAGTTTGTACTAGTGTGTCTTGACTGATTAAAAAAAAACTGCAATACAAATATAACAAAGCACAAGATAGTAAAGCAGTTTCCTGTAAGCTAAACTAAAAAAGGTTAAATATATTTACAGAAAAAAAGTATGATTAAAAAATACCGAAACTTCAAGGGAAATTCAAAATGTCCATAAATATCACAGTTATTAACATTTCCGTTAGATAAACAAATTGAGAGCAATCCAAACACGCCAACAACAAAACATGTGTATATATAGTTGATAGTACATACGGTATAGTAAAACAATGTCATTTGCACTTTCCAGATAATGTACATTTAAGTAAAATTTAAATACAAGGGTATATAAAATGAAAACAACACCAGGGGCGTATTTTTTTGTTCTTCGGTAGTGAGCCAGAAGAGGTCCATTTCTGTTTTTTTTAATAGGGAAGATCTTCTGGCTCTCTTCCACCTCTTCTTTTTTGATAGGTAGTTTAGACGGCAGAGGCACATAACAAACATGGCGTCGTTTAGTCTAAATGACATTAATAAATTTATGAATGCAGATATATTAGAATGTGAGCTGTGTTATAAACGTTTTTATGGTATGAATAGGACATCCCTGTAGGACGATAAGCTGGATAAATATAAGAACTACACGGAAAATAACAGTTAAGGGACGACTATTTGATATTCTAGGGAAGGGATTTTGATTGATTGGTGTTTAACGCTACTTTCAACACTAAGTTGAGCTATTCCGTGGTGGTCAAATTAAATTTATAGATGAAGGATGGGGAAGACGAAGAGGGCATTGTTAACTTTTTTAATCTGTCGCTAATTATGGCTATTTTTCAGCTCTTACCAGTCAACCATATTCATATAAGAAATCCTCCTGTCCCCCACCCCAATAAAATAAATATCAAGTGATTTTTCTTCTTATTTAACACAAGCTTAACTTGATTGTTTGTTGCTAATTTTTAACGCCCAGTGACAAATATGTCATGCATGTTCAGGACTCGGTTCAGGAAAACACAAGTTTATAAGTCAGGCATATAATATAAAAACGAAGAGATGTATGATTGCTAATGAGGCAACTATTCACCGGAGTTCAGATATGAAGTGGATGTAACTAAGCAATTATAGGCAACCGTAATTAAGGCCTTCAACAATGACAAAACCCGATACTGTATTTAAAGTCGTCTATAAAAGGCCCGACTTGAAAAGTGTGGGAAACAATTCAAACGAAAAAACTAACGGCCTAATTATACATAACAAAATAATTTACAAAATATCAAATATGAGTCGAGACATGAACCAACGACAACCACTAAACTATAGGCTCCTGACTTGGGACAGGCACACAAAGAATATGGCAGGGTTGATATAAAAACGAAGATTGCCAATGAGACAACACTCCACAAGAGACCAAATGACAGCAATTAACAGCTATAGGTCACCGTACGGCCTTCAGCAATAAGCAAAGCCCATACCGCATATTCAGCTATAAAAGGCCCCGAAATCACAAATGTAAAACAATTCAAACGAGAAAACTAACGGTCTAATTAATGTACAAAAAAACGACAACCACTAAATTACAGGCTCCTGACTTGGGACAGGCACATACATACAGAATGTGGCGGGGTTAAACATGTTAGTGGGATCCGGCCCAACCCGCCCCCTAACCTGGGACAGTGGTGTACTGGTAACAGTACAAGAACATTTTTGTGAGCGCTCAACCCTTCCCGAAGCTGGGACAGTGGTGTAACATTACAATATAAGAACAACCTGCACAAATCAATTGCAATTAGATTAACTCAAAAGATCGGTACGAGACACACAAAAAAAAACTTACATTAAAAACAATAGACACAAAGCACTGAAATAAGAGTATTTGCAATAACCACTAGTACTGAAATAAATCTTGTTCTCCCAGACTGAAGTATCAATCAGTACACAACCAACGGATTAATTAAAAAAAAAAGAAAAAAAAAAAACCAGTCTGAGAAATGTCTGGTATACATTGTATACTTGCATATTGATACATATACAATGAAAATTTTTGAAAAGTGGTGGTCCGAAGGTTTTGACCATCGAAATTTTGCAATAGAAATAATAGTTAGGACCAGAAGATTTTCTTCAAGGACCACCAGAGAAAAATGATTTTGAGAACTTTCCGATATCTTTGCTTTATACAAAAATAATCCAGTTCGGTTACTTTAAAAAAAATTGGATAGACAAGATGTCCTTTAAAAGTTTTTGATCATATTCGAGACAAACATTGACGAATTTTTGTGCAGTTTAAGATTATTCTTAAAAATCAAATAGTGGGGGTTTAAGCCAGATTTGTCTAGCAAAATTGAGTTAGAGGAAAGAACAAAGAAAAATGTCACGAACAGAGCACACTTTTACAGTCATGTCTACCGGACGTATCTTAATTTTCTATAAAATAATCGTAAACTTCATTTATTTCATCCAACATAACAACAATCTTCTATATTCGACGTCAAATTGAATTTTTGTTTTATTGATCTTCCGTAGAATATCTCCAGTAGAGGTCCACATTCATTTTTTTGGACTCGTCACCAGAAGACATTCTGAAGATGTGCAGAAGAGACCAATAAAACACGCCCCAGGAAAACCTCGTGCGTCCTAAATGTAACTCTTCACCCACCCGCATCAGGAACACCCAAAGCCAAAAAAGCTAAATACACAAGTACCGAGCAACGTCCATATAAATAGAAATAAAGGGACATTGTGCCTTTGTACATTCCGGTGAATTTTTTTAGAAAGATGAAACGTTCTTTGACAAAACCCTGGCACCTTAATTTTTTTGCTGACACAGAAAGCATTTTAATAAAATTGTATGCAAAGAGTTGCAGTGCTGAAACATTGGCAATTCGAACCATTCCAAGACCGAATCAAGTTCTTAAACTGAGAAAACTTCACCATTATCCCAATTTAATCTGATTAGTGGAATAAAAAGGGTACATTTAAATCTACGGAAGAAATACTAAGATAAAAAATCGTTATCTATAAGAGCCAAAGCTTTCATACAGCAATGTCTTAAATAGTAGATAATTAATTGTTAGTGTTTATTGGTGGAGGATGCAGGAGTTTCCGGAGAGAACCCAACACTTTCGGAAGGAATCCTGAATCCTAGTCAATTAAGAATAAGTCGAACGCAACTTCGGGGTTCGAACTCAACCTTGATGTTGACAGGCTAGTGATACAGTAAATGAACTATTTCCGAGAACCCTTGTGCAAAATACAGAATTAATCTACAGAATATCTATGCACAATTAAACTTTGTTTTATTTCAACTAAAATTGAGTATATGGGGTTCTTTGATATGCTGAATCTAACTGTGTATTTAGACTTTAAATTTTGAGCCCCGTTATCAAATTGGTCCACATAGAGGTCCAAAGGGTCCAAAATTAAATTTGGGATTCGTTGATGATGCAGAATCAAACCATGTGTGTAGATTTTGGATATTGGACCATAATAGGTAAATGTCCAATTTCAATTTTTTAGTTCCTAGACCACATTCATTCTGCGTCCGAAACCTATGCTCTGTCAAATCAAATAAATTCAGAGCTGTATTGAGCTTTTGTACAAACTGTTCAGGTTCGACCTCTGCGATGGTATCAAGCTGCACCCTGTAAAGCATTTTATTGTGATTTTCTTGGTTATTTCAACTCATTTACACTTGTTAAATGTTTTATGGCTCTTATCCATACGATATATTACTACAAATACCTGGAGTTTATAAATGCTGTCACTCTAGCTATTCTCATTTTCCAAGTCAGTAAGCATCGCATTTTAGGTTTGAACATTTAACTGTTTTTAATGGAGTACCACAATACAACACTCAATGCAGCGGTAGAATTTATATTTCTCTAATTTTTAGCCGATTAATCCGTTTCCTGGACGTTTTTTTTAATCGAGGTGCAGTTCGTTGATCTCGGTTCACATCGGGTATCCCTATCCGAAATCCGAGGAGCAATTACACGAGGCTGCAAAAAACTGGATCCAATTTTACCCACCCACCGTGTGTGGTCTCGTGTAACTGCTCCTCGCGATTCATATCTCTCCGCGCTGTTCATTGGTCAAAATTCAATTATGACGTCAAATGTCCTTGCTTTCCTATGAATTTCTTATTGTGACGTCACGATTGACTGAATTGATTAATTGGCGATAGCTTTACGGCGCATCAGCACCAAAAAAGGGTGGCAATGCCAAATGACGTCACATAGAAAGTCTACATCTTTTTACAGTGCATTAGAATAGGATTGAATTTGTCTGCATATCAAAAAAATCATTAGAGAAACAGATTCCACAACCGAATCTTGTGCAATACAATATTTCTCCACTCTCGAAATTTAAATCTTAAATATCCAAAACTCTCGACAAGCCTCGTGTTTTAAATTTCAAATTTAACTGTCTCGAGTGGGAAAATATCGTATCACTATTATTCGACGTTACGCTGAAAACATTTGCATCAGCAAGGTAATAAATACCATTATGGTCACTGTCACGGTGTACTATTTAAAAACTATGAACATTTGAAAGCCAGTTATAATAGAAGGAAAGTTAAACAAAACCATATCTCAAAATCCATAAAACTCTGAAACTTAAACTTATTTAATGACGAAAGAAAAAAAAATCAAAATGTAATAAAATAAATTAGAACATACATGGACAATTTGAATTTAATTTTGAATTTGAACCTTGTCTTATAATTGCAAATAGTGAGCACAAACGGCCATGGAATTGAAACAGGTAGATACAACGGAGTAGAGGCAAACAAAAACTTGTGTGTAAGTTGTGTCACAATGCGATAGAACAAGACGTACTTTTCCATTTGGTATGCCCATCTTATAAAGAAAAACGTAAGCGATAGTTAAAATCAAATCCATAGTTTACAAAATTCAGAGTTTTAATTATGAAAACGAATTCATCTGGTGAATGATGAATGAGTATAGGTCACAGGCAGTTATCTCAGAAAATAATTTCATATATATACCTAATATAACTGTTTTACTAAGGTATATGATTTTTTTTCAGAGACAGTGGCTGTGAAATAGGTGTATTATTGAGATATATGACGTCTTTACACTTAATCCGTTGTTGTGTACTGATTGATACTTTTGTCTGGGATAACATTATTTATCAATTGGTTGTTAATGATTGATTTTGATTTTTGGTGTTTTAACGCCACTTTTAAGCACCGCTTTTGGGCTATTTCGTGGCGGCAAGTTTTTATTGGTGGAGGAAGCCGGAGTGCCTGGAGAAAACCATCGACCTTCGATAGGAAAACTGACAATCCTAGTCAATTAATATTGGAGTCGATTGCACCCGCACGAGCGGGGTTCGAACTCACAACCTCAGTGTTGACTGGCTAGTGATTACAGTAGTAACTACTTAGACCACTCGGCCACCGAGGCCCCTAGTTGTTAATGACATTGAATTGGTTTTCTGTAACAACTAGTATGTAGGTCGGTACTTTGTGTCGTTTGTCTTAATGTTAGTTGTTTATTTTGTGCTTCGTGCCTTTTCCAACTGATTTTTATACGACCGCAAAAATTTTTTTTGCGGTCGTATATTGGTATAGTTCTCGTTTAACTTTTTTTTTTTATCTCATTGTTTGTATTGTATTATGAAAAATTATTGATGTTGTAATGTTTATGCCCTTTGGGGCCCATAATTGGAAATAAAAAAAAAAAAAAAAAAAAAAAAAAAGTATGACGTTGGCGTCGTCGGCGTCGTCGTCGTCGTCGTCGTCGTCGTCAACAAAAATTTTTGATTTCAACAAAAATTGAATATATGGGGTTCTTTGATATGCTGAATCTTACCATGTATTTAGATTTTTTATTTGTGGGCCCCGCTATCAAATTGGTTCATATTGAGGTCAAAAGCATCCAAAATTAAACTTTGTTTGATTTCATCAAAAATTGAATTATTTGGGTTCTTTGATATTCCAAATCTAACCGTGTATTTAGATTTTTAATTTTGGGTCCCGTATTTTAAATTGGTCTACATAAAGGTCCAAAGGGTCCAAAATTAAACTTAGTTTGATTTTAACAAAAATTGAATTCTTGGGGTTCTTTGATATGCTGAATCTAAACATGTGTTTAGATTTTTTATTATGGGCCCAGTTTTCAAGTTTGTCCAAGTTGGGGTCCAAAATTATACTTTGTTTGATTTCAACAAAAATTGAATATATGGGGTTCTTTGATATGCTGAATCTAACCATGTATTTTGATTTTGGACTTTGGACCATAATAGGTAAATTAAAAAAAATCAAGTTCTTAGACCACATTCTTTCTGTGTCAGAAACCTATGCTGTGTCAAATATTTAATCACAATCCAAATTTAGAGCTGTATCAAGCTTGAATGTTGTGTCCATACTTGCCCCAACTGTTCAGGGTTCGACCTCTGCGGTCGTATCAAGCTGCGCCCAGCGAAGCATTTTATTAAGCTTGTTCTAATATTGTGCTGTTATACCATTGTCCCGTTTTGGCGAGTGGAGGAGCGCTTACAAACATGTGTAACCCCAACACATTCTGCAAGTGCCCGTCTCAAATCAGGAGCCTGTAGTTCATTGGTTGTCGTTGGAGCTGTCTGTCATATCATTCTTTTTTTCGTTTATTATTTTGTCAAAAATCAGGGCGTTGTTTTTTTTTCTCGTTGAAATGTTTCACATTTTGTCATGTCGGGGCTTTTGCTCATTGTTGAAGGCCGTACGATGACCTTTAATTGCTTATTAAACACGTGAAATTAGATAGTTGTCTCATTGGCAAGCATACCATATCCCCATATTTTATAATAAATACAATTTATCTTTAATAATATTAAAGTCAAGTAAATACCCGAGTCAAAATTAATATACACCCAATTGCAGCTAGAGTCCCGACTCGTAACCGGGAAGAAGATTATAAAGTACAATTTACAACCAAACAGTGATCCGCGTTTATAACCACACTAAGACTTAGTTAAGGTTCATCATGACAAATGGACAAAAATGGCTGTATTTCCACCTCAAAAACTACTCTGAGTACGACTCACTAAAATTTCACTATTGAGGATTAAATCTATATATATTAGTTTAAATATAGACACGTACGCATTTATTGACATTATGTTCTAGCAGAAAGATTTAAACATTTAATTGGTATTCGCCATTTTGGAACTGCATAGACTTAAAGGTAATGAATAATTTTATCCAATATTTATATACACAAACTACTTTGATTATCTTAGTACGACAAAAGATCTCCTTATTTTCACACCATTACGGTGTTATTTTATATGTGCATTATGACACTACTATTTGAATACAACAGACCACGTCTCCTGCATGGTAGCGTGCTCGAGTACAGCCTCAGGGGTGATTATTTTGATTCCAAGGCAACCAAATCATGAATTGAAATTGATAGTTAAACCGAGGAAGAGTTAAGATTGGCTCTAACATGTGTCTAACAAAATGATAGGTGTAAGAGGAATAACATGTCTTCCTACCCTGTGACCTACCACGTTAAAAATACGACTCAGCGTGTCTGTGTTGTTCAAAGCAGTATTCCTTTTCATATTGTTAAACAAAACATTGTCTTATATTTTCATATGAAACTTTGTACATATACAGGCTGAAACAATGTATGAAATTTTGTCTTGTTAAAGGGTGTTATTCAAGGTCATTTATTGTGTATATTGTGACAATGTTTCATAGATGGATGTCTTGAAATTTGGTTTCATGGAAGGGAGGTTATAAACATTTAATATTTTGGATTAAAAGTTAAAGTTAAAGTGTTTTATTTGATTGATAATAACAAACAAACATGCCTTATTAATTTCTGCAGCAATTTATGGTTATACACATGAAAAATATTTGAAAATTCCAGAAACGCTCACAGATTTCTCAGGAAAGACATAATTAGATTAAGAAATATTTTCTTATATAATGATATATATTGGTATGCATGAAAGAAATCATTTTTACGGATAAAAAATGAAACTGAGGGGTCTACGTAAATAAAACATCAGACCAAAAAAGACAAGGCACTTAGCTTGATAAAACTTGTAAGATGAACAACAGAAATTGAAACTTTACTTAATTAGTTTCTAAAGTTCCGACACTTTGTGGAATATTCTCAAACTATTAAAAGGCGCCTCGGTGGCCGAGTGGTCTAAGTAGTCCAACTACTGTATCACTAGCCAGTCAACACTGAGGTTGTGATCGAGTTCGAATCCCGCACGGGGCAGGGGCACTGGACTCCAATCTTAATTGACTAGGATTGTCAGTTTCCCTACCGAAGGTCGGTGGTTCTCTCTGGGCACTCCGGCTTCCTCAGCAATAAAAACTGACCGCCACGAAAAAGCACAATAGTTTGAAAGTGGCGTTAAACACCAATCAATCACGCAATCAATCAAACTACAAAAATGTTTGTTTCAGAATATTAATTGTGTGCCGCCTAAGAACTCTAGTTAAAACATAAATACACGAAATCAGTCTATGTTTTTCAGTGAGAAAATATAATGGAATCCAATGGATTGCTGTACAGAGGTCTGCAGTTACTTATAAAACTTATTTTAGCCATTCTCACTGTTTTAGCTCTATGCTATATCTTTATTATCGGTAAGTGCACATAGAAGTAGAAGTGTAATGCAACTATAATGTTAGAGTTGCGACACATGAATTTAAGGAGATTTGGGGTTCAGGACAATGATATATCAACCCAACAACACAAAGTACTTAACACAGAAAAATCTAGAGGTACCCAAATTGACCTTCAAGGTTGGTCAGACTCAATCGTTCATACAACAAATGATATTTTAGCTAAAGACAAATCATGCCACAACCTCTATAAATTGGGCGGGGTGAACTACTCATGGGTCTTAAAAATGAACCCTCGCAAAAGCTTTTGAAACAAAATCCATAGAATGATCAAAGATTGATTTGATGAAAGCACTGATTTTCAGCCTCTATATACTTAAATTGAATAACTATTATCTCTGCAATTAAACAATCATGACGATCAGTAGTTATTTAGTACATTTGAATTTTTGTCGAGCCTGCGACATTTATGTCGCGAAAATAAATGTCGCGAAAGCGGGACATAGCGATCCCAGATTCCGTCGACGGCGTCGGTGGCGTCAACCTTTAGGTTCAGTGTGTGGTTAAAATTTGTTCAAAACAATAACTTTGTTAAACCTTCGTGGAATTTTAGGAAATTTGGACAGAAGCTTGTTTATGACCAAAATACAGTATCCAGAGCAAAATTTTCAAATTATTTATTTTCATTATCCGTATTTTACTGATAAATGGACTTACTTTTTTTTTACAGTTAACATTCAGATTTAGTCTGAGGTTAAAGTTTTTTTTAGACATCAATAACTTTGTCAAACCTTCATGGAATATTAGGAAATTTGGACAGAAGCTTATTTATGACCTAAGAAAGTATCGAGGGCAACATTTTGAAAATACTAATTTTCATTTTTCCGTATTTTTGTCTCGCCTTGACGGAGTCAACAAGCGATACATAGGTATGCTGTTCCCGGCGTCGTCAACAATGTATTAGTTTGTGATTAGGTCAGTTTATGGGGAACCAATATAGTGATAGGTTAATGATATTTGGTATGCAGTTGTATTAGCACTGGCAAATCTCATTTCCATGGAGATTATTTGACCCTGTCCCCTCAGTCATGGTCTACTGACTTTGAACAAAAGGACAAAATAACAAAAAAAGGCGAGACATATCTCTGTGTCAACGGTTTATACTGATAAATGGACTCTTTTTTTTTACATTTAACAAGTAGATACCAGTCTGAGGTTAGAGTTTTTAAGTCATCAATAACTTTGTCAAACCTTCATGGAATTATATATATTTTTCATATTCAGTTTTTTTCTGATAGATGGACTTAGTTTTTTACAGTTCACATTTACAGACAGTCTGGGAATATACTATTTTGACTTGATAAATTTGTAAACCTTCATGATTGTTATGAAACTTGGACAGACGCTTATTTTCAAGACCTGAAATAGCATCTAAATAAAAAGTTTGATTTTTTTTTAAATTCTGTATTTTGCTGATAAATGGATTCACTTTTAAAGTCCACATTACACTTTTACACTGACAGCAGCAATCGCAGGCAAGAGACACGGGTTCCGCGGAACCCCTAACGATTTTTTTTATATGTTAACGTTAGAAGTACGTCTAATTAAATCAAAATTGATAGAACATTGGAGGGAACTAACAGTAAAATGTATGTAGAACATTGGAGGGAACTAATAGTAAAATGTATGTGTTTTTTTTTAAATTAACAGAATAATTTCAAAGACAAGAAAAGGGAAGAGGTCATTGTGATATTTCTATATGGAAGCATCAGAAGGTATCAAACTATCGACAATACTTTCATGCATGCAGTGCTCATATATCAATCTGTTTTCTTTTGCAGTTACCAGAAAATGATGGAAATGCTTTTGATTAACTATAAACTAGAAAGGCAAATACTACAGTGGTTGAAAATCATCTTTAGCTTTCGTGATACTAAAAAGGCTTAACATACAGAAGAACCGTACTTGCTATTGGAGATTCATATAGATTTAAGAAAGTCATTGAAACAATTGTTACATGTTATATATGTTACAGCAAAGAATTTGTTTTAGATACTCTATTTTTGAGTCAGGTGAAATAAATTGTTCTTGGAAATATTTCTTTTGTGTTTATATATATAATACCAGCTCATTCTATACAACAACAAAAAGTATTGATTTTACAGCAATACGATATATTCTTATCAAATGCATAAATTTATAACTGAAAGTTGTACGTACGCCTTATGCAAAAGTTGTTTAAATGTTCCTACAGAAAAATCGAAAGTTCACGATGGAAAAATACACCTTATCGCTATTCCCGGCTGACCCGAGAATCTGTCCCGCTTGAACTTTTGACGTCATACAACAATCACTTTTTCATTGTGGCGTCAGATAATTTGTATTGTGACGTCAAAATTTTACGGGAACCTGTGTGATGTCCAGTAATGGCGGACAAATAGAGATAAGGTGTATTCATAGAGTTTGGTGCTCAACCGGCCGTCGCTGTCGTTTGTTACAGATGTTGAAGGTATTGAACAGGTATAGGCACTTGTGGGTTTAGTGACAAGGCAGTCTTATAATAGACATGTTAAAAGGTCGAGTTCTTGTTGTCATACCTTTTTAGCACATGAGTTTTGGGGGTAAATTAAATATATAAATCTATTCAAGTCACTGAATATGATTATACCCATTACTGGGATGGAGCAAATTTTAAACATCGTAGACTAGTACCACTTAAAGAGATCATATTCCGAGAGAAAACAAAACTAAAACTACGGTCATTCCAATACAATACGACACGACGTTTTAATTTACTGTCAATAAAAAATGTAACAAAATAGTTTAAAAAAAATGAAAATAACACTTGATAATTTCTATCGGCGTCCGAAGTTCTTCTGGATTTACCTTCATCATGAACGATCAAAGCCGAATATATCATCACTCACTGTATATTCCTCAAGGTACCATTGACAGCCTCTTCAAATCTTATTATTACATAAACAATGATCGTCCATGCACTCTAGTTTTTATAAGACAAAAAGATGAAATAAAATAAAACAAATATTAATCCAATTTTGAGTTCAAAGATAGATGGTGTAATGACAATACAGAGATATTCTAAACATTTAAACAATTCATAAAAACCGACTGATTGAAAACAAAATTACACCTCATAATTACACGCGTCCGAAGTGTTTTTCTAGATTGTCCTTCATCAAGAAGAAAATTTGAAAATCAGGGATGTATTAATACGTTAAGAAACCAAAGCCTCCTTAATTTCGTATTGGAAAAGTTCCCTAGCTGTTGTCAACAAAGCGGCATTTGTAGAATTAATAAGAAAAAAATAGAGATAAAATGTAATCGTAGATACAATAAAGGTGGGACAATGACAACAAGATTATCATAATTCACTTGTATTAATATATTACAAACAATATAGATAATAGTTGAAAAGTCATTATACAAAAAGTTTGAAGTTATATGCAGTAAGTTGTTTTGTGTGTGGCAGCATGACACCAAGGAAAGGAAAGGTTTTATCGGGTTGACTGGACAGCTCGATACAAGGGCACGGTGCTAATTAATATATTTATACCGTGTATTGCTTTGAATAACAGAAGCAATCGGAGTGCATACTAGATGTTACACCGACGGAAGATGGACATTGTATAAATGTTACATACAAAATATGATACTTTACTAGTTCTGACTCTATAGGAATAACTATCATTGTATGATCTAAAATCAAAGTTCTGACTGGATTAAATCACAATGACCACATTGAGTATTATAGGAATTATCTCACAACATTAACCTTCCAAAAAATAAAATGTTGCATGTTGCAATTGCAATATTTTTAATCTTCATATATACTGACACATAGACCTCATTATCAACCCGACACACCAATGCTGACCTGTCATGTACCGTTACTATGGGACAGACTTCGTTAATCTTAATAATTAAACTAGCATCATATTCACTTACTGTTCTTCAGCAACTACGTGTATACATGACTAGTCAACAGTATAAGGTAGTTTGGCTGATTGTTGAGAGTAGTATCATGTACCCATGCGCCTTTGGTCTTAACAAGTAACACTTATGAATAGATATACCATCAACTATACGGCAATGGAATGATTTAAATTTGTATATAAACGCAAAGTAGGATTAGTGTCCAAATTTAAATCTGAACTGAAAAATTGTCAGATTTACAAGACGTAATTGTAGCCCTTTTACTTTGGGCCTGAAAACTCAGCATTTTATTAACCAAATTTAAATGTTCAGCAATCTTTCTCAACGACGATCTATTCAATATTGTGTCGGACCCTTCTTGTCGTCATGAAGCTCCACGAGAGGATTTAAATCACTTCAGTCTTTTTTTCAATTGTCCCCTTTACTAGGATGATATAGGAACTAATATTTATCAATTATGGACTTTTGACGAGGTCAATACGTTATATATAGACCTGTTCAGATTATATTGACCGAGGACGAAGTCCGAGGTTCAATATAATCAAACTGACTGAGTTTAAGTCCTTAATTTATATATTACATATGTAATTAAATAGTTTAAGTTTGAAAATGATATTGACTCGATGTTACTATTTTTGGAAACAATATTGACTCGATGTTACTATTTTTGGAAACGATATTGACTCGATGTTACTATTTTTAGTAACAAGGGGTCAATATCATTTTTATAAATAGTAACGTCGAGTCAAAATGTCAAAATGGTGAAAAAATACAAAATATATATTGGGAAAAACGTGACCAAATAAACCAACGAGAAACAAAAAAAAATCAAACCATATGTAATATCTTAATATATTCTATCTGTGGTAACATAAATTTAATATACATGTATGAACAAATCAAGAACTCATGATTTAGAAATGTTTTGACAATACTAAAAAGACGAAAAGGTTTCTGGCATAATGCGATTACATATGAGAAATAACAGATAGTTCAAAAGCACACACACATACATGTCACTTTTTATCATCCCTTATTTTTCTTTCTCTTCTTTAGTTCTGTATCCCTTAAATATATACAAAGACATATATTTTGTATATATGTCTCTGAAATATATGCCTTAACAGTATAACTTTTGAAATCGTTATAGTATTCTTTGTTCTACGTTTGATTAACTTGTGTCTATTTTGCGTAAACTAAATTATTTACTAAAGCAATAATCAAAATTTTCATAATACTACAATGTGTTTTTTCTTTTTTTTTTCTCAACAAATTTGGTTCTATATAAAAATAAGGAGATGTGTTATTATTGCCAAATGATTGCCAAGGAGACAAGTATCCACCAAAGTTCAAATAAAGTGGATGTAAGCAATTATAGGCAATCGTAAGGCCTTCGGCAATGAGAAAAACCCATACCGTATAGTCGGCTGTAAAAGGCCCCGACATGAAAATTATGAAACAATTCAATCTAGAAAACTAACGGCCTAATTTATAACAAAACAATTTACGAAAAACAAATATGACAGACATAAATCAACGACAACCACTGAACTACAAGCCCCTGACTTGGGAAAGGCACATAAAGAATGTGACGTGGTTAAACATGCTTGTGAGCGCTCAGCCCTCCCCTAACATGGGTACAACATAAGAACAAACTAAAAAAATCAGTTGAAAAGTACTTAACAAATAAGATCGATACAAAGCAGAAAAACGTCTTACAACTGATAAAAAAATCACGTATCTAAGACTAAAATATCAGTCGGTACACATCCAACATCCAATGGGTTTAGTGTAAAGACGTCATTAATAATCAGAGAAAAACGTGACATTGTGCAATGTCAAAATATAGGTATCGACAGATTGTAGTGTCGTTAAAGTGCATGCAGTGTGTATAACAATAGAATTTAGTATGGTTTTAATTTACAAAATCAATATTTACACCAATAAAAACAACATATAAAGATCTTTATTACAGTGTTGAATTGGTTCCAGTTGGACTACAAACCTAAAAAAATAATATGTTTTCTGTTAATTACATTCTAAAAGTTTTATTTAGTTATTTAACAAATTTTGATTCAAAATGAATAAAGGTGAATTTGTCAATGAGAAAGCTACCCGGGACAATGACATAAACCGGTAGCCAAATGTGTAATCGTAGTCAGATTCAGACTAGTTATTGAACTAAACGCACCAGATATTTTACCTTGAATATAAATTTATCTAACCTTGACGTAAACTCAATGCTCATGTCTTCGTCTTTTACCTTCGAAAAGCGTTCTATTATTTCTTAACAAATACCCAGAATTCAGTCAAGTTTCTTTCAGTTTGAAAATCCCTGCATATTCAACAGGAAGAATTAAAAAAGAAATGACTTTTTTTAATCAATTCAGGAACATATATATTATTAGTTATACTGTTCCCAGATCAATTTCAATAGAATTTTTGTATTCCCTTTTGAATAAATTACTTTTTCTCCTAAAATTTAGAATCACATAATCAAAAATGCGCCTTTTAAAAAAACTTCTTTGTTTACAGAATTTCTCTACATTAAATACTACTTAGGCAATCCCAAACTAACAATGGGTTATGTTTAACATGAATCAATAAAAAGTCGTAACGAACAGAAAGAATCTATCCTCATATTTTCGACCCTTCCTCTTCGTGTTGAAAAGAAAGCCACTTCTGGTATTTAGCAGTATTACATTAGTTCTTCAATGTGAAAATAAGAAAGTTAAAAAAGGATGGAATCAGACGAAACTCTCACAAATGGGAATTCAAATGAGTTTGATTTGTCCATTAGAGAGGCAGAACTCAAGAAAACTGCGTTACATGAATCTATTGACCAAGAAGCGGAGGCCAGAATTCTGGTTTTGTACACGGGTGGTACAATTGGAATGAAATCAAATAATCAAGGAGGTATACTTCTGCAATACATATTCATATATGTTCTTGCAGCTTGACCTCTGCCATAAATTAAAGTAACAACATTAATTGAAAACGTATTCGATAATTTATTCAAACCATATTTAAACACTCCAAAGCACTCGTGTAAGAATTCAAGACCAGTTATTGAAGAACACGCAATAGACTTCTTCCTGTTCAATCATGGCATTGTCCCAAGTTATCATGAAAGACCTATACTA